CCCCTTATCATTATATGTGTATGACATCTCTGTCGCCGCTTGGCGTCATAGAAGAAAATCCATTTTGACATTTATTATGAAGTCATTTTAATGTTGAGCGATAACGATTATGCACAAGCACATAAACCCAATTCATATACACTTATGTCGCTCAGATATCAAAGCTGTATTTTCTTCGCTAACACTTTCCGTAAAAGATGCCACATTAAAAAATTCAGAGCACAGTGCTTTTATCGGTCGCGCGATAAAAAGCGGATAAAATTACTGTTTTTAACGCATCAAAAAATTGGACAACATTTAGCAGTGTCTATTTCTCAAACCGAGGTAGTTGCACTTATATTTATACCATCGGATAGGAAATTTAATATTCTACATTTCTGTGTAATTTTATAGCCCGTCGTAGATCCAGGACCACGCGAAAGCAATTCTCGCGCACAACGATCACTTTTCAAACCAGTATGAAAATGTGCGCCTGAAAAAAAAACTCGGCAGCCAGGGGTTAAACGCATACAATATCATTGAATTAAATGTTGAAATGTGATGTGAAAATACCTCTGAAACAAACAAAATACAACCCCCAATCTAGAATATTCCTTTACTGTAACTGGTCTGGTAAGGGTACTAAATTTGGAAATCTTGATTTATCCTTTTTAGCAAAAGACATTGAAGTTGACACTAGCTTAAAGCCATAAGTGTCATACTGCACTAGTAAACAGACTCGGGGTCAGTGGTTGTTATACATGAATGATTTGTTAACTTACTGTCACTGTTCACTGACTGCATGGGATTACATAAGGGTTAACTAACATATTATCATAGCATAGCTAGACAGTGGAGCTAGGCATGTCAGGAGTCAACACCAGAGCTGTCAACCCCTAAAGATGGTTTGGAGTTAGACTGAAAAAATAAGCCGAGGTCAAGGGCGATGCCCTGGTGGGGGGTCACAGGGGGGCTAAGCCCCCCAGCCGAAAATGAAGTTTAGTGATTTTCAGGAGCATTTGGAGCCTTCTGGTGGCATTATTTTGACACTAAAAGATACATGCTAAAACATGAAAAAAATACAACTCACAAGATACCGAGGGAGTGGATGTGAACAGTGAAACAACTAAGTAGGCAAAGTTTCTGTTCATAAATCACACAATAAAACTGTATAAACACTTTGACTTTCAACTATATCTAAACATAAGTCACAAAATGAACTAAGAAAACATTAACACAGAAAATTTCAATGTTGGGAGTGGAGTTTAGTGTCACTATTGAGAGTGGCTCAGTGTAATCCATAGATTGATAACAACTCACAAGAAGATATTGAAGGCTCAGTGTGGATATGAACAGTGATGCAATTGGTTGGTACAGCTGTTGTTCACTAATCATAAACAGTATAGAAGATTTTGAATTTCAACCTTGTTTAAACAGAAAGTCTCAAACTGTACATTAACACTGTGACGTTCACTGTTGTTTAGTGGAGTTTCGTAGTTCACTGTTCACTGTTTAGAATGGAGTCTGTTGTAGTCCTTTGTGACACTTTTGCATTTCTTTAACAATTCCTTTGGTGGTTCCCATTTGTAACAAGGTGATGGTGACTCTGGATTGGCCAATTTCACTGTAATCAGGGAGTTCAGGGTGCTGTTCAGGTACATGCTGCTTCTGAAGTCAGTCTTGATTTTCCTCACCATACTGAAGACCCTTTCCTCCCCAGCATTTGAATGAGGAATCACAAGCACAAGCTTAGCAACTGCAGATAGTTTTTCAAACTTTTTCTTGCCAAATGTGTGTGCACACTGTGACAGGTGACCCCAGATAACATTCATCCTGTAGTCAAACTGGCCGTCATGGTCATCCTTGACTGCTCCTGCACTCCAGACAGCTTCTGGAATATCAGATTTGTCAAGTAGCTGATACTCTGTAAACTCCTCCTGCAGCTCAACAACCTGTTGAGGGGTGTGAAATGGGAGCACATGTGGATATTGTTTTGTGAAGAATAATACCTCCTCAAATGTTGCTGCTGCCCTTTCAGAACAATTTACAAATATGGCATGTTTCAGAAGATCATGGTCATCCAAGCATGGCAGCTTCTGTACAGCTTCAGAAGCAGCCTTGACAAAGAAAGCTCATGCTCCTTTGTAGAACATCTCCCGGTCTCTGGGCGATATATCACCCTCCTCTTCAAGGGCCATCAACTTATCTCTGGTGGCATTTCCAACAAAGATGTTGTCATCATCCAGTTGATTTTCAGGAAGCAGAAAGTCCACATCTGTTACCACTGGGAGACTCTTCCTGATGACTTCTACTTTAACAAACTTTCCCAACAGTTTTTTAGGAAGGAGGTCATCTGGGGGTATACCGCATAAATGCAGGGATCATCCCGCAGGAGAAACTTGTTAAAGTTGGTAAAGACAGGAAGCACTGACTGATAAAATACAAGGTATATTTCAGTCATTGGGTCTTCATAATGTCTCCTGAGTCTCTTAAACCTTGGTTGGGATTCTTGTGTTGATTTGAAGTAGCCCTTGGTACCTTCAAATAGTTCTAGGTTTCTGGTCACCGCTTTTTCAAGACTTAGCCATCTGGTGTTGACTTGTTTCACAACTTGTTTGTAATTGGTGTCGCAGAATGAGCAGAAATCACCAAGGATTGCCTTCCTTTTGTTGACTTGTCGAAGTAATAGAATATGTCCACACAAAAATCTTCCATGTCAAACTTCACCTCTGACTGAAAGGCATCTGAAGCCTTGCATGCTATGTTGTGGACTAAATGACAAGGGCATCCTACAAAATAGCATGATTGAACCTGTTGTTGAACTTTTGTCTCAATATTGTTTCTCTTTCCCAGATTGACACTGGTGTTATCCACACCAAAAGCTACACAATTTGACCATGGTATGTCGTGGACAGTTATTTTCTCATTAATCTTGTCAAAGATGCAGGCAGCAGTTGCAGAATTATTTCCTGAGGTGCAACACATATCCAGGATTCGAAATTCTACCTTGCTTGTATTGACATCATAAATGCGAACAGTCAACGGATTCATCTTTTCTAGGCCTGTATCGTTTGAACCATCAACTGCCAAGGAATATGGCTGAGCCTTCATCATGTCGACAAGGTTGGCTGAAATAAAAACATAATTGGTGACACAAGGTTCATTTTATTTCTAGTTATTATCGTAATGGTTCTTTTTGTTGACAAAGTTCTTAATAGTTTCACATAATAAAATAAACAAAAACTGGTAGTTATACTGTTCCTCATTAGGTTTAGCTGTGCTGTCCATCAGACATGAAAATAAATCAAAGTTACTTTGTTGCTGGTATAATAGTGTGCATGAAAATGCATCTAATTTGTGTACTTTAATAGTGTACATGTTCCACATACCAAGAAAAAAAGGAGCAATAGCTCCATTCAGCATACATGTAGTCTTGGTTTTCGCTGAGGAGTACTGTTTGGCAATCTTAGAATCTGGGAAGATATCTGCAAAAGCAGGAGACAAATGGTCAGATGTCGCAAGTGGCAGGTTATGCTGAGCAATGATGTGGGCAACCTTTACTTCGGCACGAGTAACCTATAGGAAAAATATTATAAACCGTTGTATTTTCTAAACCTTTCATGGATAACACAGAATAATAAATCAATATACAGCAAAATGCCTGATGAATAGCAAAATATTAGCCATATTAAAATATTAAATTAATTTCTAAGATGCCTAGCGGTTAGAACAATCGAAAAAAAATACACTATCAGACAACAAAGGTATAGTTTTTTGATGACGTAACAATTGAATGACGTAATCCCGTGACTGCGCCATTCTAGTGTGCCCCCTCATAATCGAACCATTTTACATTACATCACAATGTAGGCGACATCACGATGCATGTCAGTTGTCATCGCCTCGTACGGCCTCCTACAGTAAACTACTCCGTTGCATCCAATTTCTTGGTTTGCAGTCACTGGTGGAAACAGTACGTTTATGTTTTACGACTCACAAGTTTTCAGCGACACGGTAACGTTCGCAATGTTTACATTCCCACAATGCAATCGTGGAATGTCGCTTGACTACTCAGCTTCATTACCTGTCAGTGAAAGGTGTCAGAGATTCTACTGAAACTATGTAGAATGTGTTTTGTTCCATGGACACAGATAGGTGTAAGTACTTCAGTTACCTGTCAGTGAAAGGTGTCAGAGATTCTACTGAAACTATGTAGAATGTGTTTTGTTCCATGGACAGAGATTCTACCTGTCAGTGAAAGGTGTCAGAGATTCTACTGAAAATGTATGTATTTTGTTCCATGGACACAGGTAGGTGTCAGTACTTCAGTTACCTGTCAGTGAAAGGTGTCAGAGATTCTACTGTAGAAACTCCATGTACAGGAATGTGTACTTTGTTCCATTGGCACTGTGGTAGGTGTGAAACTATGTAGAATGTGTTTTGTTCCATGGACAACATTTCAGTACTTCAGTTACCTGTCAGTAAAGGTGTCAGATTCTACTGAAACTATGTAAAGTGTCAGAGATACTGTCAGTAAATTGAAAGGTGTCAGAGATTCTACTGTTACTATGTAGAATGGTTTTGTTCCATTGGCAGGTAGGTGCAGGTAAATGTATGTGAAACATGTCAGAGATACTACATTAGCTTTGTGTTGTTACATGCTACAGGCAGCTTCACAGTATGGACAATACATTGCTGTGTTTAGCAATGCTATTTAGCAATGCTATGTTCCTTGTATAAATAGCAGGCAAAGGATTCTATTGGGTTAAATTATCAACCCTGAGCTAATTCATCCACACCCAACAAAGCAGACGTATTGCAGACATATATTTATATGTTTTTGTAACTGTTAACAGACAATGTACACCTGATGTGTGCTGGTTTCATAAATCTGATGACTTACAGTGTGCATACAAGCATTCTATTTGACATTTTCACAGAAGATATATTAGCAAGAAATATAGTTATATTCGTGATTGTTGTGCATTTCATACACTCACAGTAATGTGATTTTATTTCAGAAATAAATTTCCAGAAACTAAGTGTACCAGGGGGCAAAGAATCACTGTTCTACTAGCAACTTGATCTGACGAGGAACTTGAATGGATTCAAAGTTTAGGTGAGTGCTTATGAAAAGCAAAATATATACATTGTGAATCTGACTTTGAAAGTATTCCTGCAAGAGAATATATAGTCATTATAATTTCCATAATTCAATTTTGTTTTACATGTTTTAGCAGAAGAACACATGTTTGCTCACCTTCCCTTTTGTCGTGTTGTGAGTATGTGTTAACAGTCCTAGGTACTGTCCATCCATTATCCATTGCTGTCGAATGAACTACCGTACGTCTCACAGACTGTAAATGGGGTCACTTGTGCTAAATATTCAATGTTCGGTTATAATACTTAAAGAAGTCTTTGTGTAAAGGTTCACTACAGCATCAATAGACATTATTTGATAAAACCATATTTGAGTTCTTTGTATATGTGTAATGATGGCACCTGTCACATTTTATGAAAATCTTTTTAATATGTATTCAGCAGCGTACGCATGTCCTGATTCTTGTTAACACGATATCTCATGAACTGTTGTACCCAATGTCTTCAAATTTGGTGACAGACTACATTGGTGGATTATGCAGACTCCAGTTGATTTTGGTGCCCTTGACCTTATTTTCAAGGTCACCACAACACTTTGACCACTTTTCAAACTCTTGATAACGCGGTATCACATGAACTGTTGTACCCAATGTCTTCAATTATGTTGACCGCCTACATTGGGTGATTATGCAGACAGCAGTCATTTCTTGTATGTGACCATAAAATAAAAAGTAGTAAATATGTTATAAATATTTCATTCTTCTTTAGCAACGGGGGACATTGCCGTATTAGTGGCACTTGTTTAGACACAAAGCAATTAAAATACAGGTTTAGAGTAAAAAACAGTTGTGTTTTTATGTCAGTGAAATACTCCACCTTCTTCCTCTTCATTTCCAGCCTTGTCCCCAAGGTGATCAATGGCAGCATTGCGGGTATTGTAGGAGTGACATGTGTGTTCCCCATCGACCTCGTCAAGACTCGGCTGCAGAACCAGCAACCTGGGCCTAATGGAGAGCTGCTTTATAAAAACCTGTAAGTCAAGCTTTCGTAGAACCTAAACTTCTAGCATCATTGATGTAGCCTGTACGTGTAACATCTTGCATTGATGTAGCCTATACATGTAACATGTTCCATTGATGTAGCCTATACATGTAACATTGCATTGATGTAGCCTATACATGTGCATTGATGTAGCCTGTGCATGTAACATGTTGCATTATGTAGCCTGTACATGTAACATGTTGCATTGATGTAGCCTATGCATGTAACATGTTGCATGATGTAGCCTATACATGTAACATGTTGCATTGATGTAGGCTCTACATGTACGTGTTGCATTGATGTAGCCTGTACATGTAACATTGCATTGATGCCTAGCATGTTGCATTGTAACCTGTGCATGTAACATGTTGCATTGATGTAGCCTGTACATGTAACATCTTGCATTGATGTAGCCTCTGCATGTAACATTTTGCATTTATGTAGCCTGTGCATGTAACATTGCATTGATGTAGCCTGTACATGTAACATTGCATTGATGTAGCCTCTGCATGTAACATGTTGCATTGATGTAGCCTATACATGTAACATGTTGCATTGATGTAGCCTGTGCATGTAACATTTTGCATTTATGTAAGCCTGTGCATGTAACATTGCATTGATGTAGCCTATACATGTAACATTGCATTGATGTAGCCTGTACATGTAACATGATGTATGAGCCTGTACATGTAACATTTTGATGTAATGTACATGTAACATCTTGCATTGATGTAGCCATACATGTAACATTTTGCATTGATGTAGATGTATGCCATTGATGTAGCCTGCATGTAACATTGCATTGATGTAGCCTGTGCATGTAACATTGATGTAGCCTGTACATGTAACATGTTGCATTGATGTAGCCTGTACATGTAACATGTTGCATTGATGTAGCCTGTACATGTAACATGTTGCATTGATGTAGCCTGTACATGTAACATTGCATTGATGTAACCTGTACATGTAACATGTTGCATTGATGTAGCCTGTACATGTAACATCTTGCATTGGTGTAGCCTGTACATGTAACATGTTGCATTGATGTAACCTGTACATGTAACATTGCATTGATGTAGCCTGTACGTGTAACATTGCATTGATGTAGCCTGTACATGTAACAACTTGCATTGATTTAGCCTGTACATGTAACATGTTGCATTGATGTGACCTGTACATGTAACATTGCATTGATGTAGCCTGTACATGTAACATTGCATTGATGTAGTCTGTACATGTAACATGTTGCATTGATGGAGCCTCCACCACTGTTGGAGCCTGAACATGTATCCTCCACCACTGTTGGAGCCTGAACATGTAGCCTCAACCACTGTTGGAGCCTGAACATGTAGCCTCCACCACTGTCGGAGCCTGGAGATGTAACCTCCACCACTGTTGGAGCCTGAACATGTAGCCTCCACCACTGTTGGAGCCTGAACATGTAGCCTCCACCACTGGAGTGCCAGCCTCCACCACTGTTGGAGCCTGAGATGTTCCCTCCACCACTGTTGGAGCCTGAACATGTAGCCTCCACCACTGTTGGAGCCTGAACATGTAGCCTCCACCACTGTTGGAGCCTGGAACATGTAGCCTCCACCACTGTTGGAGCCTGAACATGTAGCCTCCACCACTGTTGGAGCCTGAACATGTAGCCTCCACCACTGTTGGAGCCTGAACATGTAGCCTCCACCACTGTTGGAGCCTGAACATGTAGCCTCCACCACTGTTGGAGCCTGAACATGTAGCCTCCACCACTGTTGGAGCCTGAACATGTAGCCTCCACCACTGTTGGAGCCTGAACATGTACCCTCCACCACTGTTGGAGCCTGAACAGCCTAGCCTCCACCAGCCTGTTGGAGCCTCCACCACTGTTAGCCCTCCACCACTGTTGGAGCCTGAACATGTAGCCTCCACCACTGTTGGAGCCTGAACATGTAGCCTCCACCACTGTTGGAGCCTGAACATGTACATGTACCCTCCACCACTGTTGGAGCCTGAACATGTACCCTCCACCACTGTTGGAGCCTGAACATGTAGCCTCCACCACTGTTGGAGCCTGAACATGTAGCCTCCACCACTGTTGGAGCCTGAACATGTAGCCTCCACCACTGTTGGAGCCTGAACATGTAGCCTCCACCACTGTTGGAGCCTGAACATGTAGCCTCCACCACTGTTGGAGCCTGGACATATAGCCTCCACCACTGTTGGAGCCTGAACATGTACCCTCCACCACTGTTGGAGCCTGGACATGTAGCCTCCACCACTGTTGGAGCCTGAACATGTAGCCTCCACCACTGTTGGAGCCTGGATTAACAATAACGGCCTGTACGAATCAGCCATTTCACAAAAGAACTACTCTTGCGCCCTCCCATGAAATATGACAATGCCTGTATTGACCTGACTGACAAGGACACCTGTCTGTTTCCCCCCACTACATCTGTGAACGTACATGTCTGGGGAGCCATGTTGATGAGAGGTAGCATCTGGTTGTCATCATTCAAACATGCCCACAGTGATAGCACATGTGACATATTGTCACAGCTATAGAAATCTGATCAGACCGACTAGGTACAGCAATTACTTGTGATATGACGAAATTGTTAACAGTTATTGAATTGAACTAATACAAAGCGCTTTTCTCATTATTTGGTATGTTGTTGAAGGATATTAATCAATAAGTGCTCACGTGACTGGGTAAGACAAGTTTATCGAAATAGTTGTTCTATTGATAAAATGTTGACAAATGTTGTCTTTTTTTTATAACCTTAAACTGATAAGAGAGTATATGAAAATATATTTGTGTTTTTATGTACCTAGGTATGTTAAAGGAAATAGCCAATTGTTGGTTTATCAGTTAAAATGAAGAATGGGTCATAGGGGACAGGTGTGTGGTATTGCTGTAAAATTTGTTTTGATTACTATATATTGCAATTATGGGTTGAATTGGTAGAATGGCATTATAGTAAATGTCTGAATGTTGTTTTCGTAAATGTGAAAACATATCAATTCATTTTAAAAAACCCTTCAAAATGTTTTGATGACATGCATGATAAGAAGTAAGAAATTTTCAGGATATCATTTATAATTCTTTATGATTTAGAAAGAGAATCTTTATATCATTTTTCAATTATCTTTCCGGCAACTGTTTTTGATTTATATGTTGCTGTTATATTTTTTAAATAATATCATATAATTTACACAAATGAAGTGGGATCTTGTGTTCCTGATTACCATGGTAACAGTATTACACGTCTTTCCAGCGTTGACTGTGGGGTGAAGACATTCCGCAATGAAGGTTTCTTTGGAATGTACAGGGGTGAGTATTTTCTGGAAGTACAAGGCTGTTTTGTATGGTCCTGCAATCAGCTGATGGAGATAGGGGCGTGTTGATTACTCACTTGATGATGCTTAGTGATGGTATTATAGTACCAAATTTTGAAGTATGTTAATGGAAAAAGGAGGTGACAGATTAACTATAGTAATATGAATGAATTGGGTGCGCTTTTGAGCAGTTATACTGACTGGATTCTTGCGCTATATAAGTTCTTAGTTGATGATGATGATGATGATGTTCTTTAACATGTCTTCAGTAATATATGTGTTTGGGCGTGTACGTATACTACCGTATATGACCGTCTATAAGCCGAATTTTGAGGACCAAAAAAAGCAGTCTGTAGAAGGGGGTCGTCTTATCCATGAGTTACACTTTCGTCAAACTTTTTTCCAGGGGTAAGAAAACAACATCGTATCACTTCGCGTGAACAAACAACAGAAGACGACTTTGTCAGTAGAGACGTCAAATTTGCAATTAAACATCACTAGACAAGATTAATTACCATTTAAGTTATAAGTTGTTTTTGCTGGGCATTGTTTTATTTGCAGGGATTAAGATTACCGTGCGTATTTGTCTCGCATACACAAAACCGAAATAGCAATCAGCTGTGCACGCGCTTCCCAGCGAACAAGTTCAAACATGCACAATAATATAACGGGATCTAATTCTGGACGCAGTCATCAGTAAAATATAATACAGAATACCGTTATTTAACCCAAAGAAATATATCCTAGCATTGTGTAATTTTAGTTACAGTTTTTGCTCTATAAATTAATTAAGATTACCGTGCGTATTTGTCTCGAACACAAAGCCGGAAATAGCAATCAGCTGTGCACACGTTTCCTGGCGAACAAGTTCAAACATGCACAATAATATAACGGGACGAATTCTGACGCAGTCATCAGTAAAATATAATACAGAATACCGTTATTTAACCCAAAGAAATATATCCTAGCATTGTGTAATTTTAGTTACAGTTTTTGCTCTATAAATTAATTAAGATTACCGTGCGTATTTGTCTCGAACACAAAGCCGGAAATAGCAATCAGCTGTGCACACGTTTCCCCGTGAACAAGTTCAAACATGCACAATAATATAACGGGATGAATTCTTTTGACTATGTCTATCACTTTGAAAACCCAAAACATCGCGTTATAAATATGTCATTATGATTCAGGGTGTTAGATGGTTCATTATTGTGGAGATATTCCTGAGTATCATAAAGATTTCTATAAAATTAGGTAATTATATAGAATAATGTCCTATTATTGAAATGTCCTTTTGGAAAGATTCTTGAGAGGCATTTAGAAGTTGGTGAATATATAAGACGAGTAGATGGATGGCAACTTTTTGTTTATTGTATAACAGGCTTTCCTATTGAAAAGTCGTGTTTAGTAAAATCTCAGCTTGTTAAAGATAAATAGCATTAAAGAAGGTTTTGTTTGGGGAAATAATTGTACTACCCTGGATGTATGGTCCTGATGTAGTTGATGCTGATGCACAGCAGGCCCTGACAAACCAGGCAATACTTAATCTAACTATGCTAACATGTTGCAACACTATTTTCATATTGCTAAGAGCTGAACAAAATGTGATGATTGGCAAAATACAAGTCTTTATGTTTTTGTCTTTTCACCTTTAGGTATATTTGGGGTAAAACATGGATATCAAATTTGTTTGACCTGCTGATAAATGCTCATTGAAGGTCAAGGTTTTATAGATACTGTGTATTACAGGCTCAGGAGTGAACCTGCTGCTCATCACCCCTGAGAAGGCAATCAAGCTGGTTGGCAATGACTTTTTCCGACACAACCTGCGCACAGATAAGTGAGTAACGACAGGCTAGTAAACAAGTGCTAAAATCACAAATTACTAGTAAAATAGATTGATAATTGAAACTTGAAAAAAAATGAAATATCTTGGACAATCTGTTCTTGCAATGTTAATGTTTTTCATTACTATAGAGAAGCAGTTTAGTGAATCACAGGGACAGTAGGATGTCACAAGACACAGTGGCATAGTCTCGCAAGATTCCCCTACTAGAGAAACAACAGGTATCATTCAGTGATGTCATATCATGACGTTTCTAGCCAATATATGAAGGTACTAATATCATACACTGAGGCTATTAATTGAACCATATTGTGGATATTGCCACTGTTGCCATGCTTGTTTCATGAACATAGGAGGCTGATAACAATAAATAATGAATCAGATAGTACTAACACAAAAGGCAGATAGCAAGAACAAAGGAGGCTGATAATATTACCAAGTGAGTGAGAGAGTATGGTTTTATGCCACTTTTAGCAATATTCCAGCAATATCATGGTGGGGAACACCAGAAATGGGCTTCACACATTGTACCCATGTGGGGAATCAAACCCGGGTCTTCGGCGTGACGAGTAACATTACCAAGATGATGACATTACTTCAAGAAGCAAGTACCATTAACTTATACGGTTGATACCATTACCTGATAAGGCTGATATCATTGACTAATGAGGGAAATATGATCCGTAATTCCCTGTTTGTTCAGTGTTGCCTTGTGTTGCAGAGGGACACTTCCCCTCAGTCGGGAGCTGCTGGCAGGAGGAGGGGCTGGGATGTGTCAGATAATTGTCACAACACCCATGGAGCTGCTCAAGATACAGCTCCAGGATGCTGGCCGCTCTGGTAAGTGTGTAGTCAGTTGACCTGTTGATTTAGTTCCAGCCTAGTGAGTGAGTGAGTGAGTGAGGTGGTGTTAGTTTTAACAGTATTTATTTTCAGTAGTATTTCCTGCATGTCAGCTTTATGTGTGAGGATGTGATCCAGGTGGTAGACATTATCATTTTATAGCTTGAGCACTTTTGTGCTGCCATATCTACAAAAATTATCAGGGCAATCCAGGATTCGAAGTGACAATGGTAGGTTTATGGCAAGCGTAAGGGAGACAACTCTGCACAGCAAAATTTGATGTGTGTACTTAACTCCACTTCATACTGTTGCATATTCCAGCCAAGGTAGATCTGACTGCCAATGGTGCTGTAGCAGGCAAGCCAGTCACAGCTCCCCGACTCTCTGCAACGAAGATTGCCATGGACTTGCTCCGACAGCGAGGCATCTTTGGCCTGTATCAAGGATGTGGAGCCACAGCCCTTAGAGATGTCACCTTCTCAGCCATCTACTTTCCTCTGTTTGCTCATCTCAATGCATTGGTAAGAATATCAGACTGTGCTGGATACTGTTGCTGCTTACAATTATACTTTCGTGTTTGTTCCATTAATGGTGCTTGAGGTTAAGATGAGTGGAGTAATGTTATACTTCTCTGTACGTTTTTTGGGTGCTGGATATTGTGATGTATGGTATGGGAGTCCAGCAGTGTTTAATGATGTTGATGATCAGTTTCATGTCTGTGCAAGATCCTTTGTGGGGACCCGTGAAGGTTATATTGATCTTCAGTAACCCATGCTTGTCGTAAGAGGCGACTAACGGGATCAGGTGGTCAGGCTCGCTGACTTGGTTGACACATGTCATCAGTTCCCAATTGCGCAGATCGATGCTCATGCTGTTGATCACTGGATTGTACTCTGTTGTTGGTGCATGATGGGTGATCTTGTTTTCTTGTCGGTGGTGCATGACAAGGTGTTTTTCTCTGTTGTTGTGCATGACAAGGTGTGGTTCTCTGTTGTTGGTGAGTGATAGGTTGTGAGTGGATGGTAGGGGGTTATTCTGTTGAAGCATGGCATACTGTATTCCTTGTGATCAGCTGTGGAAGGTAATATTAATCAGTTAAATATATTGTTATATACATGTAGTCAGTTTGCAGTAGAGGTATGAGACATGTTGTCACCTCCACTAAATGAGACTGATTGTGTTGTGAAGGGCAAGCGGCGGGAGGGTAGCGACGAGGCAGTGTTCTACGTGTCCTTCCTGTCTGGGTGTGCAGCTGGTTGTGTGGCATCACTGTCTGTCAATCCTTTCGATGGTGAGTAAGCGAGGAAATGTAAAACACCACAGTCAGCAATATTGCATTACATACAATATTGCTACATATCATGTAGCGTTGTTTAACACCCCACTAAGCATATATTTCAAGCATATGACAGATTTTCATGAGAATGGTGATCTTTTGCATACCGATGATTTGGTAATCTGAATGATTGCAGTAAGAAGAGTATTGTCTAGACATGTTTCAGTGTATATCAGGGTGGCCTGTAAATCAGATAAGATTCATGCTGTCATGACCTGAAATCTGATTTGTTAATACTACTATAAAGATAATGTCATTAAATACAACAGTGTATGGCTTTAGTGACCACCTCTGTAGTCTAGTTGAGTGCCTGTATTGAAGATTAGTGGCTCAGTCCCTGGACACATCAAGCCCCAAAATGTTAAAAGATGGTGGCCACATGAATACGTGCAAACACCTAGTTGCGGGTACAGCAACGTGCAGTGAACATGGACAAAGTACTGTGACTATGTGTCCCAGTCCACCCAGCTGTGAATGGGTACCTCGTTAGGATGAGAAAGCCACAATAACTCGGTGCGCCTAGTGGCTGCAAGAGTTGTATACTCCCCAGGGAGTTGAGATTGATAATGCGATGTGCTGTTGAGATTTACATCCAATGATCGAGGGAAAAAATACCAGCACCTTGAGCATACACTAGTGCGTGGATATGTGCGCTATATAAATATCCTATAATAATAATAATAATAATATTAAACTGAAGCATTAGCACAATACATCTAACATTAGTCCGGACTAGAACAAGCAGGTACACACATGCACACACAGTTCAGTTATCTTGAAGGTATCTTTTAAATGCCATTTTACCTCACCTCACCTATGACTGTATCATAGCTTTATTGTGATGCTGTCTATTTGCTTGTAGTTGTGAAGACAAGGCTACAGACTCTACACAAAGGCAAGGGGGAGCAATCATACTCTGGGATCATTGATTGTTTCAGGTGAGTTGTCTCCCCTGTTGAGATTGTTGCCTATGTGTATAGTTACTCATATTGCTCGAGCATGTGTTACACTCTAGTATGTGTGTCACTCGTTGTGCACATGCAGACAGTCTAAAAAGAAATCAGTATTTAAAACTAAGGGGGGCCCTATGATCTTTGAGGTCTTCTGTAGGTTTTTAATTGAGGGACCCCAAAAATTGGTACCTTTGACATTAGGGTTATGACAAAGACTCCTGACTCCTGACTTACAAATCAGAGCACTTTCAGGATCCTTAACTGCATTCTGTCCATACAAAGGTATGTTTTGCTGCATGTATTATTTGGCAGAGTTCAAGCCCCACTTGCACAAAACAATCTTTAGGCTATAATTAATGTCAATCCTTAAGATCACGATTTTAGGCTTTGGTTATCATCACCATCCACTTGTACAAAGCAATCGTAGTCTCAAGTCACTGATAGCTACAGTAGAAACTTTCAATTTGTCCGGACAAATCGTGAGTAGCTAAGATCGTTGTAGATGTGAATAAACTTCGCAAAATGGTGTTCAAGTCGGGATCTGTTTCACACAAGTAAGCTGATTTATGTTAAGTCTGTTCTTAAATCCATGTCTTACAATCAGACTAACATTGGTTTGTACAAGTGGAGAAGGACAGTTGTATGGTGATTGTAGTGCTGATTGTAGGAGGCTAAGATTGATTGTAAGTGAGATTCCTCTTTACTGGTGGGTCCAGATCTTGTCTGGTTCCTGTGACATACAGGAGCTCTCTTATCCACCTTACCTATTTTCGTTCTGGGATAGGAAAGGGCACCCACTTCTATGATACAAAGTACTCTTTTCATTGAATCTCATTTTGACAAGATTGTGACACCCTTGCCTGTAATATTTGATGAACATCCTGCTTTGTTGTGACCAACATGTTAAACTATGTATACATTGCTCAAAATACACAATCTCATGACATATATTTTGGCTTCAGGAAAGTGATGTCGAATGAGGGACCCAAAGCTTTCTTCAAGGGAGCCGCATGCCGTATTTTGGTGATTGAGCCTCTGTTTGGGATTGCACAGACCGTTTACTATCTTGGTGTAGCGGAATATCTGATGGGTTTGAAGAAGTCTTGAGATGGGTGGTTTTAGTTGTGTGAGATGTATCTAGTGCATGTGTGTAGATATCTGTTCTTGCACTAGGCGCTCACAGATCAGTGTGCATGATTGCAAAACCAATCTTAATGAAAATTTGCCAAAGATATTTTACTTTGTGATGGATCAAGAATAAGTAGGTCAGATGAGTGACGCAAAATGAACCAGATGGCACGAAGAAAAGGAGGAGTAGTTACTGATTGATTTCCATGGTGTGGTGCAGTTTGACCTTCACATTGGAAGGTTCAGGCTATACTGACGGTAACTTCTATATTTTGTTTTGTGACATGACTTGTAATTTTATTAGTGCTGCATTCCACACAACATATACAACGATATACATGTATAGTGCTACTGTCACTTTACCAACAGTTACCGGCACCATTAAATTGTGTGATTTTACTAGATGTTGCAAAGAATATTTGTCTCTTTCCAAACACTGAGTTATACAATCATTGATGACATAAAATAGTTGCTTTTAAACTGTTAATAAGTGCAGTGTGGAGGAAAGTCGCTCCTTCACAAGGTACTTCCACACTGCCTGTATGTGTTATGATTTATATGTTGTTTTCCAAACCAAAGTTTATGATCTTACTGGTACCACTAAAAGTGCTGTCAGTATGTATCAAGATGACACTTACTAACTGAAGGGCCAAAGTGATATTGTTTTCTAAATAATACTGGACTATTTTTATTTCTAATTTATGTGTGAATGACAAATGTGAGATGCTTTAAAAAGACACTACAAGTAGGTTGTATGTAAGTGTTCTTGGATATAGTGCTCCTGTAGCTTGTGAGTCAGATATGTGTGTGACCTTGTGTATCAAATCATGTGTGTGATCTTGTGTATCAAATCATGTGTGAGACCATGTGTACCAGATGAGACCGTGTGTGTCAGGCTGTGTATGTTAGACCGTGTGTGTCAGACCATCTGTATCAAGTGTCTGTTAGGCCATGTGTGTTGTTTGCCAGACCAAATGTGTCAGGCACAACATGTGTCTGGATGAAACCACTTGTGTCAACCAGCAAATGTGTGTTAGGCAGCAGAATGTGCATGAGTCAGACCAAGTGTGATAGTCAACCTGTTGGTTTCAGACAGAACATGGAAGTCATACTATGCGTGTCCATAAGACTTCACACAAGTCATACCATGTGTGTCAGTGTGTATCAATCAGGCCCCGTGTGACAGTAAGACACTGCATGAACTCATTGGCTAGCAGATTGTAAGATATATTTTAATTCCTTTTGTAAACTGCATATACTGTTATTTGCTAGTTTCTGCTGGGTGTTTTCATGAGTTAAAAAATTGTTAATGTTTGTGTACATTGTGAACATAATTTTTGGTTGATTTTTAACTGATTTTAGCAACTGTTACTTTTTAACATTGACAGTATTTCCACAGGGAACACCAAACGGGGTAGATATTGAGGCCAACTCAGTTCTTCCACAATAAACATCAGTAAAAATAGTTACTGTGTATACATCAGCTGACTCAGTTTCTGAACCACCCACTGGAATGAAACCAAAGATTTATTTTTGTACTGTGTGCTGTTAGTGCAAGCAGATACCATATAATAGAGGTGCAAAGCAAGCAACTTGTCCATTGAGTTCCTCCCCTTGTCCCTCCCTGGCCATAGCTCCATTCTACAAAGCCAATCCATAGCGCTATGATTGTTGTGTGGAACGGATCCAGGACAGGTGGCTTGTACTGCTAATATTCCACTGTTCTCTGTCCACATTCGAGATATTCCATGCAGTGTCACTATGTCATAATGAGGAGGAATCTCTTCTGTAAATATTTCCTGAAAAATGGATCCATGTAACAAAATACTGTTGGCTCTGTTGCCCCACAATGGCAGGGAAACATCACATCACAGCATTGCCATTCTACTTTCAGACAGGAACAATTTTACCTTTTTTACAATTAGTTTGAATAAGGCCAGACATTTTGGTAGGGAAATGATTTTCAGATTTTAGAGCCAAAAATTCATGTAGGAAGAACATGGTCAAAACAAAATAGATACTGGGTTATCAGATACACTTTCACCAAGTTTGTATTACATCATTCTAAATAATTTATGTATTTTGATATTGGTAGAAAATAGGGTTACCGGTATATATTTTACATACTTCTGGTCGTTGGGGGTGGGAGGGATGGCTAGGGTAGCTTGGTGGATACAAATTTCAGCTGATTTATTATCTGGAAAATGTCAGGGCTAACTTGTTGCATAATTAAACAGTATGCCAGGTATATTATAGGTTTTGGGAAGAAATCCCTATGTGCATACTATGCAAATTTATATTGCAAGACTATACAGGGAACATACAAGTTGATATACCATGGTGCATGTGTATTTAGGGGATACACAGGTTCATATATCAAGGTGCAGGGAGGGCATTCTACACTTATATACCAACATAGTACATAGTACATGGTTATTGTTACACATAATAGCTTGGTTTGATGTTGGCACATGCAGTGTGTAGCAACTGTTGTTGTTTTGTCTGTTGTAAATATTTGTGTTATGTTGTTGATGTAGGTGTAGTTTTACATAGGCTCTGTGCCTCAGCCAGTCCACAATCTCCAGTAGATTATCCTCTTTGCCCCGGTGTATTTTATGACAATTCCGAGAAACATGGAACCATGGGAGACAAATAACCCAGATCTGTTGTATATAACTATGATCTGCCTCTCTACCAACCATTCAGATTCTGGCGTGACACTCCAAGGGGATCAGGGTCACGTGAAGTAGAAATTAGCATAGCATTCTCTGCTGGTTGTGAATTCTTGAAGACTATTTGAATATTGTCCTGTGATTAAATATTGTGATATCCTTAAGACCAAGAATCCTTAAGCTCCAATCAAACATCAAAATTTTGTTGTTAGAATAGAATTTTTCTTGTTACAGAGTTTAGAATTAATAAGTTCACGCTAGACATTTGGTATATTTCACATTTGTTGTGTGGAATTTTTTTAATCCAGTTTATTTGAATGAGAATGTTGACTAAGCGAAACAACTCTTCTGATCCTTGTTTCAAGTACAGGGAGTATTTGTCTTATGTTAGACTGATATTGGCAAGACAATTGTGTATGGTTTGTGTCACAGATGGCCCACAAAACTGCTACTCCATGCTGTGTTGACAAGTTATGTACAAGGATATTCTTATTAAAAGAAGAGATCACTTCATTCTTTCATATTACTATAGTAAATCTGTCATGCAGTTTTGAGTCTTTTCAGTACATGCTGTGCTCACATTGCTTATGTTCGTCAGGCAGTACCATATTTCCTCCATTAGACACTCTGCTGGTCTTGGTCATACGCTCAGTGACAAAAGTAAAAACCAGGTCCTAAAAAGGGCAGGGGTGTCATTTGATGAAATTAATAACCTTATTCACATTAACTTATAGCAGATAATAATTAACTCCCTTCTGAATCATATCCGTTTCCTACAAATGCACCCATTCTAATATTGGAAAAATGGAATTCTGTAAAGAAGTGAGTGGCCAATGCCGCATATCACCGAATAGATATCTGCGTCCATTAGGCATGGATTTAAAGCTTTTTACTAAACTAATTGAGGCCCAGGTGTCCAGTAGAGAAGATATTGTGTTGTCTTCAGTCCTACAGCATTACAATCTGAATCTTGCATACTTTAGGACATGAAAAGTGTTTCAGTGTAGGTGTACTGCACAAAATAAAAACATGATTTGGAAAGGTAGTGATGCTTTCTACATCGATAATGTCTTGGAATGTTCATATCAAAGGATAACCACTTAAGAGTTGAATTAGGAAAGTTATGTTAGATTGTTTTTTCCCCCAAACATTTTTTCTTTGTCATTTTTAAATTACCATATTGTGCTTTTTTAAATTTATAAGACACTGATGATACTAATACTTAATCAAAACAGGTCCTTTTACCATTTTGTTGCAGTGTGTTTATGTCAGGCTGGATTTTGTTCGTTGTTCTGTGTGATAAATTTTACGTCTGGGAAAGACAAGGAATTATTTGCCTTTTACTTTTTCCACAATTTATTTTCGAAAATTCATGAAAGAGAAATATTTACTTATGTATTGACTAGTCTATATTAATAGTGTATTTGTTTATCATTCCATAACATGTTCCCTTTACAGGAAACACTAAAACTACACAATAACTGTCAGCCATTGTTTCTGGTTTGTGTAAATGAAGGAACTGTAAAAATGGGTGGTGTGTCTGTGAGGTTAGAGGAGGGATCTATGCCCAATGTCTGCTTGGCTTCTACCAGGACGAAAGATCCTTTTGTTATGTCATACATTGTTGCATACAAAGCATCATAGAATAAAATTCTTTGAAATAACTCTAGTTCTGTTTTATTCTCATCATCTTTGTGTGACAATAAATAATGTTAAAGTGCTCCAGCCATGCTGAGTGAGAGAGTTTTCACAGACCAGTGATATGTGACTGGAGTATTGCTGACAGAGATGTTCAACATCATGCACAGCATAAAGCGGCTTTGAAGAGTTACCCGAGATGCCGACCTCTGCGATTTTATCGTTGTCCCTACGAATTTTAGCCTCAAACCATGCCAATATGATTGCACTAGAAATTCTATGAAACTTTGAAGACAATTATTAAAATTTGGATATCTAGACAGAAATATATATTTTCGTTGATTAAATACATTTTCGTCAAAAAGAGACGACAAGAAGATATATAATGCTGATAATTTGGAAATCTGCTGTTGGAGGTATGTCAAATGAAAGCTTCACTCTTCATTAGTGTCATATTATTATCTTTATCAGAATCCATGATGATTTTAAGAATTTAGTTGACTACTACCGGTAATTTTATGGTCAAACTACTAATTTTGATCCTGGAAACTACTATTTTCAACACTTTGGGGTTGGCATCTCTGAGTTACACTGTTTGATAGCTTGATGTGGGAAGAAAGGCCTAACTGATGCAGGTCTCAGAGATTTGCCATTTTCATAAAGCCAGGAACAAATACATGAAGCTGGCTAATCAAGGAAAATATCAGAAAATCCTAGGAAAATTCCAGAAAATGAGGGATGTTCTTGTGCACGGTGATTTGTGGCACCTTTGACAAGTGGTTCACCTGTTGCAACTACGAATCCAGAAAACTTTTTTCAAGATCAGTTTGATCAATGTGTTGCAGAATTGTATAGGCTTTTTCTTTTGTACATAAGGGGAGCTAGCTATTTCCTCTAATCTCACATTACACTTCAACCAAAAGAAGACCAGCAATCTTGTAATTTTAGGTCTCATGTAATAAGAAGAATGTCAGATTTTTATTCATTTTGCTTTCTGTCTTCTACCTATCTGTGCACTGATTGACGACATGGAGACCAATCAACCGCAGACTAGAATATGATCTGGAGGAATGTCAGAGTGTGATGTATCTCCATTCTAGTTATGAGCCATGGAGGGGCGGTGGGGTAGCCTAATGGTTAAAGCGTCCGCTCGACACGCTGAAGACCCGGGTTCGATTCCCCACATGGGTGCAATGTGTGAAGCCCATTTCTGGGGTCCCCGCCGTGATATTGCTGGAATATTGCTAAAAGCGGCGTAAAACCATACTCACTCACTCACTAAGAGCCATGGAAAATATTACCTCTTTTTCAACCAAAAGTCTGCCTGTTACCATGGTTACTGCAGATTAATGCAATATACAGTACACATAATTTGATAAGGGTATTTCATACTAATTACATAAGAGTTTGCTGTGTTATGAAATATCCCAATCACAACGTGAATAGTATAGCAAAAAAATCCCAGAAAAATCCTTGCACTTTTTAAGCCTTGTTTACATGCACCCCTTTGCCCCCCGGGTAAAATACCCCATGGGGTATTAATACCCCCGAGAGGCAAATTTTGTCGTATAAACGGGTCTAACAGGGGGGTAAATTATACCCCCAAGGGGGTATTCTGCCCCTGGTCAAGAGGTGGAGCAAATTCAGTTACCCCCGGGGGTATTTTACCCCTTGGGGGGTAAAAGTGTCATGTAAACGGTCTATCAAGCTAAATCCAACCAAGGGTACATTTGTAGACCCTTCCACCCTTTCTTATAATGGAATGGTTTTCCAGCAAATCTAGACATGTTGGTGTGTATGCACTACCCACCCTGTCATTAATTTGTAGCTCTACACTGGAAACAACATGCCTCCGATAAACAAGCGTTTACAATGTGGTTAAGCCTGGACAGATGATGAGACAAAGGGTCTGTTGAGTATCTGCAGAGACATTCCCATCCAATCCCTTGTGGACAGCCCCTCAAAAGCTGATACAGCTGTTTATTCAAAGGTGAACAAAGTAATGCATGAACTTGGCTTTGAGAAAACGGGCTATACAATGCACAGAACGAACGAAAACACTTAAAAATCATAGAGACAGTGTAGGGAATCACTTAAGAGAAGTAAGGTGAGGTGAAATTGGGTTTAATGTCGTGCTTGAGAATATTTCGCTCATATGACGACGTGCATGCGTGTGTATGTGTATGTGCGGCTGCTTGTACTAGTCCAGACTGAAGCTGGTTTTATAGTGCTAGCCCACTGAGATACCATGCCGCAGTGAAGCATGAACACCCCACTCAGACACATTATGCTGACTCCGAGCCGACCAGTTCTTGTTGTACCCATTAATGCCGAGCGCCAGGCAGGGACCAACAAGTACCATATTTTAACGTCTTTTGGTATGACAAGGTTGGGGATCGAACTCCCGACCTTCCGCTCTCCGGGCAGACGCTCTAACTTAAGAGGAGTGGACAGCCCCGAAAACTCTGCACATTTTATGAACAGCTAAATGAAATTTTGGATACAAGACCTGCGACATCACCTGGAAAGGTCATTCAAAGTCTCCAGCAGTCAGTTGCATCAGATACAGACATATCTGATCTTGAAGTTACTGATGATCATGTTACCGACAACATTGCTGATGATGTCGAACTTGCTGAGCCAGGAGATTATGCATATGTTAAAAATGGCCAACAAAATGATCATACGAAAAGAAACACAAAGGAAAACAAAGAAAACCCAAACTGCAAACAACTTTGAAAACTGTCATGGATTAGTTTGCTAAACCTAATGAAGATATTGAAGCAAGGCAGATTGAGTTGGAAAAGAAACAAATTGAGCTGGAAATGAGAAAAATGACGAGAGAAAGAAAATAGAGAGTTTGCACTTAGGAAAGAAGGAGAAAGACAGAAAGTTTCTGACAGAGAACACCACTTGCGTATGCTACAGTTCATCATGAACCCAACATCATCAACCATATGCCAATCCATCATCCATCCAATCTCCAACATTCTTGTCCAGTGGTATCAACTTGACCTTGTGGTCCTTGGTCGCCATCATGTACCTCATCAACCTCATCCAGCCAGTCAGGGTTGAACATGTGGTCTGATTCACACATGTTATGCGCCTACATCTTCCTTAGAAGGGTCCAAATGAATATTCAATGACCATCCGGGCACTGCTGAAGCGGAAGTTGAAGTATGACTTCTCATCTGATTGGGTTCCTCCGTTGCTGTACGGTGTTAAAAGTTAGTGAGACATATGAATGGCCGGATTTGCAATGATGACGACAGGCATGTCACCATCATTGTTAGCAGTACCCACTCTTTTCTTCCACTCTGGGGACTGTGGTAACATGGGACACCATCTGCTGAAGCTTTGAATCCTGAACTAGAGAATGGAATCATGAACTCTACCTGGCCACCTGATGCACACATTTGTAAACTAGTACTTGTCATCACATACAGAGAGCAGGATCACTAATACCATCCTTTTCTGTTCACGTAGTCGGCGTGAAACTGTTGCGGAACAATGATCGGGCTATGTGTTGCTTCTGGCGCCAGCACAGTTAGGAAATTTCCATATGTCCTGAAACCCTGATTTGACTTTCCTTAGCTCCTCGCCTATAGGAAACTTCACAACATCTGGAAACACGTGTGTACAAGTGGCATAACACACTTCATGTACTACACAACAAACTGTTGACCTGTGAATCCCAAACAGATTACCAACAATGCGATATTCTACTGTTGTGGCCAAGTAGTATATTGTAACTGCTAATGTGAATGTGAAGATGGAACTTTTCACAGAGCCGCTGGAACATGTCCCTTGACATTCTGACGTTTTCCTTACACTGAGTTTCATCAAAACGTGGTACAGTTACTTCCCACCAATATCTACTCATTTCCTTTTCCCAAACAAGGCGTTCTCTAGTGATGAACCCACGCACAGAGTTTGGACGAATCTCTTCCGTTTTCTAGATTTGGACAAACGTCTATATTTATCCATGGTTATAGAGAAGTGACAAGAAATATCAATACCCCCCACCATGTAAACGCAGGCACAATTTTGCCCTTTGCCCCTGTGGGTAAATTTACCCCCAGGGGCAAAATACCCATGGGGTAAAAGGGGTGCATGTAAACAAGGCATAAGAGGCTATTGATGCATAAAAGATGTTTTGAAATAAGGAATTTATTGTTTTTTCACAACCCTCAAGTTGACTGCAGTATGATATGTAATATAAGCAGCAGGTAGCAGGTAATAAAATATTGAAAATAAATATAATATATCATTATGCTATTTTCTTTGGGAAGGTTACAAAGTACATCAGAATACTGTCATAGTACTAAAGAAAATACATGTTATGAAATGATAAATATTAACATATACATTGTATAAGCATTGCATTTACATGACCTAGTAAAATACTGGACTTGGATAGGTTGCCATTTGGTAGAAATGTATGGTGAAAGATTGGACCTCATTGTTATCCTGCTGGCTGGTGTGACTTACATGCCACCTGAGTATAGAGATTGTGACATTGTGTCACATGACCTGAGTACACAGTTCTTCACATCGTGTTCCATGTTACCAGAGGATAGGTATTCATGTTATGTCACCTTTGACTGAGCACTCAGGTCTTTGCTTGATGTCACTGAGTATCATAACTGTTACACAACAAATATTTCAACAAATGAATAATGACTTAGCACGAAATATATAATTTTACAAGATGAATCTTGTGCACCCTGAGACCCAACATTAAAACCCTGTGACAAGCCATAGCAAATGCACTCATGCATGTGCATCCACTCCCACAAACACCATAACATTTTGAGAGATCAGATGACCTCTTTCAAATATAATGTGCTAACAAGGTAAAAGCTACTTTGATCATAAGGATGATTTTCTGGCTGCAAATTTCTGATGCATCAGAAGCTCAGTAACCAAGACACTTATACACATGGAAATTAATCAAGCACCCCCTGTTAAATTTTGAACAATGATATAGCTTGTGGCAAAATATCGGAAGTGGAATGTAAACATATCAACATGTTATTGAAACAATTAAAATATTGAATACTGACATCATTTTAGGGATTTTCATTACTCAAGAGCCTTATCTTCCATTTAACAATTTGTTCTCCACCAAATTTAACATGAATGACACCTTGTGTTTACATACAGGGTGTAGTTAATTAATTTCTAGGTGAATATTTTGGCTGAACAAGTCCAATTGTAAATAAATAGGGGGACAGAAAACGTTCACATCAACATCAAACAGTCATACATAAAACACTTCTATAAATATATGAGCAACACTGCATAAATATATACTGCATAGTAAGCATTACTGACCACCAACCGTCGTGTCTTTTCTTCCCTACTCAGTAGGGAAACTTACAGTGGACATCTGAAGATCGACATTTTGTACTGACTAAGACCATTATCACAGTAGAGACGTCCCCAGCTGCTAGAAATACAGCAGTCGGTGCAGAAACATTTCAGCAGGAAGATGTGAAAGGAGAGAATCCATACCCACTCATCTGTGTTAGTTGCTGAAAGCACTTTGGATATAAAACTTGGGTCTATGGAAGCAAAGAACAGGATTTCTATTTACAGATATACATGTATACACATCTACAGTCATACATAGATTTGGAATATAACTGGCACCAGAACAAGAAGCAATCAAATAGATTCTACAACATGATAATGAGATATTGTATAGAATGGAAATCACTGAAACATTAACCATTAGCTTTGTGGGAGCTTTCCATTTAGTTGTGCACATTTCAGAGTATATAAGACTATTCAAAATCAGTTTAAGAACACCTGATTGTTTCACATCAATGAAGTTAATCAAATGTAAATCTGTCATACCATGACTTCCAAACAATTAGAAAACATTTTAACAATTGATTAACCAAAAACAAATTATTTTCAAAAGTAGAAGTTTTGGGCAACCATTTGAAACTTCTTGGAGTTCTGAACAAAATTTCGACACTCTTGCTCTAGTGTAATGATTTCTTATCATCCATTTTATTCATGTACATTTGTGAAGTAAAACACAGTAAGCAAGTGTGATGGCCCTCTTTGTTGATGTCACGTTCAATTGTAGTGACATCACAGACGACGAAATACAGAAACAATGGTTACTTGGCAAAAGTGATATGTGCCCATGTGATATACATGTATATGACACTGCTTATGTTCTGCCATATGGATAATAATACATGTTTATTATCCTAGGAATGAACACTACCTGTGTCCTTCACCACACACGTCACATAAACACATGGGAACAGTGTGAGTCAACAAACAAATGCTCAGAGAATAATGTATAAACTATGCAGAAGTACAGATTATCTAGCAAGGAATTCATTTCGACATTAAGTCACAAGAAACATGACATCATTTTGCTGAAGGCACTTTCTCAAACAACAAAAACAAAGGATTACTACACATAAATCTGCAAGGGAGTTCCATGATATACACGTAACACCTATATGTAGATCTTGATTAAAGTTAAGCACCGTTTTCTAAATATTTCCACATAAGATAGGCGCTTCACATACCATGCATAAATTTGTAAACAAAACAATGTTTTGTTGTTGCCAAGGTGAATTACTGAAATAACAGAAACCAAAACTGATGCTCTAATGACAATTTGTGTAACTATGGCAATAGTTATTTGTTTGTTGCTTCCTCTGCAAACCATCTCCTCCTCTCAGGTACCCAGTTCACAATAGAGTAAACAGACATATTACAGGGGGGAAAGAAGGACCTCATGCTACCTGTGTTTTGGTGTGAGAGAGGACCAAAGCCCCTCACTCTCTGTCACCAATCTCATCTCTTTCAAGATGGATATATGCTACTATACTCAAAGGCAAAAGTTAGTGTGATCAACACATTTGTTCATATAAATGTGAATTTTTTATAATGCACTTATATATTCTTTATAATACACTAAATCCATGACCCAAACAGGGCCCAGTTGGCAGTTTTGCATGCATTTTTCATGCTTTCATGGAAGTCCGTGGAAAAAAGGCATAAAATGTGCCTTTTAAAAAGTGTAACTCTAAACCTCAAATCATTGTTGAGGCCTCAACGGGTCCCAAAAACAACACAAATTTGGAAGAATCTGCTTGCATTTCTCTATGCCACGGCTGTTCATCTGTAACCACACCACGCAACCATCATTGGATTCGAACCACCCATCTGCGCCACAGATTCCAACCAGCCACACTGACAGCCCGATCAGTTCCTGGAGTCAACAGGATATCACCAAGAACCATCTGGCTGCACACGGGGATACGTGCTAGACATCCTGCCGGACAACAAATTTTGATATCACGTCACTAATGTCTATGTCTGCAGAGGTGCAGACAACATCTGCGGTGGAGAGCATGTGAGTGGAGACGTGTTCTCTTCACTGACGAGTCCAGATTCCTCTTGCTCCGCACTGATGTTCGAACACGAGTTTACCGGTGACGTGGTGAGCGTTATGTTTGGGGTGGGAAAACGAGTGCTGGATGTACACCTTTGCTTGTCATCAATGGAAATTTAACGTGTCTCAGGTACAGAGATGAAATTGTTAATCCAGTCGTCATACCGAATCTCCAGCAGGACAACGCCAGAGCTCATGTCGCCAGGGTGGTTCAGCAGTTCTTGGCGAAGCACAATGTTAATGCCCTTCCCTGGCCCACTAAATCCCCAGACCTGTCCCCTATTGAAAACATCTGGAACGAAATGGAGAGGAGATTGAGACATTGGCCAAATCTCAGAACTCTGCCAGGTGCTTCTTGCGATGTTTGATTGGCTCTATGAGGCGCCAGGTGTCAAACATGCATCAATGCTCATGGTGGATATGCATGTTATTGACTGTGTGAATTTTTATTTTGACCGTTCTCTCACTGTGACCTCATTAGCATGTGTGCGCCAGAAATGTTTAAAATGTGTCATTTAAAATCCTATTGTGGAATGATTTTCTTGCAATATTAAAAAAGTCTCATCATAAAAATATCAGTTGTTAATTCGCATATCTAACTTCAAGTCAATCACTATAACTTTTGCCTTTGTGTATATTTGTAGTATCACAAGTTAACAGTTGTGTGTAGCAATGAAAAAGGATGACTGCCATCATTCAATAGCACACAAGTCAAAAGTCAGTATAATTTGTGTGTTAACAAAAGTATTTTTTTCCTGTTTGTCAATAAAAATGTCTTGAACTGATTGGAGGAATCATAATTAGTTTTAAGTTTGAAAGGTTTAATTTTATGTTATCAATATTTAGGAACATTTAGTATTTATTTACTCTTTTATGATAAATGTTTACACTTACAATAGTACATTTTAGTTGCTTTATGCTAAGCACAATACCCATGAAGACCCTCAAAACAAACACCAGCTAATACTCTATGGTCATCTCAACACTTACTTACAATGTTTCAGTCCTAGTTCTGAGGTAGGTACACCATACACATTTGCATAATAATGGACAAGTCCGTTATTTGTTTATCTGGCCATATAAGGTAACATGACAATTGGTAATCAGATATAAGATATGAAATGGAATACAGCTTATACAGAGCTTCCCATTTCTGTGCCACCCCACATCACTCCCCTGGACATCCATAATGCACTCAAGGCACTTGCATAACAGGAAGGGAAGACTGAGATATTCATTACTAATTACAAAGTCACTGGTAACAATAGGACATTCATGAACAAAATTGTGTAGTTGATCATTCAAATATTACATGATTGGCTGTTGACATGGAGAATACGCCAAGGTATGACATCACATTGCTGTTTACAGTAAATATCAGATGGTCAGTGAACGTAAGGCCAGACCAATTTTATTTCTTGTTTTACGGATGTTTGTCCTCAGAAAACCTAAAGGCAGGAGGGAAAAACAATAAAATACAATCACCAATGAAAGTAATATTCCTTCTAAATACTCAAAGTATTTTACTATTTATTGTTGACAAAATACAACAGGCTGATCCTTAAAACAAGAAATAAAATTGGTCTGGCCTAATTCTGTTTATTTGATTATTGAATCCCTCATCTGGAATTGTTGTTTATGAAACAGTGTTAAAGGTAGACCACTATCATCATGATTAATTTCAACTTTAACACTGAACTAAGTTCATTTGACTAATTTATAAAGTAGTTAGGAAAGTATTATCTGACCATTGGCATGACCATTTGTTCATGTTTTGATCATGTACAGCGGAAACGGATCAGGCACAAGTTTTGACAACATGGGTAACACTCTACCAAACTATTTACATGATTAGCATCATATAATAGCACTTCACAAATGTATAAAGGACACTACAATATATACAAAGATAAGGATAAGGAAACAGGTGTTTTACATTTACTAAAATCTAACACTGAAATAACTACCTTTTCATAGGAACTGAGATGGCAGTTCTTTTTTAATCATAATGAGATCAGGGAATAACCTGTTTGGTATAATGGACATTCTGTACAAATACATGCTTTCCCAAATGTAAGTGATAAATGTTTTCCCACAGAGAATCACAAAGATGAAAGAGACTTAACCACATTTAACCATTTCTAACTATGTCATCATTTAAACTGACTGCAAGAGTTGTGTAATTTTGTAAGCAGGATATTGTACTTCCCAAGACCACAAGACAAATAGGTAGGTGCACTGTTTGGATTTGTCTGTCACTGTCTTGAGTCTGAAATATATATTGTTCATGTTCTCAGGATAATCATTTAAGAATGGTCTGGAAGTCACTTGCAGGTGTAGTTCCAAGGCCAGGTACACTGAGAATATGTTCAATGTTCAAGATTTATATTAATTAAGAGGAGTTTTCATTCCACATTCAAGACATACTGTTCTTTCCTCATTATTGGATTGTAATATTTTCGGGACAGACTTTCACCAACTGGACAGTACAATATTATCATTCAGCCATTACTGTAACTGCACAGTGCCATCTCTTATTCTGTGTACTTGTGTACTAGCAACTTGTCTGTATCTATGTATGTAGTGATCCTGTTGTGGTTTCTGTCACATATCACTCAATAGGTGATATTTCAACTCTTAACTCCTGGAGTTACTTGTAATTAATTTATCATGCACATGAATCATACTTTAGGACAATCTGAACATTCTTCAAAAGCATTTAGAAAATGGTGTAGTAATACAAGAAAAATCATGGATAACAACTAGAAATGTTGTGAAAAATAAATCAAGAAGTTGTTAGCCACAAGATTTGTCTTGTATAATCTGAATATTCATCAGCACATCTAAAAAAAACCTGAACATACAAAATATGAAAAACTGACACTAAAACAAGACAACCTTCTAATACTCTTGGTCATGTCTATTTTCTTTTCAAACAGACCTACACTGAAAGAAGTTTGCACTGATTGTGTGTTTGGGTTGTTTTATCATTGGCTGCAGGTGCTGACAAAATTCTGCATTTAATTGAAATTTACAAGCCTACAGCTCCACACCTTGAAGCTATGTGCTGGCACAGATTTTTATACAAGATAGTGACAGGTGAGGCTGGGCCCATGGAAGTGTTTGTGTTGTTTATGGTGAGTTGGATGTTGTGTTTAGTTTCAGATGGCTGTGGTTATGGACCTGCAGAAGAGCTGGTTGTGTTTGAGCTCAGTCGGCTGTGGAGTTGCCGGTCGATTGAGGTACTTGTACATTGCTTGAAGTGAACATTCTGTGGTGAAGCTGGCCCATGGTGGTACCTGTCTTCTTTGAAGTCAGACGGCTGTGGTGTCACAAGGCCTGTGGAAATGCTAGTCTTGTCTAGGGTCAGTCGATTGTGGTGTCATTTGGCCTGTGAAGATGCTCATCCAACTCAAGGTCATCATGACACAGGGGACAGACTTTAAGAGGAACACAGAACTTGTGGAAGCTGTGACCTGCAACACAATCAAGCACTGACGTCACTTCCTGTTTCTTCCTTTCTGCTGAAGCTGAAGCTTTTATAGGTCCAAACATTCATCCTCACAATGTCAAAGCATAACAATGCCCGTACAGCAGTACCATGTTTGTACTTAGTGTAACAGTCTCCATTAAACTAAAGAAGAGATATCAGTATCTGAGACATGACCTCAGATAATGATGTATGTATTGAGGTGATAATGAAAGTATTTTGGTGAGTATTGTGTAGGAGTGAGTATTGAGGTGATAATGTGAGTATCAACCTAACATGAGTATTAAGGTGATGATATCAGTATTAAGATGATGATGGGAGTTTTAAGGTAATGATATGAGTGAGTGAGTGAGTGAGTGAGTTTAGTTTTATGCCGCACGCAGCAATATTCCAGCTATATGGCGGCGGTCTGGACCAGACAATCCAGTGATCAACAGCATGAGCATCGATCTGCGCAATTGGGAACCGATGACATGTGTCTGCGAGCCTGACCACCCGATCCCGTTAGTCGCCTCTTACGACAAGCATAGTCGCCTTTTGTGGCAAGCATGGGTTGCTGAAGACCTATTCTACCCGGATCTTCACGGGTCAGGTAATGACGTAAATATTGAGGTAATGACTGACTGACTGAGTTTGGATTTATGCCGCTTTTAGCAATATTCCAGCAACATCATGGCGGGGGACGCCAGAAATGGGCTTCACACATTGTATTGAGGTAATGATGTGAGTATCAAGGTAATGTATATTTTAAGTTAACATTTTGGAAAGAGATGTGTATATGTGTATACAGATGAATATTAAGGTGACATACCACAAGTAAAGATGATGACTCCAGGTACGATGTGTGACACCGTCTCAGTGAGACTGATAGCGCAGTTCCGACAGCCTCTGTAGAAACATAACTATGCTGTCAGTGAGACAACAGGATGCACTTAGGGTCTTATATCTATTAGTTTTCATGATTTCAAGATATATGCATATTGGGTTGATACGGGGCATTTTAGATTATTCCACTTTCAATAAACAAAGAAACACATGTTGATCATGAGTGATCTGAAATATCCCTACCCCAAATAACATACTGTTGTAGTGATTGATGTCTTTTTCTTCAGAGGACAGTTTAAAAACAAACTATATTTAGTTACTAAGTTGAGTTTTCTGTCACTTTGAGCAGTGTTTCAGTTGTATCACATGTGATGCAGGACACAGATGTTTAGGTTCCATATTAGTCATGTAATCCTGACTTGGTTAGGGACACACTTGTTTATTAGAGAACTGCTGGTCCTTTGACAAGCCAGCCTCCCGTAGCCACACCATATTCAGGAAAAAAATATGTTAAAATCTGCATATTACACCCTGTCAGGGTACCTGGGAAAAATGAAAGAAAAATCCCATGCTTTTAGCAGAATAAAGAGAACTGGGAGGTCATGGGGCTCACTGATATGACAGACTGGCCTGATGGCTTGCATAACTTATGCCTTCAGCCTCTGGTTTCTATAGTTTGTATACAGTATGTAGACATATCATTCAGATTTAACAATAACATTTTTATCATAACTAGAATTCTGCTAACAATTGGGACATGTTCAATAATTGAATTCTGGTAGCAAACTGAAACAATCAATCATTTGTGTATTGATTGTTCAACACAAGTCCATATCAGGGAGACAGTGTTAACATGTTCTCACCCAGTTATGTTCGCAGCGATGCCCCAGTGAGCTTCTGCATCCTCCATGCTGCGTCCCTCGCTGTGCTGCTTCACCGACAACCGGGAAAACTGGAGACACAATATAGACCAGTGAGTGGAACATCTATATGTGTGTGAAAGTTGGAATCCCTGGCTGGCAATGTAGGGACTATACATAAATACTGACATTGACCTTCTAATTTAGAACAACAGATAACATCAGATATTGTGGGAAACAACAGCGCAACATGTTTCTGCTGAATGTGTTCTTGTCAAATACTTTGTATAGTCAAACCTACTCCTATACTACTAGATGAACCCTATAAATCACAGAGATTTCTGCTTTGACTTGGAGTCGAGACAGTCATAGCATGATGGCTTACATATTTCTTTGTTTTTAATTGCCACACTTGGCAATATTTATACGAACCTGTAGAGGTTACGAATTCTTTGAAGAAAGTCCTCCTTGGGGTACATATAAGCATTAAAATGTCCATTTTAAATCCTACGACAGTTGTAACTATATTTTTCAATAAAATATTTACAAAACAAAAACTCATTTTGTCTTGTGAGACCACCCCTACAGGGCCCTACCGGGCCCCCTACAGCCAAGAGCAGGTTACTCTCGCCGTCTACCTCGTACCTCACTTTTCATGCTGAAAATATCAGACAGAATGAGGGGAGGCGGGTGGCTGTACCCCAAGGAGGACTTTCTTCAAAGAATTCATAACCTACAGGTTTGTATAATTCTTTTACAGAAGAAAGTCCTCCTTGGGGTACATATAAGCATAAAAGACAGTTGTCCCAAAGACTATTTTGTCTTTTATTTGAGCCGGAGTGGCATTCTGTCTGGCAACAACTAAATCCGTTGTGGAGTGAAATCTACAACCGATTTTGGAAATAGAAAAAAACACACTTACCGAGCCACCTAACCGCTGATGTCAATCAGGCGGGGGCGTGGCTAGGGCGGGAAATAGAGAGTCCAAGCTTATACGTCAATTGGCTCAAATCAATTATGACATAAAAACCCACCCCAAACCATTACAATGGAAATGTATGGGGACATGTCGAAAAAACTCCCAACCCTAATATAGCCTCAACCAGCGAAGCGTGGCGAGAGGTATAAGGGTAGGGAAAGCGTAAAAAACCCTTAAAAGCCAATAACCCATGAGTCGAGCTAATAAGTACTGCAAACTAATGCTCGAATGCACCCCTCCTGTTTGGAAGAGGGCTTTGCCGGGACCTCAATAAAATCCAGAGAAATTATTAGCCTCGCTAAACACTTTCTGAGGAAATCGAACGAGTACAAACGCCATGCATTGTACGAGCGAAAAGCAGGATAAAACACAGCGGCATCTGCCCTACCCAGTCTGCCTTCAACTCCTCGGGGGAAGGTAAACCTTAGCACTGTAACCGAACAATTAATTCAGAGAAAATATTAGCCTCGCTAAACACTTGCTGAGGAAATCGAACGAGTACAAACGCCATGCATTGTACGAGCGAAAAGCAGGATAAAACACCCCCACCAAACGCTCTCGGCGCGAGGAGGGTTAGTGTAAACCACCATCCCCCAAAGTGCTGATTAACACAGACACCAAAATACCAATGACCAGTTACTAACTTGGTCAGGGTGGCACGACACTCTCCACTGGAGAGAACAGAAAGACCGAACCGAGCACGATCCTTAAGAATGCGTGTCAAGTCGGTAATGGCGAATGAAGGCGTTTTGCCGGCTCCAAAGAGTGACAGAACCGATCTTCATTGAGCAGTGCCGCTGTGTATTGCCAACAAAGTGGCATCTGCCCTACCCAGTCTGCCTTCAACTCCTCGGGGGAAGGTAAACCTTAGCACTGTAACCGAACAATTAATTCAGAGAAATTATTAGCCTCGCTAAACACTTTCTGAGGAAATCGAAGGAGTACAAACGCCATGCATTGTACGAGCGAAAAGCAGGATAAAACACCCCCACCAAACGCTCTCGGCGCGAGGAGGGTTAGTGTAAACCACCATCTCCCAAAGTGCTGATTAACACAGACACCAAAATACCGAAGTCTCGGGAAGGGGGAAAAAACTGTTAGCGTACAAAAATCCCCTGAATAGCTTAAAAAGCCGTAGCCGAACATGTGTTGGCTCACTGATTGAGTGAGTGGTCAAGTGACATGCGGCGCGACTTAGCAATATTCCAAACAGTGACCCGTGGGGTCTGTAAATAATCGAATCTGGACCAGACAATCCAGTGATCAACAGCATGAGCATCGATCTGGTTAATTGGGAACCGATGAACGTGTCAACCGTCCTCTGTTGCCTTCAGGTGATCCCGCGTAGCGACGTATGTACACTCAAAGTCGACTTTATGACAAGAATGGATTGGTGAAGACCTATTCAATATAGTGATCTTCACCGGGTCTGTTGGCTCACTATTACACTAACCTGGTACCACTTGCGACCAGTTACAAAACTTGGTCAGGGTGGCACGACACTCTCCACTGGAGAGAACAGAAAGACCAAACCGAGCACGATCCTTAAGAATGCGTGTCAAGTCGGTAATGGCGAATGAAGGCGTTCTGCCGGCTCCAAAGAGCGACAGAACCGATCTTCATTGAGCAGTGCCGCTGTGTATTGCCAACAAAGCGGCATCTGCCCTACCCAGTCTGCCTTCAACTCCTCGGGAAGGTAAACCTTAGCACTGTAACCGAACAATTACGGAAACAAGCCAAGGAGATAAAGCCCGCTTGCAAGTAGACTCCCAGTCCCCGCCACCAAACAGAACACATGGGCACCTGTACGGATCCCTTTCGTTCGTTCGTTATAGTCACTCCAATGGGTGAGCAATCGAAAGATCGGTCCCCGGTGTGGAAGGCTGAGTAAGGGGTGGAAGTTCGATATGAGCAGTCACGTGGAAAGCAATATGGAACTGAGAGTGGTAGGTATCCGGGAGGCGAATACGGACATGATCAGCATAAAATACTGTCAGTGTCGGGTCAGTGGGTATCGCATGGATGTACCCGACCCTTCTACCAGAACTCACCACCACAAGTAAAGCCGTCTTCCACGTGAGAGAGACGATATACTTGAAAAGTCAGGGCCAGACAGCCAATTGAGAATAATTGGCAATTTCAAGGTGGGCTGGGTCGCCGCCGAGGAGGTTGAACCCTGTTCATGTCAGCTACAAAGCGCTGTACGAGAGGGTACTGCCTATGCAGAGCACCATCGAATGAGGTGTGAAACGTGGAAATAGCCATGGAGTACCCGGGTGTCCAAACTCCCCTCGAAGCCAGAATTGTGTCTGCAACGGCTGCAGGAATTCGGCGTGTCTCGGGGTTAGACCCGACAGAGGCCAAGCCACCCAGTGAATCCGAGGATTCGGGTGTGGCGCCCCGTTCAGAGTGAGAATGTCTGGCCGAAAAGGTAATTCGAATCCCGGCGTGCGGGATTGAACACCAACCTGATTGCTGTCAATTCCAGCACATTGATGTGCAGGTTGTGACTTCGTTGTGAAGAGACTGCAGGTCGCCGAGAACATCGTCCCAACCCGAGAGGGATGTATCTGGCTGGACTGAGAGCGACGGTGTCTCCAGGGGGGAGCCCCTCGGAGAGATGCCTGACATCTGTCCATCTGACTTTGTGAGGTTGACAATTCGGCCCAGTTTCGTAAGAGTGACCAACACTGATCGTGAGGTTCCCAGACTCAACTGTTATTCTAAAACCCTGATGAGCCAGTCGCCTAGGTACGGGTTAGAACACCGGCACTGCGATCTGGCTATCTGGGCTGTAATAAACCTCAATTAGGTGAACACCTTTGGCGCCGTAAGGTAGCCTAAGGGGGGCACACGAAACTGGTAGCACGTCCCATCGAAGAAGAACCGAAGGTAAATCTTGAAATCAGGGTGCAATGGAACAAGGAGGTACGCGACCTCGAGGTCGATTGACGTGCACCAATCCCCTGTCTCGACAGATGAGATCCCCGAGAGCGGTGTCTCCATCTTGAAGGACAGTACCTCTATTAACTTGTTCAGTTCTCAGATGAGAATGGGTCTGAACATTCCGTTCTTATTTGCAACAAGGAAATAAATGGAGTCAAACCCTACATTTTCCTGACCATTGGAAACCACCTCGATGGTTGCCTTGCCCAGCAGAGACTGGATCTCGGCATAGAGTATTTTCGCCGTCTCCCGGGAAGCCAACACTGGTGTGCGGCGCACTTCGACCGGGGTTTGCGGCAGAATACAGTAAACCCCTGCAGTCGGCAACATAACGTTTGCCGGTGCCTGGGCACCTGATGGATTAACGAGAAGCTCGACAGACTTCCGTATTCCTCGAAACAGTCCCGGGCGCCATAGGCCCATAACCGCACTCATCATTTGGCTGGCACAGCTACAATGCAGTCCCTAGCCAGATGAGATTTGACCTCCGTCAGATGCCACCCAGAGTCGCCGATGAAAATTCACCGGCGCTCTTTCCCCTTTCCACCAGCTCCCTCAGCTGAGCTGAGAGATGCGCAGAGTAGAGCATACAGCATTAAGCTGTTAAGGGGAAAGAACGGCAGTCTGACGGTAGAGTGTGAGGCCTTGTCCCGGATGCCCCTACCATTGCCGAAACCCCGATCCCGAAACACCTGGGAGTAGCCTGACAATACAGGGTTACCCTGGTGTACACAGGTAGAAGCGCCGAGGTGATCGGTAGCCCCACACTCAACATTGGCCCGCCGATAGACATCCCGAGACCTGCAAACAGCGCTGGGGATCTGTAGCCTGACGGGCCCAGGGTAGTCCTGGATGCAGGGTTCCCCTGGTGTACACAGGTAGACCTCGAGCGCCGAGGTGATCATCGGTAGCTCCGCCACACTCAACAGCCTTCCTGGCCTGGCGATAGACTCACAGACCTACAGCCTGGGATCTGCGCTTCGCTCCGGCTGAAACATACAATGCAAAGCAGAAAAAAGGCTAGCCGCACCTGCATGTACATACTAGTGAGTAAAGTTGAGTGATACGAAACGAACACTATCAAAATTACTCAACAACGACTTACCACAAATTCGCTGAAAAGAGAGAGAATTTAGGCAAGCCTACCATGTAATATGCATACATAACATATGAACTCCCTACTACAAGCTAACATGTAGCAAGGATACCATGATCGCGCGGTCTGCCATTTTGCCTGCCACAAGGCTGGAAAACAGAGAACCCACGGCAATGTTACAACAAAAGATGAATGAAAATATCAATATATGAAGTCCATCTAACGCCCAAGCGTAAAGAAAGGAACCATACATACAGTTTGAGACTCTTTTACACTCATCGTATCGGTAGGAGAGCAAACTCAAAACTAACACCACGCACGTCTATTCAACAGAACGACAGCATGTAAAGTGAGGTACGTGGTAGACGGCGAGAGTTACCTGCTCTTGGCTGTAGGGGGCCCGTTGGGGCCTTGTAAGGGTGGTCTCACCAGACAAAACGAGATTTTTGTTTTGTAAATATTTTATTGAAAAATATAGTTACAACTGTCGTAGGATTTAAAATGGGCATTTTAAAGCTTATATGTACCCCAAGGAGGACTTCTTCTGAAAAAGAATCCAGCTATATGTTGGCAGCATGTAAACAATCAAGAGGGGACTAGAAAATGTAGTGACTTCAAAAAAACAAATGACTTAAAATGAGGAGCAATGATACCTGCCACTAGGTTATGACACAAAATCAACCACACGTGGAACTCACCAGCTGTTGGTACTCCTGTCGGTCCTCCTCTGCCCCCAAACGACTTTGCTTCTCTGCCCGCACCGCATACAAAAGCTGTAACCATGGTAACAGTATCAGACACAGGTCTTTGGAAAGGTCGAGACATTAAAGACAAAAATATACAATGTCTTTCAGTGGCATTTTGAAGTTGTACATAGATGTTCAAGATATTTTTATGGATTAAACTTCTTTTTTATTTCCCTCACAACGTTTCGGGACCATTCCAGGTCCCTTCATCAGGACCTTAGTTCACCTGAAATAAAAAAGAAGTTTAATCCATAAAAATATCTTGGACGAAAATATACAAGCTCAAATCAAAGAGACTGGTGACCTACCTGGGGAGCGAGATGTGGTTGTTTTTTTGCCCAAAGGTATGTGTCCACCTTTTCCAGCATATTGTGTACAACCAGTCTGAAGAAACAAGACAAAGAATATATTCACAGTTAACAAAATTCCTCCTTGCTTTTCTCAGCTTTATAAACAACAAAAGCATACAATAAATGGTCAAAGAGAAAGAAATGAATCCTATTGTAAATTTACTCATACCATTAACCTGACCAGTCAATAATGTTGTTATTTGTGACATGCCAATGCCATTAATCTAACCTATGAGCATTATATGTAAACATATAAATATGGCCTTAACAGAATTTGAGATTTCACCATATTTTACCACAACATTCTGTATACAACATTACACACAAAGTGTTCACGATGAGATACAAACATCTCACCTCTGTTGGCGGTGCACAAGAGACTCTAGTATACACATCTGGTAGAACTGAGGTGACAATGCTCTCTCTGGGAGATGACATTCCTGCAACACCATGATGGCAACGCTTGGACCAATTGTCTTCACCATCAGCTCACTGATTCCCTCCCACGTCAGACTATTTGTCCAATCAGAAGCTGGCCTGGAGGAGAGTGAGTCTGTGTACAGGTGCAGGAAGTATTCCCATTCCTCTGCTGTCTTTGGGAGATAACCTGAGAACATCAGTAAAGCAGGGATCCAGTGAGTTTGACATTATATACATTCACAATTGTTTTACTTTTATCAATCGGTAGGACTTATCAGAAATAGTATATTTTCCCCTACAAAGTAATTGATTAAACAGATTGTTTGTTGTTGACTTTCTGAACTCTTCAGGACAGAAAAATCTTTTGACTTTGAAAAGTGTGATTCGTTGAATATAATTCATCAAATAGACATTATGCTCAATCTACACTATGTATAACCTCACCATATGAGTGTGAATCATCAAGGAGAGTGATATCACCAAGTTTCACAATCAGTTGCAGCATTTGTTGCCATGACAACATAGTTTTCTTCTTCCACAACTGGAGACAACCTGCCCAGTAGCTGAAATGATAAAAGCAACAGATTTCATTTTGGACTTTTTCCTTTGAGTATCAATGCAGCAAAGGTCATTCTGGACAGTGTCTTGAGTTATCTATGCAGAGGAGGTCATTTTGGACAGTGTCCTAAGTTATATATACAGAGGAGGTCATTCTGGACAGTGTCCTAAGTTATCTATACAGAGGAGGCCATTCTGGACAGTGTCCTGAGTTATCTTTACAGAGGAGGTCATTCTGGACAGTGCCATCTGTACAGAGGAGGTCATTCTGGACAGAGTCCTGAGTTATCTATACAGACGAGGTCATTCTGGACAGTGTCCTGAGCTATCTATACAGAGGAGGTCATTCTGGACAATGCCATCTGTACAGAGAGGAGGTCATTCTGGACAGTGCCATCTGTACAGAGAGGAGGTCATTCTGGACAGAGTCCTGAGTTATCTTTACAGAGGAGGTCATTCTGAGCCATCTGTACAGAGGAGGTCATTCTGGACAGATCCTGAGTTATCAGAGGAGGTCATTCTGGACAGAGTCCTGAGTTATCTTTACAGAGGAGGTCATTCTGGACAGAGTCCTGAGTTATCTTTACAGAGGAGGGTCAGTTGAGTTATCTATACTGAGGTCATTCTGGAAAGTGCCATCTGTACAGAGGAGGTCATTCTGGACAGTGTCCTGAGTTATCTATACAGAGGAGGTCATTCTGGACAGTGTCCTGAGTTATCTATACAGAGGAGGTCATTCTGGACAGTGTCCTGAGTTATCTATACAGAGGAGGTCATTCTGGACAGTGTCCTGAGTTATCTATACAGAGGAGGTCATTCTGGACAGTCATCTGTACAGAGGAGGTCATTCTGACAGTGCCCTGAGTTATCATTCTACAGAGGAGGTCATTCTGGACAGTGCCCTGAGTTATCCTGAGGTCATTCTGGACAGTGCCTGAGTGATCTATACAGAGGAGGTCATTCTGGACAGTGTCCTGAGTTATCTTTACAGAGGAGGTCATTCTGGACAGTGCCATCTGTACAGAGGAGGTCATTCTGGACAATGTCCTAGGTTGTCCATACAACAGAGGTAATTCTCGACAGTGACTCTTCAGCTATTTTACAGCCAATGTCATACCGAGCAGTGTCTTCTACATAGAAGGCGTAATTCTGAACTTTTTCCCCTGAGTTATCTACAAAGCAGATGTTATTCTGTGTCCTGTGCCTTGAAATATCTATACAGCACACACCTTTCTGGGCGGTATACCTTAATTTATCTTACGTTTGGCACTCATCTGTAGAGCACACATAATTATGGGCATAATTATAGTGCTATCTATACAGCAATCTGATCAGTGTCTTCCAGATGATGTTGTGCCAAATGTGTGGAGGTTCCAGTTAGATACAAGGGACAACACCTCACTTGTTATTTGATAATTCAGTCTGACATCAAAGTATAACCTTCATTATGCAGTCAAAATGTCTCAATAATTTTACACAAGACAGTAATTGGTGTGCGAATCAGTGACAAGCACCAGAAATTGTACTCATTTGGTGAGCTGAATCCATATCTTCGACATGATGAGCCAACCCCGAAGTCTTCAACCACAAACGACCCTATCGCCCCTGGTGAACAAATTACCTCTGTTTTTGGCATACACTGAGAGTTGCATCAAAGTCTTGTTCTGCACAAAGGTCAAGCACACAGTCAATGAGGTCTGCATCAGCTTTCTTGATCATGTGACTTCCTGGCCTGTGAGAAATCCAGTGCTGTTACTTGTGTTCACGACTTAGATATAGATACTCACCTGAGACCAATCATCATTTTGCCTATTTAATGTCTGCAGAGTAATAACACAAACTACAGTCAATTAGTTTAACATAACCACTTACAATATTCCTACAAGTAGGTTTGCTATCAATATATATCATAGAGGTCAAAGTATCGATCAGTTATATCAGAGAAGTAACACTTGATCAAAAACAAAAATGCAGAAAATGTTGGTAAGAAATCAACATACTTCTTGTCAGTGATGAGAGGTAACACATTTATCTAACAATTTTCTGAATATAATCTAGAAGTGGTCCATGTATAATATAGTGTATTGTGGCGCTAATCAAAACTATATTTATTCACCATAGCTATGTAAGAATTTGAGGACACACTTCTCATACTAATAATTGTTAATAATTCTTCTCATCAACAAATATGTAATTTTTAAAGTAAAATTGATATTTTATACTTATCCTGACTCATGATCTTTTGCTTATCTCCCTTTCCCTTGCGAATGGTAGTGGAACACTTGAATCCTTTGTAGTTCCCGAAGCTGACGTAAAAATACACTCACCCACAAGTTAGCTCCCTTTTCCCGCGGTCATGTGACCAGCCTTACTTGTCATTCTCTCCTGATCTACTGTGAAATCCGAAGTGTTTCCAGCGGGGAGGTTTGAGGAGGGCTTCTCCTCATGAGTCAGGATAAGTATAAAATATCAATTTTACTTAAATAATTACATATTTTTCCTTATCCTGACTCATGATCTTTTGCTTATAGAATCCTACGGATTGGTGGTGGGTGAAGCCACTTCCTGGATTCAACAGCTGTCCATAGATACGTCCTTTATCCCCCCATGGGAACTGCGTAACGGGATTTGACAAGGGGATGAATAGGCGCTTGAATTTCCTTCTTGTTTTAGTCTTTTGAAAATTTATCTTCAAGGCTCTGACAGGCCACAAGGATAAGTCCTGGGTGTCCTCTGATCCTAGGATCGTAGACAGCGCTGGGACATGGAACTCTCTTACTGGTTGACCAGGTCGTTGATTCTTTGCAATAAAGTCCCATCTAAGTCCTAGATGTACTGCAACACGGTGCCCTGTGTCGAATCTAGTTCGCCCAAAGTCCAGTGCATGTATCTCAGACATTCGAGCTGCCGTGGCTAGGGCAAGTAGGAACAGAGTTTTCTGTGTGAGTAGCTCGCAGGTAGTCTGTTCTAGAGGTTCGTAGTCATCACTCATCGGATGTCGCAGAATTACATTCAGATCTCAGGCTGGTGTTCTGAATTTCTTTTGCTGGTCCTCCTGTTTAAAAGATCTCAGCAGAGCAAGTAATTCTGGTACTTTCGTCAGTTTGATGCCTGACTTCATAGTGATGACTGTACTGATGGTCTGCCAGATATGTGGATAATGTCGAAACTTTCAGATGTCTTGTATATCTAAGATGACATAGATATTCCGCCACTTGAGGATGAGAGGCTTTCATAGCTGAGAAGCCTTTCCGCCTTGCATATTGTTCAAATTTCTGCCATTTGTCGTCATACAAATTGTGAGTAGATCTGCGTAACGCTAAGGTTACTGCTTTCGCTGCTCTGGCAGAGTATCCTGTTTTCTTCAAACAGGTTTTGATACGTTCCACACGTGTAGCTGGAACAGTGTTGGGTTCCTATGGACTTGTTTGGTGTGCGAATGTCTGAGTAGGTTCGACCATTCTGGTAGTTTGAGGGTTGGACTTCCGAGATCTTCTATTAGGTCTAGGAACCAGACTCCTGCTGGCCAATAGGGCACGACCAAGTCAGTTGTAGCGCCTGTGTCTGTTTGATCTTCAACAGCACTTTCGGTATTAAGATCGGAGGAGGAAACGTGTAAGTGTTTAGTCCTTCCCATGATATGCTCAGTGCATCTGTTGCCCAGGCTTGGGGATCTGGAACTGGTGAGACAAACGTCTGTAGTTGTTTGTTGAACCTCGTGGCGAACAGGTCTATGCATGGGGATCCTATTTCCCTTGTGATCATCCGGAATGCTTCTGGATGGAGCATCCATTCCGTGGGTGACGGATGAAGTGGTTGGGAAAGAGCGTCTGCTAGTACGTTCTAGGCTCCCGGTATGTGACACGCCTTTAGCCAGATGTTTGCATCCTCTGTGATGTTGAACAACTGGAATGTGAGCTGAAGTAGGCTTGGCGATCTTGTTGATCCTTGCCGATTTATGGAGAATCCCACTGTAGAGTTGTCCGTGTGGACCATCAGCATTCTGTTGATCAGCGAGCTCGACCATAGTTGTACGGCGTTGATCACAGCTTTCATTTCCAGCAGATTGATGTGAAGATGCTGTTCTGTTTTCGACCACTTCCCTGATGCAGCTTGGTTGTTGAGATGTGCAGACCATCCCTGTAGCAATGCATCTACATAAAGATGTGTGTGTGAAGGCCGGCTCTTGTAAATAGGTCCCTCCGCAGACATTCGACCTGTGAGTCCACCAAAATAGGTACGTTTCGAGATTGTCTGGTAGCGAGATAGGGTCGACGCTGTCCAGATGTTTTGCCAGGAATCGTTGCAACGGACGTAGTTGTAACCTTCCTGTGCGAGTCAAGTCCTGCGCTGTGGTTAGTAGACCGAGTAGACATTGTCATGTTCGTAGTGTTAACGGAGAGATGACTGCTTGAGGAGTCATCGCTTGTATCTTGACCCAACGATCTTCTGGGATCACAATTCGATTCTGTGTTGTGATAAATCTTAACCCCAGAAATTGAAGATCTTGTTTTGGTTCCAACTCGGACTTCATCAGGTTCACTAGCCATCCTAGTTGTGTGAGCAGCTTGATTGTGAAGTTCAGCTGAGTTGATCTGCTTGTTGATGCGTCTAGATTGCATTGTCTAGGGAGAATGCACTGCAAAGTCTCTGCTGATGCATCAGTGGGCTTCGTTACACATGTAAATAGTCCCAGGGACGAGGAAATTCCAAAGGAAAATACCCTTCATTTCTGCAACAGGCAAGCAAGGGATGAAACTCTATCTTGACTTCACCGCGACTCACCGAGATGACAGCAAAATGGGTATCACCTCCATTTCTTGCTTCTTGTGCGCTTCTCATCTTTGGAGATAGGCATCAGCGATGACAATAACCTTGTCCAGAAAGGCAATTTGCAGTGATGATACATCATTCTTCCCCTTATATACGCAGACGATCTGTGTTGATCAGCATACATCGAAGCGTTGCCTATTTATAGCAAGACTGGTTCCAGTGTAGTATAGAAGGTGACAGGTACACATACAGGCTTTTATCAGTGAAATTCCAAGATAAACATCGTATATCCTGCTGTCAAGCCTAGACATCTATTAGATTCCCATGATGATAACGGGCCGTAGTTGTATGCTGTTTTCAAGGCTGCAGATGAAGTATTCCCCCGTACAACGGGTTTGTTTACAAGTCAGTAAACTTGCTGGCACCTGTTCTATCAGTAAGAGGCGTTGTCTGTCCTGGACCAATCAGCTTCAAGCATGACGTCACTGGTGTTGTAGCAAGTTGGCCTCCATAAAATCTGGTGCAATAGTTGGTTGAGTAAAAGTGCGAGTAATTCTACGCCGCTCATATAAACCTCTTGTATAAGTGTTGCTCAAAGTGTAAAATATTGTTCAGTGATATTAATCACGTATTCCCAATGTGGATAACATAAGCCAGCATGACGAAGGATGTTGAATCTAGTAGATAGGATATAGATTCCTAATCCCCACGCTGAGTGACGAGTGTTAATAATATTATCTGTACGTCAGTCCAAGGATTCTTGAAGCCCTTTACCAATGTCGCCTTGAGGTTCTCCAGTACTTGAGATATCGGCTTCATAGGTGATATCATATTGGAGTCGAAGTCATCAGCATATATGCAGTACGTCTCTGTTGGGTTGGAGTGAGTGAACGACAATATCAGCAGGCCATCTGCTACCCAGGATAAGACCTCCGCATCCTTGTAGATGTAGTGATCCCCCTCATCAAGTAGGTTGTCGGACGAAACTGAACCTACTACAGGTGTAAGGTTCGTGCAGGTTGTAGAGTTGTGCAGGCTGTAAGCTGTAGAGATTGCACATGTTGTTGATCTTTTATTGATGAGTTATAAGCAAAACCATCCGTTTTCATTCTGACTGTGGATTCTTGAATGTTTTAATCATTGCTTCGTTTTTATTCAGCCGTATGTTAATAGAGTCGAAATCATCATCCTGCCTGTTGATCTAAGGGTTTGTGAACCCTATAGACATCCGAAACTTGTAGATGTCTGCGTTGCTGATATCTGCTTGTTGATGTGTTCGCGAACCTTGTAGATGTCTGCGTTGCTGATATCTGCTTGTTGATGTGTTTGCGAAACCCTAGGGTTCGTGAAACTTGTAGATGCCTGCGTTGCTAATATCACCTGTTGATCTGAGGGTTCATGAACCCTGTAGATGTCTGCGTTGCCTCTTCTCGAAAATTCCTTTCGCGAACCTTCCTTTCGCGAACGTTGAGGGTTCGCAGACGAAGTTCTCGTAGAGTTAGTAGCCTTCGCAAACCTTCCATCTTGTTCTATGATGACAGAATAGTCCGATTGTGATGACCTTCTCGAACGTACACGTTCGCCAACGTTGTCTGCAGATGTAGATCTATGAGGCTTATTAGGTTCGCGTAGGTCTGAGGGTTTGCGAACGTTGTCAGTTGATGAGAGGTTCTGTCATGCCTTCGCTTCCTCATCAAAACGTTGTTCCATCATGGCTATCATATGAGTAGTTAATTGCCTCATAAAGTCACCTGGATCGAAGTTCTGCATTGACTGGAACTGATTCGGCATTGATGAAGCATTCGCGAATGCTGACGTGTGGTGTGCTTCAACTTCACTGCGTTGAGAAGTTGGTGGTTGGTTGTCAAACAGCTGGCTGTTGTAGTTGCAGGAGACGATCTAGTAGTCGTAGAGGTCGACTGTGTCGCCGATCCAGTAGGTACTTCAGGCAGAAGTAATGGTGGTTCATCAAACACGTCTGCCTCGTGTGGTAGGATGATCTCCTCATTAAACGACCTCTGATGAGTTGACTTGCTAGGTCGTGTTGATTTCGATGTTGACCTAGTTATAGATGCCCTTTTCTGCGTTGTGGATGAAGCAGTAGTCTTTTTCTTACTCTGAACGGGCATCAAATCCGTCGTAGCAGACCTCTTTTTCGACCCCCGTAACAGACGACTGCCCCTGCAACGTACTCAACATAGCACCAGAATTATGTATTTCAGCAAACAACCTACGGTTACTGGCTTGATCTCCAGGTTTATCAACCGTGACTTGTGATGACTTCCTCACCCGATAAATGGCACGTCTATAGATATAAGACAAATATTGATTAAATTGCAAATTTGATAAACCACTGCAATATATACAACATGAGGTGGAAGAACATGGCCTAATGCACGATGGGCATTGGGGGTGAGGATCAGCCACTGATAGCCGGTGCCTGCAAACAATGCAAGATTTCATGAAATGTAAGCAATTTACATTACGATGAAAATGTGTCACAATTACAATAATTTTATACAATTAATACATGATAGTTATAGCCAAATACCATACACAGCGTAAATTTGATAAATAGGATCTAAATATAAAAGATATCTGCCGTATACGAGACTCCAGTGCTTGCCCAACCATCTGCTTGGGCGAAAAGGGAGAGAGTGAGAATAAGGCTGGTCACATGACTGTTTGAGCGGGAAAAGGGAGGTAACTCGTTGGTGAGTGTATTTTTACGTCAGCTTAGGGAACTACAAAGGATTCAAGTGTTCCACTACCATTCGCAAGGGAAAGGGAGATAAGCAAAAGATCATGAGTCAGGATAAGGAAAAATATCAATCTTTTCAGCCAGCCCTACAAGAACAATTGTAAAAGACCTCTGAGTCAGAATTCTTTTTTGAGGATTTTTAAAGTGGCTCTTTGTACCTACCTTGGCTGAAGACTGTCAACATCAGGTATGGGATGTCTGGTCAAAAGACTTCCTAGTAGTGCCAGCCTCACATACTGCCGGACACACAACTGTTTCACAACCTGCAACCTGCAAACAGGGGGGCAACATACTTGACAACCTACAACCATGGAGCACTTATATACAGATAAATGACAATCTGCAACCAGAGAGCACACACATACTGTTACATCACAATTTACAATTAGAAAGTACTACAAACAATTACATCACAATCTACGAGGGAGCACTACACATAGTTACATCACAATCTGCAACTCGAGAGCACTACAAACACTTACATCACAATCTACAATGAGGGAGCACTACAAACATTTACATCACAATCTACAATGAGGGAGCACTACATATAGTTACATGACAATCTACAATGAGGAAGCACTACATAGTTATATGACAATCTGCAGCTAAGGAGCACAACAAACTGTGTCACATCAGTGCAGCATTCATTAATTATGTAACCTTCATGAAATGTGACCTTCATGAGATATATGACCAAAATGAGATGTGACGTGACCAACTAGAGATATGACATTGCCAACCCAAGACATGTGACCAGCCTGAGATATATGACCAAAATGAGATATGATGTGACCAACCCAAGATATGTGACCAACCTGAGATATGTGACCAACCTGAGATATAATGTGACCAACCTAAGATATGATGTGACCAACCCAAGATATGATTTGACAACCCAATATATGATGGTATCACCTTGAGATATGATGTGACCACCTTGATATATGATGTGACCAACCTGAGATATGAGGTGACCAACCCAAGAGATGATGTGACAACCCAAGATATGATGTCACCAACCTGAGATATGATGTGACCAACCTGAGATATGAGGTGACCAACCCAAGATATGATGTGACAACCCAAGATATGATGTTGCTACCTTGAGATATGATGTGACCAACCTGAGACATGATGTGACCACCCTGTGACCAACCTGAGATATGAGGTGACCAACCCAAGTAATGATGTGACCAACCCAAGATATGATGTGACCAACCCAAGATATGATTTGACAACCCAATATATGATGGTACCACCTTGAGATATGATGTGACCACCTTGAGATATGATGTGACCAACCTGAGATATGAGGTGACCAACCCAAGATATGATTTGACAACCCAATATATGATGGTATCACCTTGAGATATGATGTGACCACCTTGATATATGATGTGACCAACCTGAGATATGAGGTGACCAACCCAAGAGATGATGTGACAACCCAAGATATGATGTGACCAACCTGAGATATGATGTGACCAACCTGAGATATGAGGTGACCAACCCAAGATATGATGTGACAACCCAAGATATGATGTTGCTACCTTGAGATATGATGTGACCAACCTGAGACATGATGTGACCACCCTGTGACCAACCTGAGATATGAGGTGACCAACCCAAGTAATGATGTGACCAACCCAAGATATGATGTGACCAACCCAAGATATGATTTGACAACCCAATATATGATGGTACCACCTTGAGATATGATGTGACCACCTTGAGATATGATGTGACCAACCTGAGATATGAGGTGACCAACCCAAGATATGATGTGACCAACACAAGATATGATGTGACCAACCTGAGATATGATGTGTCCAACCTGAGCCAAAAAACATAAGATGTGATGTGAACTGAGATATATGACCTACCTGTGACACAATGTGCTACCTGTGTTATTTGACATACATACATTGTAGGAATTACCCAAGATATATGCTTTATCCAAGATTTAAAAGCTAACATGATATGATATGACCTGCAATATGATATGACCTATCTGATATAACCTGAAACGGGATGTGAACTATAATTATGATGTGATCTACCTGACGTGTGACACACCTGAAATAATTATGATGTGGTCACCTTGGAACATGATGTGACATACCTGAGATATGATGGCATTTCTCCAAGTCTCAGGTGGACGTATTTGGTAATGCTGGTGGAGGTTTGGTTTCCATAGAGATGACAGAGGTTCAAGATATCTTGTACGGAGACTAATTTTGGGACCTCTGATGCAAACTCTATAGCACGAGATGAACTAGCACTGAATAATCTGAAAATACCATCACACATAGTAAATCATAACTGTTACAAAGGATATCACAAGACAATAACTGTTTCTTCTATTTATTACAAACTTAGCTGACAGAATGTGCAGGTGTAAGTTCAAATTGTTTATCATTCTTATATCAGCTCTATATTCAGACTGTAGGTTTTACAGTCCTCTTTGTGAGTGAGTAAGCTGTTGTTAATCCCAATTAATGCTGATAAACCAATGATCAAACTCATAGAACCCAAATCACCATATCCTGACACCTCTAAGAGAAGCAACTTATAAAGCCTCTCCACGGGTTGCCCCGTGGCTTCATTACCAAGCTACCGTGAAGATCTGGGTTAGAATTGATCTTCAGTAACCCATGCTTGTCCTAAGAGGCAACTAATGGGATCGGGTGGTCAGGCTTGCTGACTTGGTTGACAAATGTCATCGGTTCCCAAATGCGTAGATCGATGCTCATGCTGTTGATCACTGGATTGTCTGGTCCAGACTAACTGATTATTTACAGACCACCGCCATATAGCTGCAATATTGCCGAGTGCGGTGTTAAACTGATCTCACTCACTCATCACCCGGCCATGACATGAATACAACCACACTTTATATACTTCCTACACATTTTGGTCATTAAACTAATGAAACATGAAATATTCTGGTTGGATGTTCTATCGCTTATGACTGAAAGCATCTTCTACTGCAACCCCACTTGGATGCAGGTATGCATGGGCCATGTAGGTAGGAAAGTAAACAATATTCAGCACCTGGCAACATGGCCCAGGAAGGCTTGTTTGTTTGGCAGGATGAGAGATCGGAGTAAGTCTGTAGCACCATTGTAGTCTTTGGCCAGGATCTTATCACAGACAGGGTCACCTTCCCCAAGTTCTATAAAATATAGTATGCTGTCATAACCAGTGGAAGGAGAAGTGGTAATAGTATGACAAAAATATTTTCTCTGTAATCAGCTTCAAATAATTTTATATGGAATAAAGGTATCTTTGCTGCAGTGCATCATTAATTACAAACCATTAAATCTTATCACAACAGATTCATCACAACTTACACATCAATATTTGCTACTGAGTTGGGAATTAGCCTAACAACAATATTTTGTCTTATCTCTACACTGTTTCCTCTTGTAAAATACTGAATGAATCAAGTGAAGCAAGTCGACTTTGTCTCACCTTGACTAGCCTTCACCATGGACGTCCATGTCTGTAGCCAGTTGTTCCGCCAGCTACTCACAGTCTTCCTAAGTTGATCCATACTTAAAAAGTGGTAGTAACATCTGACAACAGTGGCCACCTCGCTGTCACATGCATCACAGTACGCTTCACACATAAACCCATCACTGTGGCCATGGCTGCCTGGGTGTCCCTGAGTCTCTGCTGCTGATTGTGTTGGCATGGGTGGACTGATGGATGGACTAATGGGTTGACTAGTGGACTGATTGCCTGACTCACTGCCATCGGTAGGAGTAACTCCTGAACTGCTGTTTGTACTTGGATGCCTACTTGCAAAATTAGGCAAAATGTATTCTGATATATTGCCATGACAACCGGATTGTAAACAAAGGGAGCACAACTCTGCTACATCTGTATGTAGTTTTCTTGACATTTTAAAGGGATCGTTGATGTGATTGATGTCTGCCCAGTTGATGGGTTTAAACTGGTCAGGATCCTCGTCTTCAGTGTCACTCATATCAGAGCCCCCTAAATGGTTACCATTTTCAAGAGGTACACACTGATGCTCTTCCACACTGGAATTTCTATGTCTGGATTTGTCCACTGGTGATGATGGACAACCATCCATGTCATCATGGTCAAATGAATTGTGTCCATCACCCATTACATCCAAACCACTGGATGACCCTCTTCGCCCTACGGAACCTTCATATGACGATTGGGTCTCTTCAGGCGTAACACTACTCCCATGTTGTTCTTGACTGAAGACTTCATCTTCTGTGTATTCAGGGTCATCCTTACTTCTGTCTTTTATCAAGATGGCTTTCTTTTCACTGCTGAGTTGCCGCCTTCTTGATTTCCTTGCCATGAGCCTAACCTTCCTCTGCTGTTCGACCTCCTGGTGAAGTTTCTGTAGCACTATGTGAAGCCCTGTCATCCAGTCCCGCAGGATTGACCTGGCAGACTCTGGATTCATCAGAAGAGTGATGTCCTGGAGCTTTCTCTTGGTGAATGCTGTGGACGACTCCAGCTCGGTAAGATCAACTGATGCTGAGAACCTGCTCAGGGGATTCATGGAAGAAGAACACTCTGATTCTGTTCTGTTTGTGTCATCAGTGTCTGGTTTCTCTCCAACAAGGCCAGTTGTCTCCTGAAAAAAACAATTTACAATCAGTAAACAATATGTTTTAACTTAGGACTACAAAACTTAACCAAACCTGAAGAGGTTTTAAATTCTTTGAAGAGAGTCGTCCTTGGGGTACATATTATGCATTTTCCGAGCTGAAAATGTCCTGTGACAGTTGTATCAATGTTTTTGAATAAAAATATTGTACAATAAATAAAAACTTTTTATTTATTATACGGCCCCCACCTCGTGGCGTTACCTCCCGTTGCGCATGCGAACCAACTGGGTAAGCACCTAGACCCGTATCATCATTCCTTCTGCTGAATAAATCAGTGAACAGAATTGCGGGGAGGCGGGAGGCCCTACCCCAAGGACGACTCTCTTCAAAGAATTTAAAACCTCTTCAGGTTTGGTTAATTCTTTTTCATAGAGATCGTCCTTGGGGTACATATTATGCATAAACACAGACTCCCAAAGACCGGAGGCCAGGGAGGAGGGAATTCTGTCAAAGCACACACAAATAGCGATCGTTAATCTGAATGATGGAACAGACGCCATAATCACTCACCTGTCACATGTCCCGGTTTGCGCTTCCGCGAGAGGCATTATGGGAGGGTAACCGACAGGGAGGAAATGTACTCATAGACAACCTCGCAGGTTAGCATAAGAATTCGCACATGGTGGGATGTAAACAAACCCCACCCACATTGTGTCGATTAGAGAGCACCGTAGGGGGGAAAAAACACTCACTACCGACCATAGCCTCCGTAGAGGAGGAGGTTATACACCCAGCAGCGGACATGTCAATAAAACACAATATTGAACAGCAGCGTCAACAAAACCAATGAACCAAGACTCACTCGGTCAGGGTGGTAGGACACTGTCCACCGGAGAGAACAGAACGGCCAAAGCTCGCACGATTACGAGAATGTGTATCGAGCTGATAGTGCCGAATAAAGGTGCTAGGCCGGCTCCAAATAGCGGCAGAGCAGATCTCTTCAATGGGGAGTGCCGATGCAAAAGCTTTTGACGTGGCTACTGCCCTGACCGAGTGAGCCTTCAACCCCTCAGGGGGAGGCTTGCCCTTAGCCTGATACGCAGCACAAATGACCGAGACGAGCCAGCGAGACAAAGTCTGCTTGCTCGCCGGCACACCAGCCTTCCCGCCACCGTAACAACAGAACAGCTGGGTACCCATACGGATCCCCTGTGTTCGTTTGATATAGACCTTGAGAGTCTTACGGACATCCAACGGGTGAGTGCTCGTAGGAGAGGTCCCCGATGTGGAAGGCTGGGTAAGAGTAGGAAGTTCGATAGGAGCTGTCACATGGAAAGCGTGATCGACCTTTGGGCGGTAAGTATCCGGGAGGCGAATACTGACACGATCAGTGTGGAACACAGTCAGCGCCGGGTCGGACGATATAGCATGTAAGTCGCCAACCCTACGCCCAGATGTTACTGCCACCAGAAATACAGACTTCCAGGTTAACAACTGAATTGAAATAGTCGATAGGTGTGAGAACGTAGGACCGGACAGCCAATCGAGCACAATTGACAAATCCCAAGGTGGGCTGGTTCGCCTGACAGCAGGTCGAACCCGATCCACGCCAGCTAAAAAACGCTGTACGAGAGGGTGCTGCCCCAGAAGAACACCATCGACAGGGGTGTGAAAAGTGGAAATAGCGGTGGAGTAGCCACGAATGGTCGAAGCCGCCAGGCCTTCTTCCAAACGAGCTTGCAAAAACTCCAATACTCGGACTAAATCTGCAGAAAAGGGATCTGCAATCCCCCCTATCTGAACACCAGCGCCAGATAGTGGGACCACCTATCCTCGCATGCTGAACGCGTTTGTCGAATCCGCCTCGAAGCCAGAATTGTGTCTGCAACTGCTGCAGGAATTCCGCTGGCTTCGGCGGCTAGACCTGACAGAGGCCAAGCCACCCACTGAACTGCGGATTGGGGTTTGGCCGCTCTGAGTGAGAATGTCCGGTCGCCAAAGGTAATAGAACAGGAGGCTGAGCCAGAAACCTGAGATTTACCGGAAACCAGCTCTGTGACGGCCAAAGCGGTGCCAGTAGCACAAGCAGCAGAGCTGGCTGGGTGGACAGCTGTGAGAGGACACGGGAATGAGTGGTAACGCGGAACGCCCCAGAGCACTTTGCCCGCCCAATCCAGCAGGAAGGCGGCCGCAGCCAACGCCTCGGTCCGTATTCGAGCAGAACACGGGTGTCTGATTCGTCCCGCCGGACGCAAACAGATCCACCTGGAACGCACCCGCATAACTGGGAGATAACTCGAATATCTGCCTGTCGAGCATCCACTCGTCGCGAGGGCCAGGATCCAGCGAGAGAGATCCTGCTCACACGCTCTCCAGCCCGGGAGATAAACAGGAGTACCTGACAATGCGCGCACTGGTCGCATCTCAGAGGAGAAAATCCCATGTCTCCCGGAGGAGCTGGGGACACCGTGTCGCCTTTGCTTCAGGATGTACGACATGGCTGTCTGGTTGTCCAACTGAAGACGCAACCACCTGGCCCTGGACATGCTCTCGAAGCGCCAAAACCAACCGCACAGCTCTCAGTTCCAACATGTTGATGTGAAGGTGCTTCGGCGGACCAGAGTCCGGAAGCCGACAGACTGCCCAGAACACCCCCCCAGCCCGTGAGGGACGCATCGCCCTTAACTGTAAGAGCTGGCGTCGGGATTTCCAAGGGGACCCCCTTGGAGAGATTCCGGACATTGGTCCACCACTGAAGGTGAGGAGACAACCACCCAGGGACTGTGAGACTGCGCTCCAGTTCCTCCGAGTGAGCCCACAGACTCGCCAAAGCTTGCTGTATAGGGCGCATCCTCAACCGCGCCCGCCACACTACAGAGATAGTCGCCGCCATATGGCCCAGTAGACGGAGCCAAGTCCGTGCTGGTGCCTGGGGCTGGGAGAGGAACGAAGACACCATCTCCCGTACTCTGGTGACCCGGTCGGGCGACAAGGAAACAAGATCCTTGTGAGTTTGGAACCTCGCCCCGAGAAAAACCAAGTCCTGGGTGGGTACCACCCCAGTCGAACTAGAATGTCTATCACCTTGTGAGTAGAATCTAGGCTCGCTGGCTTTGTCAGTGCACCGAGCAACCAGTCGTCGAGGTAAGGGTAACAACGCCTTCCTTGCGAACGAGCGAGGGTAGCCGGCACTAACATGAGCTTGGTGAACACCCTGGGGGTAGTGGATATGCCGAAGGGGAGCACCGTGAATTGGTAACACATCCCGTCGTAAGAGAACCGAAGGTACTGCTTGAACGATGGATGTATGGGCACATGCAGATATCGCGATCCTTTAGGTCGATTGGACGCGGAGCCAATCGCCGGGCTGAACAGAGGAGATCACCGAAGCGCAGTGTCTCCATCTTGAAGGATGGAACTTCGAGCATGCGATTCAACCCCTTGAGGTTGAGAATGGGGACGGAACTGCCGCCGTCTTCTTCGAACGAGGAAGCACGTGGGAATAAAATCCCGCCTGTTCCTCACCCGGTGGTATGCGCTCTATAACGGACTTGTCCAGCAAAGCCTGGACTTCGTCAAGCAGCATGTCCGCCTCGCATTACCTGACATGACGGCACCGGAGTCGCGGGTATGCCGGTGAAGTCTGGCGGACCTCGCCTCCACAGTGGTAAATGGCCCACACTGACGGTGGACAGCACCCAAAGGGTTGCTTGTCGCCTTCTCCCACTCCGCAGGAATAGAGAGGCGGCGCCTCCCACTGGGACATTGGGTAAGAGTGCGTGAGTGGTCCCGAGTAGCGGAGCTGACTGGGAGTGACACACGTCTACAGCCTGATGGGTTAACGGGAGGTCGGGGCAGACCTCCCGCGCCCGCGATAAGGCTGGGAGCCAGTCAAAGAGGACTGCTCCTTGCCCTTACCCTTGGCGGGACGGCTCCTCCGCCTACCCCTGCCGAGCGGCCGAAGCCAGCCAGCAGACTCGGGTGTAGGCTGCACCCCGGAGGAGGAAGCCGGAACGGGAGCGCGGGGACGGTAGGGGAGGGCCAGCAAGGTCTGCTGTGTAGCCGCCGAGTAACGAGACATCAACAGCCACAGCTTGCGCATCCCCATGACTGCGCACATCACCGTCGACGCGGCCGACCGCAAGGAGTCACGCGTGAGGTGGGCCTGCACTTCCGAAAGTTGACGGAGGAGGACAACATGCTGAGACACGTCTCCAGCGTGCCCCTCCGCCTCCAGGGCCGACCTCTGGATCGAGGAGAGGTAGGCCTCGTGGACCACCACCCACACCTGCTGCATAGCGTTCCGGTAAACCTCCTCGTAGGTCCGGTAAGCATGCCGCAGGGGTGGCTTCAAACGCCCTTGCCTGGCAGCCGGAGCTGCACCGGAGGAAGCCGAGCCTCCCCCCTGGGCGACCGAAGTGAACACACATTCGTCAACCACTGGCACGAAGAACAGGGAATCTTCCCCCAGCTGGTACCTCCTGACAAGCTCTGGCAAGTCAAAGCGGAGGCGTGACCCAGCCAAGAGGGGATCCACCACATCCTGCACCAGGGACGGCAGAATGCGGAGCAGCGTCTGCGTGGGTTGCCTAGGGGCAAACGCCTCGCCTGGTAAGCGGAACTCAGTCGAATCCGAGCGGCTGGTAGGCACCGCGCCCTGTGGGAATGTACTCGGCAATGCGTAGCCGTACTTCCCTCACAGCCGTTGAGAAACGGAAGGCACCCTCCGGCTCCTCTACCTCCCCAATGTCCATGGACTCGGCGCCCGAGCCCGAGTCCGAGGCTGGGTCTCCTCGCGAAGAGGACCCGAACCCCGACTCGGTGGGCGGCCGCACACCAGACGCAGAGGGAAGGGAATGACCGAAGCAGCGCCCTGCTTCCGTGCCCAACACCAAGCTCGAACTTCGGTCCCGAGACGCAGGAGGAAGACCAGGCAAAACTGGTACCTCCGCTCTCATGGGGCGGGACGGCGCAGGGACCGGAACCCCAGGAATCCTCAACGGACCCTGCACCAACTCCGAGAGGGGGACTGGGAGCGAAGCCTCCCCTTCCGGGGCAGCCGAGGCATCCGGACCCAAAGCCAGAGGCAACGGATCAACAGACGCCTCCAGGCCGAGGGATCGAGCCGGGCTCGGCGATCCCACCCCGAGACTCTCCGTCCCCGGCTCCGAGTGGGCGAGGAACTCCTGGCGGAGGCCTCCAACCGCCTCATGAACCAGGGACTTCACCGAGTCCATGTGCTGCTGGAATAATTGCGTGATGAGAGACATGTCAAAACCGCTAGGTGCAGTGGAAGGCGACTGACTGCGCGATCTAGCCTTTCGTTTTTGCTTTTTAGCTTTAGACAGGGGGACCTGGGTCAGTTCCCCTCCCGCCTCTCGCATTTCCTGATAGAAGAGAAAGTCTGCAGCCCGCCTCTTCTGGGCTCGGGGGGAGAAGCCCATACAAATCTCACACGTGTCAGGGTATGGCGCCTTTTCAAGGCAACACACGATACACTTATCATGACGGTCTGCACGGGGAATACTCTGCCCGCAGACAGTATTACAACCCGAAAACGCCTGAAAGCAAACACGCAAAGCATGTAGCTAACAGCGGACCAGCAGCATAACATACACGTAGAAAACATTGAAAATACGTGAAGGCTGCAATTAATGGAAGAAATAGTTGGTGAAAACGCAATATTACAACCATCGCAGCACGAAAAACTTCCTGCCATGGAAAAGCAACACGCGTAAAAACCACGGGAAAGTTAGCTGAAGCGAAAATAATGAATACAAAGTCACAATTAGGAGACAACCGACCACAAAGCTTTACTGTTCCTTTCAAGGACAATATAAAGACCATACATACAGGTGGTTGCGTCCCGGACATCAATCTCTTAATCTCAAAAGAGTACAGCTCTGCTCTACACATGCGACTTTACTTGGCAGTGACAGCAGAAGGAATGATGATACGGGCCTAGGTGCTTACCCAGTTGGTGCGCATGTGCAACGGGAGGTAACTCCACGAGGTGGGGGCCGTATAATAAATAAAAAGTTTTTATTTATTGTACAATATTTTTATTCAAAAACATTGATACAACTGTCACAGGACATTTTCAGCCCGGAAAATGCATAATATGTACCCCAAGGACGATCTCTATGAAAAAGAATGGGCCATGTGTGTGTGGATTCAAACCATCGTCATTCTGAACCAAGGTCAGGTGTCTTCTCCACAAGACCAAAGAGGCTTACCATGTCAGCAAGCAGAGAAAGCTATAACTTATTCATTCAAGTATAGGGTGGTTTGCATTACACATGGTACAATGTATAAATGAAGATAAGAATCTACAGAGACCAAGAAGCTTCTAATGCCTGCCCACTACTTGTAGCCTAGAAAACAGTTGTCTACAGACTGACCAGAGCACTACTTAATGGTAATAATAAAAATAATGTGGATGGCAACAATGAAACCTCTCACCTCTTGTTCTGGGCCAGGCTGATCTGGCAGAGAGTTGGGCATGCTCAGTAGGCTCTTCTTCCGGATTGTCTGCATGAAAGACTTGGTCTTGCTGGAGAACTTGAGAGAGAGACTACACAAAATAGAAAATACAGTCCATGTAAGGGGTGAGGTGAGGTGAAATTGGGTTTAACGTCGTGCTTGAGAATATTTCGCTCATATGACGACATGCATGCGTGTGTATGTGTATGTGCGGATGCTTGTACTAGCCCAGACTTAAGCTGGTTTTATAGTGCTAGCTCACTGAGATACCATGCTGCAGTGAAGCATGAATACCCCACTCAGACACAGTATACTGACTCCGAGCCGACCAGTCCTTGTTGTACCCATTAATGCCGAGCGCCAGGCAGGGACCAACAAGTACCACATTTTAACGTCTTTTGGTATGACGCGGTCGGGGATCGAACCCGCGACCTTCCGCTCTCCGGGCGGACGCTCTAACCACTACACCACGGAGGCGGTCCCGTGTAAGGGGATTGCTGTTTAACAGTCAGCAGTAGTATTACAGCTGTCACTGCAATATCCATACAAATGAACCAGGAACATGTATGTATCTGGCTGCATGCCAACTATGCATGGACAGAGTGAGTTATATTCCAGTTATAACCCTGTGTGTCAACATGATATGTGATAAAAGCCCAATGTTATCAAGGTCTCAGATGTTTACTACTCTTGAGAAATGCACGAGCACAGGTATGGATCTGATAACGCTAGAAACACAATCAGGGTGAACTGGGATTCAAACCCAATTAAATAACCTACGGATGCCTGAGAAGATTGGACTGCCTGTGCCTCCAACCATCCATGAAAACACAACCAGGCACAAATGTTATACACAAATCTTTTAAAAACATAGGTAGTTTTCATAATTGAAGTCCAAATCTAATACAAGAAATACATATATCTCTATAAAACAGAAATGTAAACCTGTTGTGAACATTACCTTTCCTTGACTGCTAGTAGGGCCATCTTTGGCGACTGTGAACTTGGTGACCCGCTTCCATTGCTGTCAACCGACTGCCCCAGGGAACTCTGGGATACAGGGGATCCATCTTTGCTGTTGGTGGCAGAATCTTCGGCTGATACACCACTTGCAGAAAGTCGTTGCAGGAGAGATGGAATTGGATCCTCCTCTATATGAAATATTGGGGTTCTTGATCTACTGTGAGTTGAATACAATGACACGTTGTCACCTTCACCAATAGAAAGTGTATCTGGAGTCATGTCCCCAGCCCGACTTTGTGAGTCTTCATCAATGCTGCTGACAGTGTCAATGGAGATAGTGTCAAAATCTTGATCAACTTTCATATAGAGGCTTCTGTCAGAGTCTTCCTCAATGATTGGAATGGTGACAGATGGAACAGATTTCAATTCTGAAGATATGGAGAAATGAAAATATTAGTTGAACATGTTAATAATGCAATCCTTGTGACTTTTGATATTAAACAAATCAGCATGAGCTAACAAAAGTTAAAAAATCTAAGCGATTAGTGATGTCATTTAATAGTGACATCATATTAATTGATGACAGCCAGAACAGTCTCCAATGCATAGTAGTAGAATTCACTTTTGGAAAATCTCGAGAGAAATATCGCTTGATCTCACCCCAGTGATCTCTCTTTTAACAGTTAGTTCTGGATGATAAGTAACTTACTTATACATCTAGTTCCAAAACACAAAGGCATTACATAAAAGGAAATCAGAGCATACCTTTTTTCTTGGCTGTTTTCTTCATGGATCCTGTGCTGGCTGATCTGTGGAGTTGGGCTGATATAGACAGATATAAAAGTTTTATTAATAGGATAAATGAGGATGACAACCACTGTGAGCTTCTATTCAGCAAATATTTGCAAAGATTGTTTCCCATATTTAATGTAGCATATGTGTTAATGTATTTCATGGTTTGCTGACAAGAGCAGATTTTTAAAATTAGCAAACTGTTAATGGAGTAGTAGTATCACATTATACATTGCAAGGGGAGGTAACCTTCAGTGAACTGAAACTTTGAGATAATAGTAAGATATTCTACAGCTGTTCTAGTGGCTCACATTTGCCTTTCTTGATGTCTGAAGTTGAGATCCCAGGTGATGGAATGTCCACCTGCATGACACGCTTCTTCCTCCCTGTTTTTCCAGACCGACGTGACACAGACTCTGCTATCACTGGTGCGGCATCCTCCAGTGCTGAAGAGAAAGGTGGCAAGTATATAGGTGGTTGTGAGTTGTACGTCACTGACTGGACTTGATATTGACTGAACAGTTTCTGTGTCATGTGATTGTTGTCATTTTGAATATCTTAGATATCTCAACCTGAAGTGGTTTTTACATGACATAGTCCTTATTCAACTGGGTGTTTGGCTTGGGGCAACTGATTGTAGGATTAGGGTCACTGGAGATAACTGAGTGACCAAACAGAGCATGATCCCTAGAATGTATGTTGAGATAGTTGAGACAAATGATGGTGTTCGGCCGGCTCCAAATAGTGGCACAGCAGATCTCTTCAATGTGCAAGGTGATGCAAATGCCCTGACTGAATGAGTCTTCAAACCCTCAGTAAGCACTCAAATGAGTGGTCACCCATGTGGAAGGCTGGGAAAAGGGCAGGAAGTTCTACAAGTACTGTCACATTGAAAGCAGTGCAGTAGGTATCTGGGAGGCAGTCTTTGTGGAAGATAATCAGTGCCAGATTAGCAGAAGCTACCATTACAAGAATAGCGATCTTTCAACTCAACAACTGAATGAGACAGTCAAACCCTCTCCATGCCAGTTACAAAACGATGTTCCAGACGGCTCTACCCCAGACGAACACCATCAATAGGGGCGTGAAACATGGAAATAGCAGTGGAGTACCCACAAATGGTCATGGCTGTAAAACCCTCTTCCAAATGGGACTGAAGGTATCCCAACACCTGGACAAAATCTGCAGAAAAAGGATCTGGAATCCCCCTATCGTCAACACCAGCCTTCATAATGGACCCACTCAAACTTAATGTGTGGTGAATCCTGCCTCGAAGCCAGAATTCTGCATGCCTGTAGGTTAAACATGATGGAGACCATGCCACCCACTCAACGGGAGGGTGACATCAGTGACATGACATCGCTAGAGGGCAGATCCCCGCTACTGCGACAAGCCTGCTTGGTTCCACCAGCATGAAACTTTACTCTTACCCTTGGCACAGCTCTTCCTCCTATTCTTGCTCAGTGGATCCTACTGCCAACCGGAGAAACCAGATTTCAGCAATGACGCCTATGAAAAGCTCGTGCAGGCTTTAGAATCTTTGAAGGTGGTAGATACATCTGCAGTTTAATGAAATACCTGCTGTGTCACATGGAAACTGCAGATGCGCATGCCCATTATTGCGCACATCAACTGTGACACTGCGGACCGCAAAGAGTCCCATGCCAGGTGAGCCTGTAACTTGGTCAAGTGATGAAAGAGGACCATGTCACTGGGGTCCCCCTCCACCTCCAGGGCTGACCTCTGAAGGAAAGGTATGCACCATCAATTGCCACCCTAATTACTGGCAAGCATTCTGAAATTGCTCCTTGAATTTCTGGTATGCTGCCCTGAAAAGGGCTCCAGATTGGGAAAAAGACCCTGTTTAGTAGCCTGAAACACTAAGGTGAATTAGACCTAATGGGCAACTGAGGTATTGACATATCCGGCAAGCTGGGGATAGGCAATAACCCTGAAGACACTGAGAGGGACTGGGCACAAACCCTTCCCTTCATCAGGAGTTAAACCCTTTGGACTCAGTGCCTTTGGCAGCAGACAGAAGTACACATTCCTGGGGATCCAGCTGAAGCTTGAGAATTTTCCAGGTGGTGCAATAAACTCTGTTAATTAAGCTGTAGAGGTTTCCAGATTCTTTGAATATATTCCTCTTTGGGTACTTATAAGCATTTAAATGTCCATTTTAAAATCCCTACAACAGTTGTAACAATATTTGAAAATATTTTACAAAACAAAAACTACGCTTTGTCTTGTAAGACCACCATTACAGGGCCGGAGGGGCCCCTCACAGCCAAGAGAGCAGGTAACCCTAGACCGTGAACCCTCAAGACCTCACTTTCCATGCTGAACTAGAAGTCAGACAGAATGGGAGGAGTGGAGTGATTACCCAAAGAGGAATATATTCAAAGAATCTGAAACCTCTACAGGTTAGTTCGATTCTTTTTTATATTCCTCCTTGGGTGGATTATAAGATAAGACAGACTCCTAAAGACGGAGACTAAGGAGCGGCATTCTGTCTGGCATAAAAAACCCGACAAGAAGTGGAATTTCCCAAGCTAAATATAGCAGAAAAGCTCACTTACCCAGTCACTACGGTCCACCATAGCCAATCAGGCGGGGCATGAGCCAGGGTCAGGGTCTACATATTATAATTACAAAGTGAAACCCTCGCTTAATAAAAAAACAATCGAGATAAACCCTCCCTCCCTCTCCTGTAATCAATCGAAGTGAAGATAAGGGAATCCGCGAATGGCAGCCAGAAACAAAATGCCGTAATACATCTATTAAGCAAAGTTTCCAAGGCAAATAAGTCTAGAGCAGAACGGAGTAATGCAAAAGGAGACATGGGAATAAAACCATCACCACATAAAACCCATCACCAGGGCTTATATGTAAACAAGAGCATTTTAAAACCCAGCACCAGTGTTAAAAAATCGCATATAATGGTTCATAAAATCCTCGAAAAGCTCAATCGGCTAGAGAGAGGTGGAACCATGCCCACTGGAGAGAACTGACTGACCGAACCGAGAGCACCACTGGAGAGTCTGTCAAGTTGGTAATGACGGATGAACGACGTCTGTGAGCCCGGCTCCAAATAGCAGCCGAGGAGCAGATCTCCTCAATAGAGGCAGGGCTGCAGCTTAAGCTTAAGTAGCAACTGCTCCTAACTTGAATGAGCTTTCAACCCTACAGGCGGGGATCGCCCTGTGTGAGTATATAGCTCATATGTATGGCAGAGACAAGCCACCGAGAAATGGTTTGCTTGGTCGACGGAAGACCAACTTGAACTCCCCGCCATAAACAACAAACAATTGGACTATCCTCACGGGTACCCTTATTATTCGCTTCATATAAGCCTTAAGGGTCATACAGACATCTAAGACGTGAGCACGCCGTGAGAGAGGTACCGGGCAGGAAGGCTGGAGGAAAGCCGGAGCTCAATAGGCTTCGGGTCACATGGAAGGTACTATCCTTCTTAGGAAGGTAAGTATAAGGCGGCCGTGATGCTAACTATGTCTTTGTGAAACAGTAAGCGGGATCACCGATTATTTTAAGTGAATATCGCCAACCCGCCTGCCAGAAGTCACCACCACAAGAAATGCCGCCTCCCCACGCCAACAGCTGGAGTGAAAGAGCCGACAGATTGTGGAAACGAAACAGTGGACCTGACAGCCAATCAAGAATGATTGACAAGTCCCATCGGGGACTAATCCGCCCGGACAACCGGACGGATTCTGTCCACGCCTGCCCTAAAAGTGCTGTACAAGAGGATGCTGCCCCAAGAGAGCATCGTCTAACAGGAATATGATGAAACGCAGAAATAGCCGTGAGAATATCCTCTAACAGTTGAAGCAGCTAGACCGCCCAACCGGAGACTGGAGGAATTCTAAGACAGAGACTAAATCTGCAGAAAAGGATCAAGAACTCTGTTGCCACACCAACGCGAATAACAGGCCCATCTATCCTCATATTGAACGCTTGTCGAATCCCTCGAAGCCAAGAACTGTGTCTGCAACTGGTGCAGGAATTCCGGCCAAGACGGAGGCGATCCCCTGACAGCGGCCAAGCCACCCACTGAATCCTGGGATTCGGGTGGGGCTCCGTTCTGGGATAGGAGGTCCGGTCGAAAAGGTAATAGAACAGGAGGCTGAGCCAGAAACCTGAGAATTACCGAAACCAACTTTTGTGCCGACTAAAGGGATGCCAGAAGCACAAGTAGCCGAGCTGGTTCAGCGGACAGCTGAGACAGGACCCTGGGATACAGTGGTATCGGGAACACCTACAGTACCCTGGTCCGGTCCAATCTAACTGAAAGTCGCTGGTTGGCTAGCGCTCTCGGATCCGAATCCGAGAGCAAAACATCGGAATCTGGTTCGTCTCCCCAGAGGCAAACAGATCCACCTGAACGACCCAAACAACTGGCAGATAATCCCGAATATCCCGGTCGAGCATCCACTGCGTGTGGGGCTAGTATGCACATGAGAGTGCATCTTCACGGATGTTGTTCTACCCCGGGAGATAAACAGATAAAACCGATAGGATAGGAGGTCCGGCCGAAAAGGTAATAGAACAGGAGGCTGAGCCAGAAACCTGAGAATTACCGAAACCAACTTTGTGCCGATTCAAAGGGGTGCCAGAAGCACAAGTAGCCGAGCTGGTTGTGCGGTCAGCTGAGACAGGACCCTGGGAATCAGTGGTATCAGGGGAACGCCTACAGTACCCTGTCCTGTCCAATCTAGCTGAAAGGCGCCTTATTAGCGCCTCGCCCGAATCTGAGCAAAACACAGGAATCTGGTTCACACCCCAGACGCAAACAGATCCACCTGGAACGACCTCAACAACTGGGAGATAATCCCGAATATCTCCTGGTCGAGCATCCACTGCAGGGGCTAGTATAAAGCCGTGAGAGTGCATCTGCACGGACGTTGTTCACCTCGAGATAAACAGGCAAAACCCAATGTTGAACTGATCGCACCATAGTAGAAACTGCCACGCCTCCTGAAGGAGTGACGGAGACACTGTGCCGCCTTGCTTGAGAATGGTAAGACATGGCTGTTTGATTGTCCATCTCTAGATCTAACCACACAGGCCCTGAACAAACACCAAAAGCTCGAACACTCCCCGCGGACTGCTCTCAGTTCTAACACACATTGATGTGTAGTCTGACTTCCCGCTCACCAGAGGCCTGAGAGTGTCAGCTCACCCAGGACCCCCCATCCTGTGAGGGAGGCTTTTTCCCGCCTGAACTGAGAGGGAAGGTGTTCGGGTGTCTAGGGGATCCCCTGACAAATTCCTCGACTTCCGGCCCACCACCGCAAGTGAGGAATTAACCACTCGGGCGCCATGAGAATAGTCTCGTGAGTTAGCTCTGAAAGTGGGACCACAGCTGAGCTTAACGCTTGCTGAACTGGTCTCATCCTCAGACGTGCACGCCAAACCATAAACCACTGTCGCCATGTTGCCTAGCAACCGGGCCAAGTTCAGGCCGACGATGGGGCTTAATTGGAGGAACTGTAACACAGTCCTCTGACTTTGACGATACAGTCCGGAGCAAGGGAAACAATCCCTAGCTCCTGTTGAATCTTGCCCCCAAGAATACCAGATCCCAAGGCCGGAACGAGGTCTGATTTCTTGAGGTTGATAATCCAGCCCAGTGACACCAGAGTATCCATCACGCACGCAAGTGTGGAGGCTCTGCTTAACTGAGGACCTAAGGCCCTGAGAAGCCAATCGTCCAGGTACGGGTAACAACACCTGCCCTGAGACCTGGCTAACTGAGCTGGGATTAGCATAAGTTTGTGAACACCCTTGGCCGCCGAGATGTTAAGGGGAGCACACTAAACTGGTAGCACGTCCCCGTCAAGGAGAACCGGAGGTACTTCTTGAACTCGGGTGCATTAGGAACATGGAGGTATGCGCCTTTGAGATCGCATTGACGTGAAGCCAATCCCCTGTCTCGACAGAGGAGATCACTGACCTGAGTGTCTCCATCCGGAAAGACGGCACCTCCAGTAACTTGTTCAGCCCTCTGAGATTCAGAATGGGTCTGAACCCTCCGCCCTTCCTGGTCACTAGGAAGTAGGTGGAGTAAACTCCCTCCTTGCTGACCCACAGGAACCACTCGATGGCTGCCTTGTCCAGTAAGGACTGAACTTCCGCACGGAGTATGTCCGCCTTCTCTGGAAGTCAGCACGGAGTGTGCCAACCCCGAGAAGGACGGAGGATCTCGCTTCCACTGTGGGCAAATGGCCATCCCTGAGTGTGGACAGGACCCAGGGATTTGTGGTGGCTGCCTCCCACTCCTCGAATAGAAAAGGGACAACCGCCACCGACAGGGACGCTTTGGCATGAGGCAGTGCACCCCCACAGTCGGCAAGTCTCCACCATGCATGAGTGGGGCAATAAGGGCTCTGGGGAAGGAATCAGCGGGAAGCCGGGCTGGCTCTGCCCCGAAAAAGGCTGCCGCGATTGAGCAGGCCTGCTCCTTGCCCTGCTTGTTCGCTTTGGCCTGCAAAGGGCAGTCCACTTTGCAGGTTCCTTTGCCGGGCGGAAGGATAAGAGGTAGCGAAGGGAAGGCCGCATGGCGAGGAACGGAGGGCTGCTCCAACAAAGGCTTAGAGTCTTTGAAGGTAGACACGGCCTCTGCAGCCTCCTGTACAACCTGCAATGCCCCAGGGAACAGGGAGGACCCCATTGTGTAAGGCAAAGACAGGAGCTGTTTCGCCATGGATAACAACACGGATAACCACAGCCGGGCGCAAGCTCCATAACGGCACCCATCATCTGGCTGGCACAGCAATCAACGCTGTCCCGAAAGCCAGATGAGAGTGGACACCTGTTAGCTGACGCTATGCAGCACTGGCCGACGAGTCGGGCTGCCACAAGCTCCTGATCCACCAGCCGTCCCTGCAGAGCAGACAGGTAGGCTGAGTGGACGCCACACTTTAATTGCCTCAGCCGTAGTTTAATTGTTAGAAAGCGGGAGAGGCGCTTGCCCTGCCTGGTCGGAGGCCAGGGAAGACGAGGATCTTTCCCCTAGAGTGACGGAAGCGTAAGACGCTCCAACAGTGCCTTCTCTCCCAACTGGTACCGCGAATAGCGCTTCCGCCGGCAACTCAAAACCGCATGCGGCACCATAGTCAAGCAAGAGCCACCAGTGATGGCAGAATGCGGAAGTGAGGACATCGCCACTCCAGCTCACCAGTGAAAAGCCTCCCCCGGAGCCAAACTCCTCGCGGATCGGGCTTCTGTACGGGAACATCCACCTGAGGGAGGACTTCGCGATCTTATCCCTAACCCGCCGCGAGGGGGACAAGCCAAAGGAGTATCGAACTCCAACCTCCGACTCTCCCTCCCTTCATCCTCCTCCATATCAATCTCGGCATAATCCTCGCCACCGTGACTTCATAATCCTGAGAGACCGACCGAGGATACACCAGAGGCTGAACAAGAAAGACTCAAAAGGTCGAGCCAGAGGGAATGAGTCGCCCTGCCGGGTGGAACTCCACGCCAGGTCGCCGAGGCGCCCAAGAGGAACCTGTCGCAACAGGTTTCCCCGGCAACCCAGACTGACTGCCAGGCCGAGGTATCCCCAAGCTGGTCGCACTACCCAGGCGCACCGCCAGTCAGGGCACCAGGCTTAAGACAGGGTAAGCCTTCATCGGCGCCAGGCTTCGTGACGGACCTGAGCTGGCCATGAAGCTAGGGTCGCCACAAGGCAGGGCACGCTTATCACCACGGGCTAAGCCATCCCCAGATGTGTCCGGGAGACGCTGCTTCTCCGAGCCGATACTGAGCTCCTTACTGAACTCCAGCCAACGCCGTGATCAATCAGGGATTTCACGGACGCACATCAGTTCCTACGAAAAGAGTAGCTAATGCCTGTATCAATCAGGGCAACAGGTGCCGATGCAACAGGGTGTGTTGGAAACAGGTACATGGGCAGGTTGAGATGCAGAAGGAGCATTAGTTTTTCAAACGAAGCCTCCTTGGTAACTTTAGCCCGCTTTGGGAGCCGGTTCCATGGGAGGCGGCCCCGAAGACCCCTTTTTACTGTGTGAACGCTTGGACGGGGATCCTGAGCCCAGATATCACCCCCGCCCAAGCAGGCTGCTGTAGAACAGCTTGTCCACCCGCCTGGACTTAATAGATTTAGGCTTGAAAATCTCACACGCCGGACAACCCGCTTCGGGCCATGATCAGTCTCCATTAGACACAGACACACTCGTGGTGACACCTCACGGGAATGGCAGCTTGGTGGCACCGGCAGGACAGGATTTTAAACTGCAACAAGTAAAAACCTGTGCAGTAACTCTACCCCATACATACATACATAAATATATGAAAAAACATGCATGGGCTTATTACAACTAATGCAACAACGCGAGGCATGAAGTTGACAAAAACAGTAATAATGCACTCTGCAACATAACTAATAATTACGACTTTTAGCGTAAGATAGAAAATGCTAGCAGTGGAAATAACACCCTACATGTAAAAACATATAAATAAAATTACTATAACCACACGTATGCTGTTCAAGAAGTAGTTCAGGAGAGAAGTGACCTAAGTAATATGCTCCTGGAATGTATGCAGGACATATCAACAAAAATCGAGCTAGAAGAAGCAGCACTAGGCTCCTTGCCACTCTTTTCACCTTTCTTAGCCTTAGAAAGGGGAAGCCCCATCCTGGGTAGTGGGCCCAAATGCGAACATGCCAAGAATTAAACAAACAAGCCAAGAATTCAACAGTAAAAAGTTGAAGCAAATGTAATACTATAATAACATAGTGAAAAAGCATGAATGGGAACACATAAATGAAAGAATTGTTGAATGCAAGCAGGTTTCAAGAAAGGCAAACTGAAAGAAAAACGTAAGCCAAAAAGGTCCCCTGGGGACAAGTCTAGCAGACACAATCCCCACATGCAAACCAAACATTTTATGAGATGAAATACTACTGCATCTTTAGAAAGTTAAACTTCATAAAGGGCAAGATACATACAGTATTTGAAGTCTCAGACATCTCATCAGAAAAATATAGTTGAAAGGTTACATCATGTGTTTACTGTAAGAGTGAAGGAACGATGACATATTTGTACAATATTTCTATGTTAACACATTGTAACAACTGTCACATGTTATTTTCAGCAGCAGAAAATGCATAGATGTATCCTAAGGAAGACATCTTCTGAAAAGAATGTTTTTTCAAGCCCCTCTCTCCAAAAATCTTCCACAGTATCATTTTTTTAAACGCATCTTACTCCGATATCTCTCTGCCCAAACAAACTGCCCTTCCTGGTAAAATGCCCTCATGATGTTATAAACAATTATATCTTACCTGGTGATATGTCCTGATGAGGTTTAGAAGGCACTTGATTTATATTATCATCATCTGTTGCTTCTTCCTTTGAAGGGTAAATGCTCTTTATTCTGTCACTAGAGTTATTCCCCATTGACACCTTTCCAGTACTCTGTTCTCTCACCTCCTCAGTGTCTAAATCAACATCGACAAAATTATCAGGTTGTGATTCACCATTCTGACTTTCAGGCTTGTCACTATGAAGGCTAGTACTACTTGAAATAGCCTCTTCCGTTTCCACACCTACAACACTTTGTCTTTCATCCTTGATTGTGTCCAAGTCTGTTGTTGAAAAGGACTTCCTCATTCCACTTTCTCCCTCTGCATCTTGATGATGTGAGCCATACTTGGATCTGGAGTCCAGATTGTCCATGCTCATGTACCGCAGAAGTGTCTGATCCTGGAGGGAGGCCATCTTGTTTTCTCCTCCACGGACAGTGAACCTTGCCTGCACACTGTCTGCAGGATTGTAAAGTTCCTCTTCAAGGGACGTTTTGCTGGCATTGTTGACAAGAAATATTCCAGAAGGAAGTTTGACAGCAGAGTCTAGAAACGCTGACTGACCATCAGCTACATCCCCATTCATGCTGTCTGATTCTGTGGAGTCACTCAAGTTTGACATCTCATCTATGATAGCTGTAGACAAACAACAGGTCACTTAAGTACAAGATTGCCAGGAACCACTATTTCTATGAATGTTAGCTGTGCCATTTGTTTAAGAATTCAGAAAAATGCTCCCAAAGTATCATCTAGAACCCAGTCACAATTTGAGCATATACCTCATTTTATATCTGGGTAACCTGTCAGGGATCAAGGAGATGGGGGAGCATTTATGACAAACTTGCTTGTCAGACGGTTGAGATTTTCAAACTACTTTGCTCACGTCTCCCCGGTATTGTGAACAACTCTCCACAAAATTTGTTTTGTTTTTATTACCCCTGAGTTAATGATGTTTTTAAAAACATTTCCCAGTTCTCTTTGCCTCTCCCTATTACAAATGATTGGCCCTTGATCACTCAACATTACAGTTGCTAGGTATTAAACTTCTTCTCAATATTACATATGATTATTCTCTAATACTGATCACTGAACCAATGCATGACCCCTAACACTGATCACACACATGCAAAAAATAAACGATCCCTAACTTTCATCAACAGAACAAATGAAGATCCCTACCATAACCATTTCACACCATATTATTTCATATCACCAAGTTGGGTTGGACAGGGACTTACCTTGAACTCTGTTTGCTGTGTCTGCATGGCCATCATTCAGCAGCTTGCTGACCAGCTCAGACAGGGAGCCAAGTTTGATATGTCTCTGGATGAATGGCACAGCAACAAAGTTGTCAAGGTAACACAACAGTTCCCCGGCAATCGACCACACCTGTTTGGCCAGCAGCAGCTGCAGACACCGCTCCACTGGAAGGAGATGCAGGCGGCACAGGGACTGGTCCGCCAGGAAGATGTATATCTCTGTCCCACTTGTCACCATATCCAACACATCTGCCAATGATAGAGGAATGAGTGAGTGCATGCACGTGAGTGAGTGAGTGAGGTGAGGTGAGGTGAAATTGGGTTTTACGTCGTACTTGAGAATATTTCGCTCATATGATGACGTGCATGTGTGTATGTGTATGTGCGGCTGCTTGTACTAGCCCAGACTTAAGCTGGTTTTATAGTGCTAGCCCACTGAGATACCATGCCGCAGTGAAGCATGAATACCCCACTCAGACACATTATACTGACTCCGAACCGACCAGTCCTTGTTGTACCCATTAATGCCGAGCGCCAGACAGAGACCAACAAGTACCATATTTTAATGTCTTTTGGTATGACGCGACCGGGGATCGAACCGGCGACCTTCCGCTCTCCGGGCGGACGCTCTAACCACTACACCATGGAGGCGGTCGAGTGAGTGAGTGAGTGAGTGAGTGAGTGAGTGAGTGAGTGAGTGAGTGAGTGAGTGAGTGAGTGAGTGAGTGAGTGAGTGAGTGAGTGAGTGAGTGAGTGAGTGAGATCAGAGAGTCGATGAGTAAATTAGTGGAGTGAGGAATGTGAACATGAGTGAACCAGCCTTGAGGGATTAGCGAAGTGAATGAATTTTACAACAGTTATTACAGCTAAAACATCACAGCACGTAAGTAGACAAGTCTAGGCCAGACGAAGAAGTGAATGGTAGCATGAGCAGAAACTCAACTTGTCAGTAGATAACAGTACATCATTTAGTCTACTTTGCCAGGGGTGGAAATAACTTTAAAATTGCTAGTGTACTCCGGTACAGTGGCACATGTAAAATCACTTGCCCTGATCATTTTTCCACTATACCGTCCATTTTCTTGATTTTTTAAAAAATAAACAACATAATTAACATTGGAAACTCAACTGGACACCGGTACAGTGTGATATACAAATTTGCTTGCCCGAGAGAAAAAACACTGGACTCGGACGCCGGGCAATGGGTTATTTCTACCCCTGTTTGCCCTAACCTGAAAATAATCCTATGGAAATGTGCCATAATATATGCCATGGATAAATGTTTGACTTACTGGCAGGCTGTTCATTCCACAGAATGATCCTGACACGTACCGGATCAAACACATACACCCGGCGATTAGACCATGTTATCAGGTACGGACTGCAACACAAAATAACATTCAAACTCTTCAGTTTTAAAGCAATAGACAAGAAACAAAGAAGAGATAGTGTGGAGTACAGAGTGGAAACTAGCTCACTCCACAAGTGACAGTATCAGTAAACTTTCTCTAATTATTGCTTACAACTTAAAACTTGCTGCCAGACAATGATGAAATGAAGAAATGAATTCATCATTTCCTTGTCTCTAATGAGTATGCTCAGAACATGCATCACTGGAAGGTGATATCAGCCGTCTCTTGATTTTTGCTGTAAATCCGTCCGATGTCGTCCGAGGGGAGGCAGGTCGAAGAGACAGACAGGCCTTTATTCGTTGCTGTGTAGTATATGAATACAAATAAAGAAACTATCTGGCCAGATGTCCATAACATCAGAAACAAATTAATTGATATGTAAATTAGCTTGTGGCCATGTTGTGAGATTCTGTAAGTAAACAGTCAGATTTGCTGCCGCAGAAGAACACACAAGCTGTACACACCCGAGCCTGCAGAGTTTGTTGAAGCCGACAGACTGAGTTGTGTAGACTTGGGATGGGTCAGCAAACTTCACCACAGGGTCGCTACAACACCCGACAGTAGTCATGTTACTTGCATTGTCAGTCAATGTTTCCATCAATTTTAAATTGGTAATAGATGTTTGGCATTTTGTATGGTAGGAATGTGATGATAAATCTTTTTGTGTCTGTGATTTGATCTTAAACCAATGATGTCCTTAATTCTTTTACTATGAGGTGCAGTATTATGTATGGGTCCAGTTCATGTTAATTAGTGAACACAGTAATTGTGAAAAAAAGTGATTAATATGTCTTTGCCAAAAAATGTATAAAACATTGTGGTATGCATCATAATACATGAATAATACTTGCAAAAAAACTGCACTGCAAAAATCAAGCCATTACCCATCTTTAACTACCATGGAAACAAGCATGGAATTATGTACTGTGAATCTACAGATTGCAGGCACTTACTGGAACTTGATGACTGGTAGAGGGGGTATTGCCAGTAGCTGTTTGAACTGATGGGTGTTGAGGACATTGGCATCAAAGTCAACCTGAAGCAGAAACAGTTCTGGCTTTGTCAGTACTAAACCAACATGTGCCATGTTTTATAATTCTTAGACCTGCATAATTTGGGGCTTTCCTCACAAAGGACATGCCATGATGTGGAACACTGTTCAAAGTGGTATTCCACACCCACACACTGAAGAAAGGATACTGAAGTCATTGAATAATACATCAGTCATATAACAGTACATCAGCAGATACATCGCAGATATTTCCCCAATTAATGTAACCTTTTGGAAGAGTTATGGTACTCGAACCACAAATCAAATCACTGTGAACCAAGCATCATCGGATTCTGTACAGTGAATTGTGATGCCTTAGACGAATATGAAGGTAGTTTTGCCATTGTGGTGCATTATTCAGAAACTGACAAATCTTCGTACCTCCCAGACACGAGATCCAGGCCGTGAGCAGTAGATGACAGGGTACTGTGAACTAGGCTCCAGAAAGAAACATGACCCATACTCTCCATCTCTGAAACATGCACAGCTTGATTAAACTTGCCTACAGTGCATTAACAAAGAGAAATTATAACTTGGTTTGTCCACGAAGCCTTAATCCTTTAGCTGAAGACTTTGTTGATGTGTTATTACATTATGCTACAAAGAACAGTGGAATGTCTGAAAACATCTTAAACAACATTTTAATTAACATACCTAAGCTTTTTCCCGATCTGAGTATACTGTTGTCTGGAAAAAGAGAAATCGGTATGATATTAAGAAAATATACAAATATATTAACCTATAATATGAACTTTTTAGAGCAAAAATATTATTTTATTTTATTCTTATTTTGACTCATACTGTTTGCTTCTCTCTGCCTTAACCAGATATGGTGGAACACTCTGTGCTATGTTCAACTAGAATAGTAAAAACATCTCACCCAAATGCACCCCGCCCCTGTGCATGCACACCAGCTCCCCATATGACTACTGGTGAAACATCACTCTCTCGGAACCTGTGAAGATCTGGATTAGAATTGATCTTCAGTAATCCATGCTTGTCCTAAGAGGCGACTAACAGGATCGGGTGGTCAGGTTCACCGACACATGTCGTATCCCCATTGCATAGATCGATGCTCATGTTGTTGATTGCTGTATTGTCTGGTCCAGAATTGATTGTTTACAGACCGCCGCCATATAGCTGGAATATTGCTGAGTGTGGCATTAAACAACAAACGAACCAACCAACCACTCTTAATTTGCACAACAAAAATATCCATCGATTACCAGGATTGACATAATAGAGACTTCACAAAGGTCTGAGGCTGCGTGAAGGTCAGAGGTGGTGTGCAGACTGACCTGCAAACAGGTCTCATTTATCCTCCTCTTCTGCTGAAAAGATTGTGAACCTTGAAGTAATAGTTGTAGATGTCTGCATGAAGATCTGTGGCTGCGTGCAGGCCTGACGTAGCTATAGTCTTTTGAGAATGCTGCCAACAGGTTTCGTTTATCCTCTCCTTCTGAAGGGTTTGTAAACCCAGAGGTAATAGTCGCAATGGCTGGCAGCATGAAGATCTGTGGCTTTAGTCTTCTGAAAATGCTGCCAACAGGTTTCGTTTATCCTCTCCTTCTGAAGGGTTTGTAAACCAAGAGGTAATAGTCGCAGTGGCTGGCAGCATGAAGATCTGTGGCTTTAGTCTTCTGAAAATGCTGCCAACAGGTTTCGTTTATCCTCTCCTTCTGAAGGGTTTGTAAACCCAGAGGTGATAGTCACAATGTCTGGCTGTATGAAGGTGTGGAGCTGAGCACCGGCTTGTAGCTGCGTGAATATCTGCATCTGCACTTACACCTAAAGCTGTATGAAGGATGTGCCCTGCATGAAATCTTGCTGTGTTCAGGAGGTGGTGTTTTGCTCAGTAGGTCTCAATGTTGTCCTCTATTGAAGAAAGGTTTGTGAACCCAGTGGTGACTGTTGCCAACTGCTTCATGAAGGATGGCTTCTTGATGTCCAAAAGGTTTCACTAATTAACTTGTACACATGATAAACTAAACCTTAACAAAGATAATCAGAGCAAAGGTTTTGAAAAGGTTACTAATTTTGATAGGATGGCTTGGATTAAAAACACAGAGACATTATTCCCAACCATCCCACTGTAACAAAACAGAGAGTGTGGCGATTCACCAGCTGGTCACGTGGGGAACTGGTATGCATGCACAATGGAGGGATGCTTTTGGGTGAGATGTTTTTACTGTTCATGGGGAACATAACACACAGCATTTCTGTCATGTCTAGGGTTAAAGGAGAGAGAAGCAAATAGTATGAGTCAGGATAAGGAAACATAAGAAATATACAATGGAATTCTCCATTTATAAACTCTTATTCAGGAGCTATTAACACAAGTACTTCACATCCTGACTTTAATAACGCTTCTGTCAATTCTGTCTGATGAAAATGGAATGTAATTTGTAGCATGATTGGTGCCCAAACAATGAAGAACTCAATAGAGGGAGAGGAGAGCTACAGAGGATGTAACTCCTGGTAAGAAGGTGAGGTACAGAGGCTACAATTGGTGAGATGTCCTACTTGTTGGTGTTAAGGAGGTAGCTCCTGGTCAGCGTGGACACCAACAGCTTCTCCCCCCACCAGTCCAGCTGCACTACCGTAGTGTCCAGACGCAGGATGATTTCAGACGGCTGGAGGAACAGGGTCTTGGCCTGATGGCAAACATCACAACAACAGTTGGTCAATGGAGTCTCAACCAAGGTTAAGAAGTGACTGATATTAAGAGTAATGACTGAAACTGACACACAATGAACAAAGTCACCTACTCTGACCATTCAATCCATGAAGTCATCCATTATTGCCTGTGGTAGATCAAAGGCACCTGTTTTTTAGTGGTGTTCCTGTGATCGATTATAATCGATAATTGATTGGTTTACCCTTTTCCGATGCGACAATCGATTGCAAAATTTCATAATTGATTGTCGCTAATAATTCTTAGAAAAACAATAATGAACATGATGAATACCTAACTCAGAGTCAGACCACAAGGCAACAGGCAGTCACCAATAATTATAACTTCTATCCACATTATTCACAGAAATCACAATCATATTGCGTCTACTCACTCCTCGAAATGAAGTGTAGTTGACAGAAAATGGATATGCATATATATATTGTTTTGCTAAATGTCATATTTATTGTAGCTGGCGATCACCACAAACTGGCAAGTGTATTTCACCTCATTTTATGCGCGTACAACTTTCGCTTATCATGTTCATGAGGGTACACTTTTCGCTCCAACCACGATAGCACCAATTTCAGTTTCAGATTATTATCAACAATCACGAACTGAATACCGCCTCGTCATCCATGGAGGCCCTAGTTTACAGTAACATCGGTGATCATGTGTGTGCAATGCTAGGATATATTTCTCTTGGTAAAATGATAGTTTTAGATATTATATTTTACCGTTCACTGCTGCAAAATTCATCCCGTTATATCATTGGGTATGTTTTAACTAGATTGCCGGGAAACATGTGCACAGCTGATTGCAACATGGTAATTTTAATCCCTACAATGCCTAGAAAAAGAAATTAGAACTGAAAACGTAAATAATCTTGTCTCGTCACAAATTACACCTGAAAAGATAAATAATCTTGTCAAGTGATGTTTAATTGCAAATTTGACGTCTTTACTGACAAAGTCGTCTTCTCTTGTCAGTTTGTTCATGCGAGGCGATACAATGTCATTCTCTTATCCCCTGAAAAAAAGTTTCACGAGAGTGTAACCCATAGATAAGCCGAACCCCTTCTATAGACTGCTATTTTTGGTCCTCAAGATTCGGCTTATCTACGGTACCGGTAATATACCGTACATTAGTGTAAAAAGTGGGTCAAAATTTGGAAAAAAGTGTGAGGATTTGTTGTGATTGTGTAAAATCTGCCAAAGAGTGAATTGAACAGTCATCTTATCTATATCTTGGTAGTCCGTCAATATTTATTTTTGTACACATTTTTTTGTTGATCAATGTAGACTTGGGTTGTTTGTAATTTTGTACAATCTTGCCTCAAATGAATTAAAACTAATGAAAAATATAATATTCCTGAGTTTTTAAGCTCTTGTAGATGCACCCTCAAGTCATGTTTTTCACAGAAACCAACCACAAAAGCTGACATATTTTATTTCATGCTCACTATTATCACATAACTTACAAAAATGACAAATATACAGTATTGCAGTATTGTGAAAGAGTTCAAATGTTTACCTGGGAATTGCACAAGTTGTAAAAAATATTTAATTCTTAATCAGTGTAACCGATTGTACAATCAATCATTGATCGGATGGGACAATCCGATTGCAACCGATAACTGATTATGAAATTTCAACCGATTCCCACCACTACTGTTTTTCAACTAGCCATACTGATAGTGATTTGTACACGTCTGATGTTCGGCTCATGTCACGTACTGTACATGTGAACTACTGTCATATCTGGCCATGCCAGGATATGTATGTTTCGCTGGAAAGGACTATCAGACATGAGGACCTTGAACCCTCAAATTTACTGGTTCCAGTAGTGTCTTATTGGTCAATATCAAGGTGCTTAGCTATCTTAGCGTTAAGGTGGCTGTAACTCCCTTACCTTAACATAGACTTTAGGTAGTCTTAGCACTAAGGTTGTTTTGTTCAACAGCACACTGGTATATATCAGAGAACAGAATAACTGATTGATGTATGGACTTTATAGGTTTTTCCTGCAAGGTGACGTTTTATGTATATTTAAGGGATAGAGACGAGAGGAGACAAGATGAAGAGAGGTCGTGTATTTTACCAATTGTCATTTCAGGTAATTGAATGGTTTTACATTGCTCTGTGTGATGAAACAACTTACCTTTGATGATGGTATGTAGCACACAGTGATCTTGCCGACATTGTCACCCACAAACAACTTGAAGTTGTGTCCCCCCCACTGAAGGCAGGTGACAGTACAACCAACATGATCTGATGTCAGCCGGATTCGCTCCGGCTTCTGACGCTTCTCTATGTTCATCTCCATGACAACTACGTGACCCGACCTGCATGACAGTACATAAGGCTCACCTGTCTTGTAAAACTCAGTGAATGTATTTATTCTTATCATACCAGTACATAAAAAGAATTTCCACCAATCAGGTTTACATAGATACTTTCACATGAACTGGGAGATGCATACATTAGTATGCATACATTAATAACAATACAATATCAGGCAATAAAAATGGAAATTGTGTAACTACTAAACGTATATTTGATATTACAGAAATCCAAACAATTGTCCTCCAAGTTGTACCACAGTCTGCTGAGAATTCTGCAGTGCCACGATCTTTCGACGTGTACAGTGAATGATGTGCTAGACATGAATACATATCCAAAATTCAACCTGACTATTCTCCCAACTAAACTCTCAAGCTATAACATTCACAGTTGCATTCTACCAACAACTTCGACAATTGACTCAGACCCTTCAAACCACTACATAGTAAGGTGTGATGTTAAAGGTCACATGCAACCAAAAAATCAAACATAATTAAAACTCAATTATCACCTATTCATGACATATAATATACATTGCTGATTATGAAAAAACAAAATTATAAGCGTACAATCACAAATCAAAAGTGCAATATTTTGTATTTTGGTTTACTTCCCTCAAAAAAGCTCCCAGGATACCGAACCCAGTCAGAGCGGGTGGGTGTGCACTCAAGTGTAACGAACACTTTCATTGGCTGGTTCATCTGCCGATGCCCTCACGCCTCATTGTGTGTGTGTATATAGAGATGTTGGGTTTTGTAAATACATGCTCATTTTTTGTGTATAACATTATGCAATCAACAGACATCATAACATGTCATGTGTACAAGTATCACACCTGCCTGTCTGTGTAATTACATAATGTGACAGAGACCGAACTCGGGGGCACAAGCCATAAATCAATGCGTTTTGTTTATGATGTATAGCCTGATAGGTGTTAAGTTCAAATTGCATGTGGTCAGTGATCGAAGTTGTGTATTGCATATTGTCATTAGCAGACAGGCAGACACATAGGTGTCAATAAAACAGACACTGAGTTTTGTCTGTGACAAAGACATATCTATATCACAGTTAGAAATTCTGTCAATGCTAAATAATGACATTGCTTTTAAGTATCGAACTGAGGGGGTGGGGGTGGGTTTCATCGCGCTATTTTTCAACTTTATAAGTTGAATTTGCATTTTTGATGATTTGTATCTGTAAGTCCATACTGAAAGGTATCAGAATCTGCAAAGTTGTGTTTTACGTTACATGTGACCTTTAAAGATTTGAAACTATATGCTGGGCCTTAAACAAAATCTATAGGAAACAGAGCTGTACTATGAAAATATGGTATATTTATACAAGAGAGCGTTGTGCCATATTTTGCCGTAATATCATCCGCCATATTTTGCCGTAATATCATCATTGAGGACACAGATATTAGCTTATGTTCACTGCATCTATGTTTGGACCTCAGCTCCAAGAATAAGTGCCATAACAGTCAGTGACTTTAGCCACTAGTCAGAAGTGCATCTAGTACCAAACTTATGGTCAAGTAAGCTCAGCTAATGCTAAATTCTGCAGAAAATGATAAATGTTGGCCTTGTAGACTGAACAATTTTGGCAAAGACTGTTATAAAGTTTGGGCTACCCCACCACCCCATGCACACAAGGCAGTTGTCTTACCCAGTTGAGTAGGCCACAAAGTTGTCATTGGGGCTGAGGGCTGTGCATGACAGGGGGCTGGATTCCTGCAGGAGACAACACAATAATGATGCATACATTCCATATTCTTGGGCTAGCATCACTTATTCTTATTCTTTGGTAGTTGGAAGAATATGTTTCAAAACACCAATCAAAATGGAGGTGAAATTGCAACAGCTCCTTCAGACCCCTCTACACTACAGTCCGATTGTGTTTGCTATTCACTATTACACTACACTGCAGTTGTGTCTGCTGTACAACACTGCAATTGTATTTGCTATTCACTATTACAGTCCGTTTGGCTCAAAAGCGGACCGATGAATTGCAATCTAACTCGAAAACTAATAAACATAACATACTCAATGAAACGCTGATCATAATCAAAACATCATACCCACTCTGTGAGGTTTTTGCAGAATTTTTGTCCTAAAAATAATAAAGTTGTTTAACAAACTATCATTAAAATATTGACACAGTTCACTGTTTGTTACGAGGGAGGAGTGCAGAGAAAGGGACAGCCAGGTGTTCGAGAAGCACGTTCACAGACAAAGTTATTTATTCATTAACCTGTGCTGTGCCGTCTCCATCCGTTCTCAAACACCTGGCTGTCCCTTTCTCTGCACTCCTCCCTCGTAACAAATAGTGAACTGTGTCAATGATAGATTGTTAAACAACTTTTATATTTTTAGGACAAAAATTCTATTCCAACATATAGCTGTAGCATTGCTGAGTGCATTGTTGAATAGCAAATACAATTGCAGTGTTGTACAGATCTGGGCAATACGATGGCCCAAGCGATTGATATAAGGAAATTGAAAATTTTACTATAAATTGTATATTTATATACTTATCCTATCTCACGGTATGCACCTCTCCTCTTCTTCACGACAATGTGTGGAAACGTGCTGTAGGCTAACTTGAATCAAATCTTACTGGCCTCTGACCACCCGACCTCTGCCCCCACTCCGACATCAGCACCTGTCAGTCATCTCCATACACGTGCAGCTCGCTCAGATGATTATGTGACTACCTGTGCCTGTCATTCTCGTCTTGGAGTTTCCAGTAATCTGTGCTGTGGGGCAGGTCGGGTTGGTATCCATCGCGTGAGAAAGGATAAGTATATAAATATACAATTTATAGTAAAATTTTCAAATTTTTAAACTTATCCTATCTCACGGTATGCATAATCCCACGGTTGGTAGGAGGGCCGCAGATTACCCTGTCAATACTTACAACCGTGAAGACGTATAACCCAAGGAGGCCAGGAGAAAGCACCAACTCCCGATATGCAAACTCCAAACTTGAGATGGGTTTCTTCAGGTGACCCCTTGGCTTACACAGCACAAAAACTCTAGGGAGTGGGCGCTCCCGAATTAAGGTGGTTTTCAGCCGCAACTTTTGACAAGCAAAAGGACGCAGTTTGGCAAGTAGGCCCCACCGCCCCACGATTTATCAGGTGACCCCAGTGAATTAAAGTTGAAGACCTTAATCTGGCCAGTCCCTGTTTCGAAACTACACCCCACAGACACACGCTGGAAGGCGGTGAAAGAGGGAATAGCCCGGTTGCTCAACTATTTTAACGTTCAGTACCAATCCCCCTTAACTTACCAAAGGTGAGAATGGACTTAGGAGCGGAACGCCTCGAAAACCATGTAGGTAATCGGAAATCAACACTTCACTGACGTAATTGCTCAAAGAGTAGAGGTCAGTAAGCGGAATGTCGACCATCTCTGCATGTAGCACAAGACTTGCCTCACAGTCCATCCAGTCATAGTTATGACAGTGCAAACATGCCCTAGTTCCCTAGGTGAGAATGATCTAAGCCCAAATGAAAAAAGTACCAAGACATGGATTACATCGATATCTTTTATTATGTACAGAGCAAAACCGACCAAAGAAGGATTGCTTTATCTGCGAACGCGGGCCGATGACAATTGCTGCGCCAGGACCAGGGGGCCGAATTGATGTAGACCTTCCACATCTGTAACTGAGAGATCCCGCAGGTAGTGTGATGTGAACACAGTATCTGATTTCCAAAAACATCCCTCCATGACGGACTGGAGGGAACAATTCCTGTGAAGTGCCATGGTGGAAGCGAGAGCCCGAGTCTCATGAGGCTTTGCCGTCGATGGTGGAGGTAGTTCAGCAATGGCATAAGCACACAGGATCGTAGTTCTCATCCAAAACGCCAAGGTAGTGTGTGAGACTTCCTAGGCGGAGGCAGTAGATAATGGAATGAACAATCTCTTACGCAGTCTGCGGCGATCCTGCGAGGCAGCTGGGTAAATCCGTAATGCTCGAACTAATGATCTACTATGTCATCTGGGCCCAAGATAGTAGACAGCAGCGGGATCGTGAACGTGCGATCTGGCTGTCCTGGTAACTGATTCTTGGCGAGAAAATCCCACCGCAAACCAAGGAAAACTTTAGCATGTCTAGACCTCTCAAACTGTATCCGAGAAACATTGAGAGCGTGCAACTCAGAAATACGGGCAGCTGTGGCCAAGACCAAGAGAAAGAAGGTCTTAAAGGAGACATGTTCAAAATCTTTCTCCTCCAGAGGTTCATAATCAGCTGACGTGAGATGAGCACGTACAACGGAAAGATCCCAAGCTGGAGGCCGGAACTTCCGGGATTGGTCAGCAAGTTTGTAAGACCTGAGGAGAGACTGGAGTTCAGGGACAGTGGACACCTTCACACCCGAGGCCGATGCAATAACCGTGTTAAGGACAGCCAGGTAAGTAGATAGTGTAGAACCTTTGAGGTTTCTAGAGGTTCGGAGATGCTGAAGGTACTCTGCCACCATCTGCGGGGACACCGTAGTGGGAGATGTGATGCCCTTCTTCCTGCAATACGCTTCAAAATTCTTCCACTTGTCATCGTAGAGTGACCTAGTAGAGGTGCGATGCGCTGTAGTGATGGCAGTAGCAACACGCTTCGAATAGCCCTTGGGGGTTAACGACCGATGTAAATGGGCCAAGCGTGAAGATGGAGTGTGAGCGGGGACCAATGTAGTTGGTCGGAGTGCGGATGCACCAGTAGATCAAGCTGATCGGGAAGTGGTACGGAATTTGGTTCAGCTAGTTCTTGAAGATTTATGAACCAACTTCTGGCCGGCCAGTAGGGCGACCAAAGTAGTGTCATCCGCTGAGTTGCGACGCAGTTTCACTAGTATGCGAGGAAGAAGGGCCACTGGCGGAAACGCGTAAGCGTTCAGGTCGTCCCACGGAATGGCAAGAGCATCGTGGTCCCAAGCCAGAGGGTCCGAATCGGGTGACACAAACAGAGGCAGCTGATGGTTGAACCGAGTGGCGAATAGATCCACTGTCGGAGTCGTCAAAAGAAGGCAGAAGGTCTGGAACACCTGAGGATGTAATTTCCATTCTGTTGGAGAGGGACGACTCGGCCGGGACAGAGCTGACTGACTGAGTTTAGTTTTACGCTGCTTTTAGCAATATTCCAGCAATATCACGGCGGGGGACACCAGAAATGGGCTTCACACATTGTGCCCATCTGGGGAATCAAACCCGGGTCTTCGGCGTGACGAACCAGCGCTTTAACCACTAGGCTACCCCGTCGGGACAGAGAATCTGGGATGACGTTCTTCATCCCCGGAATGTAGTTGGCTCATACAGAGATGTTGAGAGAGTCCACCAGGTTGAAGAACTGTTGAGTCCACTGCAGGAGTTGAGTAGACCCCATCCTGTTGATATGACATACCACTGCTGTGTTGTCCGAACGGACCATGATGGAAGTTGCTCGTAGGACATCTTGCCTGTGACTGATTAAAAGAATCACTGCCCTGACCTCCAGAACGTTGATGTGACAGGCGCGATCTGCGAGAGACCACTGCCCTGCCACTTGTTGATTGAGAAGATGAGCTCCCCACCCGTGTTGAGACGCGTCCACATACAGGTGGTGAGACGGAACAAACGGCCCTAAGCAAACTCTGACGCAAACATTCAACTCTTCCATCCACCACAGGAGATGGGGATGGAGCTCCGGAGGGAGAGTGATCAAGGCAACTGGATCACCCACTCTGATGTAAGGCGCTAGAAAGAGCTGCAAGGGTCGAAGTTGCAGTTGACCCTTGAGGGTCAATGCCTGAGCCGACGTCAAGAGGCCCAGGAGCTCCTGCCATTGATGATGCGTCCTGGGTTGCGCTAGTGCAAGGGAAACCATCGCTGTATCTTGCAGAAACAATCCCTTGGGACAAACAGTTTGTTGACCTCTGTGTTGAACACTGCTCCAATGAATTGAAGATGGCGTGTAGGGACTAGTTCCGATTTCTGCAGATTGATTAACCAGCCTAATTGGTGAAGAATCTGTATCGCAAACTGCATGTGACGAAGCAGAATGGCATGATCGGTCTGCGCCTGAATGCAGTCGTCGATGTAAGCTTCGAAAACTATCCCCTTGCGGTGGAGGAAGCTGGTGATAGGCTTCGTCACCCGTGTAAACAGCCACGGGGCCGAAGAAATTCCAAACGGGAGGACACGCCACTGATATTGGGTGCCCTCGAAGACAAACCGAAGGAACTTGCGATGAGCCGGGGAGATCAGGATGTGAAGGTACGCATCCTGGAGATCTAGACTGACCATGTTGTCTCTCGGTTTGATAATGGTCTTGAGTAGGGCCACCGACACCATGTGAAAATGGGGCGGAGGCTGCAGAAACATCTCGTTGAAGACCTTCATGTTGAAAATTAGCCTCAACTTGTCCGAATCCTTCTTGGCAACCAGAAAGATTGGAGAATAGAACCCCGGGTCGATCGGGGCCGTACCCAGGGATTCGATCGGAAGTTTCTGAAGTAAGGAGTCTATTGTGGATTGAAGAACAGCCGTTTGCTGAGCGGGATACGTTCTGTGATCCGGAAGTAAAGTGAGAGGAGGATCCCCGATAATCGGCAGCTGGAACCCCTTGGATAACGTGGAGAGGACGTAAGGGTCGCCCAAGATGGTCCAGTTGGGAACATAAGTCCCAAGTCTTCCACCTACTGGGCACGACTGGAGGTGGAAGAACCCAGTCACGCTCTAATGTCAGCAAGTCACTGTTTGTCAGGTCTTTGAGAGGAGGACTGGTCAGAAGTGGAAGCTGGTCGTGAAGCAGTGAATGCCTGACGCTGACAGCTGGAACGTCCCCTGCTGGAACTGGAAGCAGCAAAACCCGAACGAAGGTCCGGATTGGAAGGAACACAACGGGCTGGACTTCACTGGCGCAACGAGTCCTCCATCTGCAAACGTTGGAATTCCAACAATTCCACTGACACTTGTAAATAAACATCCTGACCAACTCTGGTGGTGACATCTCTAATCGCCCCGTTGAAAAGTGACCTGCCAGACCACGGCTGACGAAAAAAGATCAGTGTGGAACCTATCCTCCCATGAGGATAAGTGCAGAGCCCCCTGTGACGCATAGCTGTGACGTACGAAAAGAAGTGAGCCAACTGATCCAAAATGGTCTGAAATTGTTCTTGCAATAGTACCATCGCTGCCCGAATATATGTCTGTTGATGGGACGTAGCATGTGCAACCGACATAGCCACCGCCTCAGTAGTCGTCAACACCATGTTGAGTGGAGCCATAATATTCCTTATGACACCATCAAAATGCAAGAGCTCACGATCCTCGACCAGGAACGGTGAGTAGGCTTTCTGTTTGGTTCCCAACAACGTAATATCATCATCCACCGGAGGGGAGGCGATCAGCGTAGAGAAGCAATGAACATGAGCAGATGCTAAATTGAAGCGGGGAGCCGCAAACCCATCCTTAAGCTTCTTCAGGTTACCAAACGACTCATCCAGTGACGCTGCCAATTGAGTGATTCAAGGGCGAGGCGGGAAGGTGATAGAACCAAAACCACCTGGCTTCATGTCAAAACTGGATAATAAATCCGAAGGCGAACTACTACGTTGTAGTCGAAGGCTATCGGCAATCCAGACTAGCAATTGAGGAGTGTCAACAGCATCAACGCTAACATCCGAAGGCGACGTACCATCTGAAGAGGGAGATGGCGTAGCCGAACGATGGACTTCCTCCAAATGTTGAGCTGGAGTGGTCGTAGGACCAGATGACTGAATAGCAGAGGAAGATGCTGGAGTCTGATGCCGTAAAGCCAAGGCTACCGCTTGTACAATGGTGTCAAAGTCAACAGGTTGAGAAGTCGAACCCTCAGACACCGGATTCCAGGAGACTGGTAAAATAGGTCTCGCCACAGGCCCCGTTGGAGGAGGCAAAGACAAAACAGGAGCAGACAATGAGGGATGACAAGGCACCCCATCAAGAGAAGACGAGCAACGAGCTGACTGAGACAAGTTCCCATGATGAAACGATGAAGACGTAGAGTCCCTCACACTCGCCGCTCTAGGTGGCAAACCAAACCCTGCTGTGACAGTTCCACAAGAGGAAGCAGTAGTACTCCTGCAAAGTGACGAACCCACCGCTGAAGACGCATAGGAAACATATGGCATACTAAGCGTCGCACTGGGAATAAGCGGAGCACCGGGAACCAAAGTAGCAGAAGAAACAAGCGCCGAGCAGGTAGGAAGCGATGCATTGAAAGCAAGAGCTGAGCTGAGTGTACCAAGCGACGAATCAGATACATTGGAAGTAAGCGCTGAACCCTGAGCAAGCATCGAACCGAATGCACCGTGAGGAAGCTCTGAAGCCAGTGCTCTGGGAGGAAGGGCCGAACTGGATACACTAGGCGTTGAATCGCGAGCACCGTGAGTAAGAACCGAACCGGAACCAAACAAGAGCGCCAAACTGGAAACAAGTGGCGCTCTGAATGAAAGCGTGGAATCGGGAGCAAGCGGCGCTCTACAAACAGGTACCTGTCCCGATGTAAGCGGTGCTTCAGAGGTAAATGATGCACTAGAATAAAGTTGTGGTCCGTAACCAAAGGGTACAGGATAAGGGATAGATGTGGTAAAGGGCGCACTGGGAATCATCGGCAAACTTGTCGACCCCACCGGAGGATGAGAAAATGCCGAACCGAAACTATCCACTGTACCAAAACCAAGTGTCACAGTAGACACAAGCACCGAATGGGAAGCAGAAGCAGAACCAACCATTGAAGTGGAAAGCCCGAACTGCAAGTAAGTGTCACTTGAGAGGTAATGTTAGGAACCACACCAAGCGCCGCATTAGAAACACCCACTGCAGGAACATAAGGGTGCTGAGGAACAGTTACCACCGAAGATGGACAGGGTTGAATAGCAGATGTAGATAACACGACAACCCTAGGTGGTGAGGAGTCCTCTAAAGTGATGGGGCTAGATGCATGCGGACGGAAAAGTCGACGCAGAGTTTCACTGAGGTAAGAATCAGACGCCTCCCCTAGGAAATCTTCATTAGGAGACGGGGACTTCGAACGTTGAACTGCAGTTTTCCTTACGGCATTCTGCCTTAGGACGTTTAGACGCAGACGGACCTACAGATGTGTTACGACGATCCCTATCTGACATGCGTCTACAAGCTACCCGGCGATATTCAGAGAAAGCATCGTCGTCGAGGCCAGCACAAAAAGTGCAACGTTGAGACCAATCACAACGACCTAAACAATCTACACACAAAGCATGTGGATCTGCCGCTGAGAAATTACTGTTACAATTGTCACAATGTTTGTGCTTCTTAGAACCATTACGATTCGATTTACCCATTGTTGTAATACAATCAAACTTTCTTAGAGACAAGCACACGTCCACACGACGTAGTGACAAGAAAGAGAAATGACAGGCACAGGTAGTCATGTGATCATCTGAGCGAGCTGCACGCTTATGGAGATGATTGACAGGTGCTGATGTCGGAGTGGGCAGAGGTCGGGTGGTCAGAGGCCAGTAAGATTTGATTCAACTTAGCCTACAGCACGTTTCCACACATTGTCGTAGAAGAAGAGGAGAGGTGCATACCGTGAGATAGGATAAGTTTAAAAATAATGATTCATGTTGTCAGGATACCATGACACATAATCAAGCAAGTCGGACTGGTAGAGCATATGATCTAATGGGATTCTTCTTATAACCAGCATAGGTTGCCAGGGTAGTATTGCATCCCAGAATATCAATAGTGCTGCAAATCAGTGACACAACAATACCTGGATTCAGAAACTGACAGTGATGACAAGATCATAACTTGAGGAACTTACCACATCGCCATAGACCACCTGTAAGTGTTTGAGTGTGTCCCTCGTGAAGATGTAGACACCACCAGTGTTGCTTCCCAGAGCGATGTATTTCTTTGACACCGATACACATGTATACTGAAATAATTCAGGTAACAAATGAGTCAACAATGCTGCATGTTCAGTAACATTGTCTATTAACCAGCAAATCATATCTCCATTCTATCATTATATATACCCTGGATCCATGCGAAACCATTGCTTTGAGTTTGAACAACATGGCACGCAAAAATGATTACTGACACATCAGTATAAAACCAAGCAGCATTATACTCATTACTTAGCTTGACATGTTGTGAACTGCCTCCTTTATATGTGTAATGGATTTACACAAAGTGTGCATGTTCGGACAGAAGTGTAGGGCCCATTATATCACAATACATGTTGCAATACAACCTTTTTTTCAAATAGCCCAAATCACAAAGCCACTGACATATTGAAATTATTTGGAAACATTGTCTTGAACATGATCAGAATTACAATGCATAAAAACCTATTTACTAATGGTACAATATGGTTAACCACATTTACTGTAATAAAGCACAATACCCGAAGTCTTGCTGAGCGTTGCAGAGGAGCTTCAAGGGCATCAAGGGGGCACAACTCTGTGAGGACATGTGACCAACCCCCAGAGGCCATACTTCTGCAGAGAACTCCCTCAGCTCACACTTGGATGTTTTTCAAACTGTAAGTGCAATAAATTTGCCAGAACATATACAAAATGACAGAAAAATGCCTACTAAAATCAATCATACAGTAAATGTTAAAAAATACTTTGTTATTTAATTATTTGTTGGATGTTCTTGCATGATGAGCATGTATGGTTTCAGACTCACTGACTGAGTGAATTAATGCAGGAATGTAAGGTCAAAACACTGATCACCAGCCCCACATGTCATTTGTTTTACCATACTTATGTCTAAATTAATGTCACATCAATAAGAATTTCAGACATACTTTTCAGCAATAAGAACAGGTTTTTCCCAGCATGTCAAAATATGAAGCTTGTCCTATATGCACAATGATATATCACAAATCTAGAGACAATCATGGGTTGTGAAAATTCTTCAAAATCAAATGCACAACCCGTTGGACTAACAGAACTGTGAGGAACATGACGAAGGATGTGTTTTGTAAGAATGACAAGTGACAAAATAATGTAACATTACTGTCATTCAAAGACGAACAAAGATGTAGGTTCGTCCTTGATTCATAACCTACTTAAAAATGATGATGCTATTGTTGGTTCTGCAGGTGCTCTGGTAATGAAAGATACTTCAATTTTTCTGCTTCCTTGCAAACAATGCACACAATTATAATATTGAGTATCTGCCCATACCCAGTCAAAAGAGAATAGGTGACTTGTCATTCACCCTCGATGGTCTAACACCTCTGACTTAGTCGAGAACCAAGTAAACTTTGGTGATCTGGGGGGTGTTGTAAATACGTTATAGACGTCTCTGAATTCACAGTGCAAATCAATTAATGTATAAAATTAACAAAATATATTTTGCAGAGTGTCTACAACTGCAGGTATCGATAGCAAATGTTCGTTGACAGACTTACGTGAATATACTGGATACGTACAGTCATTTTTGATTTGGGGAACAGGAACTGTATCAACAAAAGTTCAGATTCTATGAAGTCACATGGCCAGTCATGTGACGTTTATTTTCACCTTTCTCATTTTGAGAACGATGAAAGGGAGGGAATGCACTTAAGCGTCCATAAAATCACTCCGCAAGGCATTTGCCTTACATACATGTTTGTTATATACCCAAACTCTAAATTCTGCGTTTACAATAAGATCAGTTCGTATTTTGCATGATGCGTATTTCATTTTACCTGTGTAGAATTTAAATTACCAAGAAATCGTTTTATCGTTATTACATTTATAAGGTGCAGTTTTCGCATCACTTTCACTGACTGCTTCATAAGCCAGATGAACTCGGTGGTGTTTTAAATCAGGGAGACTAGATTATGTTCAGTGCCTAAGGGCGTTTAGTTAGTGATTGCGTAAACAAACCAAAAACCACAGTAAAATTGCAAACAAAACAAACAGATAAAAAGAAAGAAGCGACTAAACCCCAAAGTGAGTGAGAGTGAGCCATAATTCAAAATGACAAAAATACTGCGCAAAAAAATCTGGTAAGTTAAATTGACTTTAAATTGGAGTGCTGAAGAATGCATAATGCGATACATAGAAGGGGCGTCTATATTTACTCTGTGATGTTGAGTTCACTTTCGTGGTAGAACTATATACATCGTTAACTGTAATTTATAATTAGACCTAGTTTGTAAATAAACTAATTCCAACCACATTGTATATAGAAAGAATATAGAAGCGACTAACCCCCGAAAATAAATAAATAAAATAAAATAAAATAAAATAAAATAAAATAAAATAAAATAAAATAAAATAAAATAAAATAAAATAAATATAAAAAAAAGGAATAAAAAGAAGAGGACAAATATATAATTAAATAGATATAATATTATAAAGTACAACATAAGAATAATACATCAACATAAATACAAATAATGGATGACCGATCCCTAATACATATTAATTCTTGAGTGTTTTTAATTATTTCTGTTTGTTTTGCCGGTATATTTTATACCATTGGAGTGAGTGAGTGAGTGAGCCATAATTCAAAATGACAAACATACTGCGCAAAAAAATCTGGTAAGTTAAATTGACTTTAAATTGGAGTGCTGAAGAATGCATAATGCGATATATAGAAGGGGCGTCTATATTTACTCTGTGATGTTGAGTTCACTTTTGTGGTAGAACGATACATCGTTAACCGTAATCAACCACATTGTAGATTTATATAGAAAGAAACACACCAAAACAGACGATATAGATCTAACACAAGTTCTATTGAAGGTAAGAGTTTGATATTATTGTTTGTAATCAAACTGTCGCCTTATAGTTTGCATATATTCATTTTAAACATTTATTTTTGACCTATGGATTTGATAGATATTTCATCAAGGAGCGCCATAACGAATCTGAATGACCCAAGGCCTATTTTAAGATTTACGGAAAATATTGCGAAACGATTTACTGCTTTTTCAAAACTACTGTTACTTAAACAAACACGTACATAATTAACTACGCTGAGAAGAGGAGTGTATAAAACATTTATTAAGAAAGTATTCAGATAAAATATTTTGAAATGAAAAAAATATGTAACATCTTGCCAAGTATTGTCATTTAAGGATTATCGTAATTTTGTCTAATAACAAGCAAAAAGTGTTGAAGGTAACTAGCATTCTTAGAACTGCGGACTTCCGTTGCTGATTGTCCTCAACACATGTTGAAGTTGGTTGGTTATTAGTCTTCGACAGCTGTCTGGTTTCACTAGTTTGAATTACTGTTCATCTCACACAGAAAGTAGTCATGCCAAAGAATAAGGGTAAGATAGTTTGATTCGTTCGGAAATCTCTTTTAGAATCACCGAACGAGTAAGAGACAGGACAGAAAACGTAACCACGAATCCACAAATCGTCCATTTTGTTTACTGTCAAAAATTTGTGGGATACATTCTTTCGGAAAGAATGTCTGTTATATGTGAATAATTGTAGAGGGAAACATCCTGCATTCAAGTTTATCGTGGATTAGTTAAATTTATACACAAAAGCTTACTATTGTCTGGATGTGAACATCGGGAATGACTCTCCTCATGTTCGACACCCTTTTCAGGTATATCAAGAACAAGGTATAAGTTGTCGTGAGGTTCATTGAATACAATAAACAACATGTTGTGTGCAGGTGAACATTGCAGGATAACTATTCATGTGATTGTCTATTTGAACTGTATGGCACACCTTTTTTGTGTATTAATTTGGGTCGCATGGATGATCTAACTAACTTTGTCATTTTGAAGTAGACTTCACCTCACCATAGACTACAGGCGTAATTACAAATGTTTAGTTCGTGTTTACCAAATCATCAGCACTTAAATTATTAATTTTCTGTAATTCAAAGTAACCATTTTCTCCAAGAAAGTGCATATAGTTTGAGTTTCCTCATATTGTGTTGACCATACTGATTCATATTCCACCTCACAACTGACCTTCAGGATCATAAAAGGGGTATCAAACAGTGAGGATTGTAAAGGTTTGCTTGTGAAGCCACAGTCGGTAGTCTTACTGGCAAACAAGGATAAGTTGAGCAATTGACCCGTAATTAGCATGTATGACTGCTGCCCACTGGCGCTTGCCATTGTTAGTCTGCGATCAAGTGTAGTGCGACTTGATACACCGACGTGAGAGTCTTATGAGAAAGGCGTGTGCAGCTACACGCGGAATCAATTTCATCGTCATGCAATGCACGTGCACTAGCCTACATCTGCTCTACCTTTCACAAACCAAATGGGTTTGCTCATTGCCATGCACAGCCTACTTCTTGTAAACGTTTTCTCTGCACCGGTCCAACTTATTCTTGTTTGCCAGCAGCAGAATAGTACAAATAGTATATGTGCCCGGTAAACTGCACTCTTGCCTCAATTTAAATTGATCCCCATGATGAGAGAAGTGAATGATTCTTTGACCATGTTGATGATTCAGTATAATTATAGATTCTGTTATCTTTATGGTGTCCAAAAAACTAGAGATATCTATAGAACATTTGTACACATGATGCAAATTTAAGTTTAACCTGTACACAGGGCTACAGATAAGGGGCGTATCAGTAAGCGATCGGATAAAATAATTACACAACGTACGGTAGGGACGGTCATTAGAATCATTTACAGACATATTTATCTGAAAAGTATTGTTAAATTGTTTTATTGACCGTTTACACCAGAGTAGCAATGCTGTCATGCATATATGAAAGCGAAGCACAAGTTTAAAGATACACCATTAAATTCCATTCAGTACTCTAAATGTACTCTTATTGTTTTCCAGTACTCATATATTGAAAAAATAAGAAGTACGTACTCCTGATGTTGAAAAATTATCTGGAGCCCTGTGTACATATTAAACATGTACAATTGATTGGGATAACTTGTGCCTATGATGAGGCTGGACCATCTGTAAAAACCCTCCCAACTTTGACTAGTTTGAGTCTTATCATGATTTCATTACCCAATTGAAGTCTTTTACGCCAGATTTGACCCCTCCTTCCCATCAGTATTTAAGTCTCCATTGTATGTTGCTCCTGGTGAAGGTGTACAATCAACATAAGGAAAATGTTTATAACTCGAGCAATAACAAGGTTTGTTGGGTCACACAGATATCGTAAATATGTACTCAGATGATGGCTTGTTTTCAAGATAAAGTTGTCTTTTATACATTAATGAGATTTTTCCAGTTCCTGTATTTAGTGAGAAGATAATGAAGGTTTATTAAGCATCCATAAACCCAGACAGCGATGATACTGTCTTTGCTTAACTTTGAGTTTGACTTTTCAGCATTTAGACATTAGACAGTATGCCAGACATAGCTTCCTCAGTTCTCTTAGCAGATCCTGGTGAAATCCATGGAAATTGAGACCAAAAGTGTTTGTTGCTTTGGAAGTGCATCCGAATGCATGGCAATACAGCATGTCACTCAAACTAAAAACTTAAAACTCAAATCTTAAACATAGTGCTTCATGTCACTTTTGAGTTGGTGGCATAAACACTAAAGATCAACACAAAGCGATCTGTCTGGTAAGGCGTCACAGTGACAAAGGGCAGACCACTTGATAAATCCTTTGCATATAAGTGGTTGGGGCCAAAGTGTTGTTGACCTGGGGCATAATTATTACAAGTTCTGATTATGTGTATTTGGCACAAATTAATGTTTAAATTGAATTATGAAATAAAAAATGCAAGTCGGTGACTTGTAGCCTTTTGAAGATCTTTTAAGTAGTTTTTCAGAATACTGATACATGTACTTGATTGTATTTTTGTAGAGAATGTACTATTCTTTAGTAATTATGGCGGACCAAATGACCCAAACAAATTAATCATATTCCAATGATTATTTTAATGTCGTGTTGCAGTTCTTGTACTGTGTGTTATTTCTTGTTTTTCAGATTGGCGACTCACTGAGTTAGTGTAACCATTTATATACTACTCAAAAGATGTTCAGTAACATGAACATTCTTGCACTTGTGTTATTCTTATTCTGTCAGTGTCATGGCATAACAGAGCAAATGTAGTGTTGGTAATGTGAAAGAATTGTGTGTTCTTTAACTTCTTTTGAGTAGTATAGATGGAATGATGTTAACATGTTAACAACCATGTCATGAATGTTTGGTACTAAGAGACTTTCTTATTTACAGGAAAGGGAGGTAAAAACAGGAGGAGGGGTAAGAACGAAAATGAAAATGAAAAGAGAGAGTTGGTGTTCAAGGAAGATGGACAAGGTAAATTTCTTGTTTGGTGAAGCATGTTATTTAGAATTTAGTTATTAAAAGATTTCTATCCAAGTATGTTTTCAAGTCATAAAGTATATTTGTGTAGAATGTAAAAAAAATATTAAAAATCCAACGGCTGAACCATACTGCATGTACCATACAGTGTTCACGAATGGTGTTTCAAAGTAACAGGACATTGGGTCCTGTAAGTTTCAGATGACTGTCTGACCCATTGAAAATTCACAGGACCCATAGAATAAAATTAGACACACATTACAGATTTAACATTTCTTATAATTGGCATTGAAATTATTAACAAACATACGATATATCAACAGCAAACAAGTGTCACATGTCACATATAACAACTTCAGTCAAAGTCATTGTGAAATATACAGTCAGACACTGGGGCCGGTGGGTTGTAGACTTCTATCAGACTGTTGGCGAAATCTGCAGGGATTTGTCAGAGGGTCAGGCACTATTCGTGAACACTGACCATAAGTCCCCACTGCCCCTAGTATGGTGGCCTAACTCGTAACTGTCGGTGGTGACCTACACTCCTTTTTCATAATGTCTTATTATTTTACTGTCATTTTTGTACAGGTATAATAGTATAAGTGTATTTCTTTCAATAACCATTTATGGACAAGATATTTCTGAAAACACTGCCAATGTGACTCCCTCCCCCTCCCTTCCACAGAACATCATATGATTTTAGTCTTGCTGTTGTGTGCTGTTAAGTATGTGAAGTTAAAGTGCAGGGATATTTGCATTAATTCCATGAAAACATTGATGCTAGCAATAGCCTGCTTGTCTGGTTCAGTTTTGTTTATAACAAAAATATCCCAAGTGCTTGTAGAATTTCAGATATTTTGGGAGAATAATTATTAATGTTATCACTATGCAGGCTAATAGGCGTTCTTGGTTAATTTCCACCCCCTGCAAATGATAGCACATGTGCTGTGCTCTGTGTAACCATTGTAAGATCTGAATTCTTTCATTGGCATTCTAGAAGTTGAGGAGAAACTTGCTTGACAACGACATTAGAATCTATGTTGAAACATCACCTATGCAGAATAAAGAAGTTGTGTATCCATAAAAATTGTCCTCATTCTTCATTGTAAGATCTGTGTGCATGCTGGGCTGTTGACAGGGTTGAAGAATGAGGTTAGAATTTCAGACAAGAATTTTCCAGCAAAAGTTTCTTTAGTTTACATTTTCTGTTTTGAGAAATACTGGCAACAATTAAAAACTGGTCGAAACAGTCAGACTGATTATCCATCTGGTCTGCTAGTATGTCTTTGGTTGTCAGTTTTGTCAAGTTTTTGTTCCTGGTAGCTTGCTGAGTGAACTTGGTAAGTACAAATTCCTGGACACTGATTGGTGATCAAATTCCAGTTACCAGCATGTTCAGTTACCACAGAATAAAGACTTGTCCAGCATGTCAACACTAGTGAACCAGATGAGATTGTTTATTTACAACTGACTTGTAACTTATTGTGCTTACACATTTTCAAGTATGTCTAGTTTTACCGTAGGTCTGTCTGCTTGCATTTCAGAGTATGCCCAGGTTACGAAAATGTTGGGGAATGGAAGACTGGAAGCCTTGTGCTTTGATGGTGTTAAGAGGTTGTGTCACATCAGAGGCAAACTCAGAAAGAAGGTTAGTTCATATTTGCATGACCAGTGACATAGTGACCAATGACTCACAGTTTTCAGAAAGTCTGACAGTCTCAAATCCTTTCCCTGACAAACTTGGGTCTTCGCATCCTGCGTTAGAAGGAGCAAAAGTCGCTTGTAATTCACTGCCCAAGAGGCTGCTTGCCTTCTTTGATGATTGGAAGAAATTATTTTTGTTTTTATATGCAACAAGAATGTTTTGGGGTTTTTTTCCTTATCCCTTTGTTACGATGGATTTCATTGGAAGCATTTCAGAATGAAGGATGCATCACACGTGTCATTATTTTGATATGCACTATTGCTAAATTGTTTTCAAAACATGCTTTATGATTATGCATTCAGTCCTGAAACTTTATTGATGACTTGTTAGTGATACCTGTTGCTTTCCACTTGCCCCAACTATTTACTTGTGTTAATCTCTGTAGGTATGGATAAATGGTGGTGACATCATTCTGCTCGGGTTGAGAGATTACCAGGATAACAAGGCTGATGTCATATTAAAGTACACCCCAGATGAGGCCAGGAATTTAAAGGCATATGGAGAACTGCCACCCACAGGTGAGATATATGCTTGAGTTGTATCAAGGGAGAAAACTCTTCTATCTCTGTGTGTTCATTTTGGTACTAATAAGTGAAGACAATCCTGAGTCAGAATGATAGGTGTTCAAGAGATTTTATCTTTATCGTTTTTGATGATCACACAAGATTTATGAATTTCTTTGAGAGGCATTTTAGAAGTTGTGAAGATTTATGAATATTGACCAATTAGCTTCATATTTACATCCATATATGATTTCCTTTGCATGCTTATGCTCACAACTTTTCTTGACATATTACCTAATTTGATCCAAAATGTCAAAAGTCCTGTGTATATGTTCCAAAATTGTTTGCAAATAACTGTAACATTGCAGATGTAGTATTGACACAATACTCGCTCACTCATTCACATTCACACACCGTGTTCCTAACAAAAGTTGACTTTCTTGTATGAAGCCAAGAAAAGTACAATGTAAGATCTCTTTACTTATTTCAGTAAGTTGAACACTGGTCTGTTTCAAAGCTCTTTTAGTCAGTATCGGTAAGATTACAGAATACCGGATACCTTCCGCCATCTTTGAAAGCACACACAAGTTTAATGTTGGTTAGGGTTGGGGTAAGGTTTAGGGTTAGGGTTTAGGGTTAGGGTTAGGGTGACGTGACACTAAACAATATGGCTGGTAGGTAACCGTTATTCTGTAGGTGTACCATCAGTATCTACCAATTAAACACCTTACTAATAACACACAAGAAAACTGGTGGATGCAAGAAATGTCTACCTGCAGAAGGACACAATGAGTCAGGTAGTGGAGTTCCCAGTATATTGGAGACCGCATCCGTGGTGTAGTGGTTAGAGCGTCCGCCCGGAGAGCGGAAGGTCGCGGGTTTCGATCCCCAACCACGTCATACCAAAAGACGTTAAAATATGGTACTTGTTGGTCCCTGCCTGGCGCTTGGCATTAATGGGTACAACAAGGACTGGTCGGCTCGGAGTCAGTATAATGTGTCTGAGTGGGGTATTCATGCTCCACTTCGGCATGGTATCTCAGTGGGCTAGCACTATAAACCAGCTGAAGTCTGGGCTAGTACAAGCAGCTGCACATACACATGCATGCACGTCGTCATATGAGTGAAATATTCTCAAGCACGACGTTAAACCCAATTTCACCTCACCTCACCCAGTATATTGGCTGATGTGGTAGTATGTATCTTGATCATGGTCTCTTTGTCTTTCAGCTAAAATCAATGAAAACACATGGGAAGAAGATGTTGATGACAACATCACTTTCGATGACGTTGAAGAAGGCGTTGATGAAATAGATGATGTAAGTAGACGTTTTGACTTTATAATACTGTCAGCTGGAATACTGTTGGGGTTCACTAACATATCACTATCAGCACCATTCTCATGGGTTATACCAATGTGAATTGAATACAGCATCTCACCTACAGGGCGTTATGGTCAACAGCATGGCATGATAAATGGTTAAGATGCTACAAAACAGCTTAACTTAACTGTTGGTAATCCAAGCCTAAATCATGTCACCAGAGGACCAGATAAGCTGCGTATCCGGGTAAAATACGCATAGAAAATGTCCAATTACGCACTGAAAAATAATTGTTGCGTACCAATTACGCATTTAAAATGTTAGATACGCAAAAAGTTTAAGACAAATGCGTACGGAATCTATTTATAAAAATCGCTTGCGTAATGAAAAAAACATCGATTGCTATCAAGTTGTACTGTTAGTATAGGACAATTGTTGTACTGTCAGTATAGGATGAGTGATTTTTTATGAGATCATTTCCACTATATTTAACTTGGTTTTGATTAGGTATGACATAAGGCAGAACATACCTGCTTAGTAAACTTACTCAATGACATAATACTTAGGTGGGTAAAATGACTGAAATACGCACATATTTGAAAGCAGTGGGTAACGGAAAATGAAATACCCACCCAACATTCATAATACCCACTCCCAAAAAACTACAGTGGGTACCCACATGAGCTAAATCTTATCTGGAGCTCTGATGTCACCACACACCAGTGATGTGAAATATGTTCATTTCTTTCATATTTATATTTTCATTTTTGCTTGAAGCTAGTGAACATAACAATAACATCTGTGCAGAATGTACCAGATTACCCCCAATACATGCCAGCCTCTAAATTCTATTTGCTGCCAGATCCGATACTCTACCAAAACATGTTAGGTCAGGACTCAGAGGCCTGGTTCATCATTGATGAAATGAATTATCCCAATCATGTTAACTTAACATGTCAAAGGTTTACGTTTTCGTTTTCACATTTAAATAGTCATAAGGCCCCTTATTGATGATAAGTCAGTGCTGTTCCCCAAATTAATAGATGCTCGTGCATCTCAGAGAGGTAATACGGTATTTGAATTCCCACCACTGACATCAGCTTGTTCATGCTTGAAGGCTCCCTGCAGTGTATTGATGAATGGTGGGGTTGTCCAGGACTGGAGCGTAGCTTTTAAGTAATTGAACCTTGATGGTTGCAGATTTCCTCCTTGCTGGCAATAAATCAGATAAACAGTGTCAAGTGTTGTATGATGTCGCTAGATGGTTCTGATACAACATGGAATGATGGGAGTTTTACATCATTTGTGGTGGCTATGCCATTTGATTTAATTATTCAAGAGATTGTTGTGATACACTTTCCTGCTATGTGATCTGACAATACTCTGTCGATACTTTAATGACAGAACTTCCTGTTGCTGATGCAGAATTTAATAGCAGTGATTCCCTGTGTTATGCATAATGCATTACAGATATTTGTTTGACTGTTCCTTCTTCCCACACTTGTGGAAAATGTGTATGGAAGATGTTGGATTGCATAATGTATTCTTGTATGAGAGTTGACAGAAAAACAAAATTGTTACACATTTTTCTGATAATTAGTATGATTAGTGTGTCAGCTTGTTCAGAGTTTGTTATGGGTTTGATTTATCAATGTTTATGTCCTACTGATTGTGTACCAAATTTAACTTTATGTTTCAGATTTAGAAATACGTCACTGCAGCTTTCCGAAGTTGAGTGAGTGTTGAGAAGTATAGTTGATGTGGTTAGAATACTGAGGAGTCATGACAATGGTAGCTTGGAGTCTGTAATGATCGCTGTGGTTGCCACAAGGGACATCACAGAGTCGTTTCTCTTGCTGTTGTCATGGCAACTGTACAACTCAGATTCAAACACTGAAACAGTCTTCATGAAGCCTTCTGACATCTTTGAAGAGGGACTTTACAACTACAATCCATTCCTGACGGATTTGAACCATATTCTGTCTGGATTACTGAATCATTTAGGTTTATAAAATGCTATTTTTAATGTCCATATGGAACATCTTAATCTTTTGAAAAACAATGTTTGTGTACTTATGTATATTCTGAATTTTTTATTTTGAAATTCTTTCATTCATATTTGTAAGTTTTTGTGTTTCTTTTGATTATGTTAAGAAAATTTGTTTTCTTTCTTTTGAAGTTTGTGTGTGGTTTTGTAAGTTAAGTCATTATCAATTCTGAATATGAAAAATATGACGAAGTACTCTTTCTATCACTTTCCAGTGTATTTTAATTTCATGAATGCTTTGTGTGTTTAAACATACTGTAGAGACATTTTTTAAAGTCTTTTACAGATTCACTGATTTTTGCCATTTTGAAGTAACAGTGAAAAGTGATGCATTTCACAATTACAGGAAACACACAAGTGGTACCAAAATAGCCATGATTGAAAGAAAAGTGAGAAAAAAATGATGAAATTTAAAAAAAAATGACATCTTATTTATTACCTGAAAAGTGCTTGTTAGAATCAGATAATATTCAGTACCACCAGATTCTATCAGTGAAATTGTATAACCATGATGGCCCCATTATGATAATGATGGCATGTCCCAGGTTTATAGAAAATGTGTGCCCAGGATGTTCCATTGTCATCTGCGGGTGCAAGTGTGTATGATACAACTATTAATTCCTGTATTGACTAGAAAACACTGTGCAGGTTACTGATGTCTATGACCTGTTTGTATATAAGGGTTTGGTGTTACTTGTAGCATGTTTTTATGATTGTCATGTGGGCAATATGAGTGGAACATGAAAGGTAGTTGGTAGCTTTAATTCCAGCTACAATATTTCAGATCAAGGGGAGGTTTACAGTTTGCTTGGTTCAGAATTGTGTTGCAATCCATAAAAAAAGATTATATTGGGTTATGAAAATATGAAATGAACTTTTCCGTAAATGACACATGCTTTTGGCTCAGGAAGTCGTTGCCAAGTTCACTCAAGCTCTTGTAAGTATTTTTATGGGGCAGATATGTCATATTTGACTCTTTAGGCAATTAAATAATGTAAATTCTAACTGTCTTTTGTTTCTATTTGAGATCTGTCAAGAGACACTGGTTCATGATTTGTCAGTGTTTGTCATTGTTTGTCATTGTTTGAAGTGAAGTTGGAAATCATGTCATTTCTGACAGCCAACCTGTCCATTTCATCAAGCAATCCCTGTATAAACTTCTGTGTTTTCTTCATCATATCACAGGATTTTCTGGTCCAGAGTCGATTATTTACAGACCGCTGCCATATAGCCATTCTCTTCCCACAGTTACTTGTCACATCTTCCTACGAACCTCTGTTCTCATAAGGCGGGCGATGGGGTAGTCTAGTGGTTAAAGCGTTGGCTCGTCACGCGGAAGACCCGGGTTCGAATCCCAACATGGGTACAATGAGTGAAAACGATATTGATATTGCTGGAATATTGCTATAAGCTGTGTAAAACCAAACTCAGTCAGTCAGTGTAATAAGGCCCTTTTATGGTGCGAGTGTTCCAGATTCGTGATTGGTTGCAATCAGATTTAGTTGTGCAATCAGCAACGTTGTTTCAAAAGTGATCATTCGCAAGGCCTCGGTAATTTCTGTATGCTTCGGGAAAACTAAAACCTCTTCCAATGCGCGATGCACATCAACACAAGTCCCCGGCAGAGGAGGGATATTTGTGGCCCCATATTTGCTTGCATTAGTAAGTTGGATCTAAGTCGATGTAACACGTGTTCTGATTGGATAGAAAGAACGGAGATAATTCGTGTTGGGATATTTTGCAGCTAGGGGATTTTACGAGAACCGGGAAATATGGCCGTATTAGAGGTTGGTAGGAAGATGTGACAAGTAACCTCTGTGGGAAGAGAATACCATATAGCTGGAATATTGCTGAGTGCAGCGTACAACTAACTTCACTCACTCACTCTTCATCATATTAATCAGTGGCTAGGCTGTACAGATTTTATTTATAGTCATAGATCTGGACTAAAACGGAGTATTGCTTTAAAGTTTTATTCAAAGATTCTTCACTGAAAGATCAAAGGTGCAGACAGTACTATATCGGGCGATAAAGCACACATTTTGCATTACTGTCACAAAAACTAATTAACTATTACAGTTAAAGCATGAGGACGCTTTTAGTGAAGCATCTTAGAACAAGAAGCAATAGACAGCCAGTTATTAAGGAGTGACACTGAGTGAGTGGCAATTTGGACGAATAATTTAAAGATCACATATACTCTAGGGGGGTCCAAATACATAAATCACTAACTGGCATCGCTATAAATGAAACCCCGTCATTAAAACTACTCACTTCGATCTTTAATCAACTTAAATCGACCTTTTTGACAACAGTGCACAATTCTCACCCGCGAACGAAATTTCAACCAATCAGAGCGGGGCGTCTCTGTGACGTCATATGAGGAATAGCTATGAGGGCCGATGCAGAATTCATCTACATTTCAGGGGGTAAATTATCTCGTTTACAGGTTTGTATAAACCTGAAATCGTGACAACTGTTGTGGAAAATGAAAGCTATATGTTCTTACAATCTACTGTCATAAAATTTTGTCTCCTGCTTTGCCTAGTTTCCGAGTTACAACTTGTTTTCATAGACGATTCTGTCAAAATCGCTTGGTGTCGTTAGGCCTTATTTGTATAATGACTGATCCAAATTGATCCCATTTCTGTGTTTTTTTACCTCGATATTTAATCATGTCATGTAAAACTATGACGTCTATTACGTATGATATTAAAAATTGACATTTGATTTATTTGAATCGGTAAACTAAACAACCCTATTTTGCCATTGCTAGAAGAATCTGAAATTTTACTTAGGTAAATAGGTACATACAGTTTTAGCACACAGCAAATGCTTATATGTATTTCTTATGCAACAATGAAGTTCTGTTTGTATTCTCAAAACAGTGTCGGCCCATAAGTTTTCACATAAAATTTTGTCTCCTGCTTTGCCTAGTTTTCGAAGTTACAACTTGTTTTCATAGACGATTCTGTCAAAATCGCGCAGTGTCGCTAGGGCCTTATTTGTATAATGACTGATCGAAATTGATCCCATTTCTCTGTTTTTTACCTCGATATTTAATCATGTCATGTAAAACTATGACGTCTATTACGTATGATATTAAAAATTGACATTTGATTTATTTGAATCGGTAAACTAAACAACCCTATTTTGCCATTGCTAGAAGAATCTGAAATTTTACTTAGGTAAATAGGTACATACAGTTTTAGCACACAGCAAATGCTTATATGTATTTCTTATGCAACAATGAAGTTCTGTTTGTATTCTCAAAACAGTGTCGGCCCATAAGTTTTCACATGCAATTAAAATTGCATGCAATACAGCAATTAACACTCCCTCGTTGTAAGTAATGTAACCCGTGTTAGGTGGTATAAACTACTATAAACCTACACATGTTATTTGTCATCATTCACTTGATGGTCAGTTAAAGGTCACATGCAACGTAAAACACAACTTTGCAGATTCTGATACCTTTTCGGTATGGACTTTACCGAAACAAAGCGTCAAAAATGCAAATTCAACTTATAAAGTTGAAAAATAACGCGATGAAAAAAAAAACGCGCGAAATCGGAGTTCAAACGTTTCACTAATTTTCCCCAGACTTTCTGGGGAATACGGGTTTCAACAGCTGGGCTGCGCTCATAGCACGTGCGCAGTGAAATAGGTTCGCGCAACTTGGAAGCGGGCTGTCTGGCGAATACTCGGTGAAGGCTTTTGTGTGGAGCTATTTTCATAATGTTTTGTTGATATCTCACAGGCGCGAGCTTTTATATGTTATGACAGTAAATAAACTGTTTATATAATTTCATTTGTCTATTTCACCACACGTTCTTCTTACCGAGTCATTTTCTTTCTCAGTTCGATACTTAAAAGCAATGTCATTATTTAGCGTTGACACAATTTCTAACTGTGATATAGATATGTCGCTGTCACAGACAAAACTCAATGTCTTGCCTTTTATTGACACCTGTGTGTCTGCCTGCCTCGGTCTGCTAATGACAATATTCAATACACAACTGCGATCACTGACCACATGCAATTTTAACTTAACACCAATCAGGCTATACACCATAAACAAAACGCATTGATTTATGGCCCGAGTTCGGTCTCTGTCACATTATGTAATTACACAGACAGGCAGGTGTGATAATTTTGAACACACGATATGTTATGATGTCTGTTGATTGCAAAATGTTATACACAAAAATATGAGCATGTATTTACAAAACCCAACATCTCTATATATACACACACAATGAGCCGTGGAGGCGGCATCTGCTAATGAACCAGTCGTTACACTTGAGTGCACACCCACCCGCTCTGACTGGGTTCGGTATCCCGGCTGCTTCGTTTCGAGGGAGGGGGTAAAACCCAAGTACAAAAATGATATTGCACTTTTGATTTGCGATTATACGTTAATGAATTTATAACAGGTATAATTAGTGGTAATACCACTTTTAGATTACCCGACAAAGGTTTCCATTTGGCATTTCTTGTGTCTGGAGTAAATATTCAACATTATAAACAACCATCAAAGGAATAACTGATAACACGCTGATTGATAACACGTTAACATGAGTAGAAAGTAGTTTTGATTTTCTAACTTGAAGAAAACAAACCATAATCTCATTAATTCTAACAGACTTTAGCCCGTGACTTCACGATTTTCGAAAATGGCGGCGCCCTGTCGCGAACATCCGCCAGTCTGAGTATAAATGCTATTTAGGTTTGTTTTCACCGAGTTACAAAATCAAAACTACTTTCTACTGGTAGTAAAATATGTATTTGATAGATGGCCAATAGGATTTTGCATGACATAGCTTATAACATAACAATTTCTCTCGTGGAAGCGAGGTGGGTGTCAATATAATACTACTTACAGTATTATTGTTACTTCGACCACAACCTCGCTTCTGAGGCAGAAATCGTTATGTTACAAGTTGTGTCATGGAAAATCTTTATGGTCATCAATCATATACATATGTTACTACAACTAGTTAGTAGTTTTGATTCTTTAACTTCCGTGAAGCGATCTGAACACAAGTAAGATATCGTTTCAGGCTTCCACAACGCTCGCTTCGCACTCACAAACATAACCCATTTTGCACGAACTGCGGGGTCCTGTGGAAATCTGTGCATGGCGACACCATCGCCCGACCTCTAGGAGCAATTGACGACAACGCAACGATTTGGCATGTCTTCGTTGATGTTGAGAAATCATCAAAATGACGAGCTTGCTACACACTTTCTATATATGGGGCCTGCTGGTAGCAAGACAAACAGATATACTGAGAAACCTCATTTATCCGGACACCCAACCTTCCGGGGATTTCTGTTCGAAAACAAATATTACATACAGTTAATATTAAACGGATTAACGGGGTTTCACTTTTAAAATAAGGATTAATGCACGTTTTAATAACTTCAGAAGCAATATTGCATTTATGCAATAAGTTTAATAAGCTTGGCTTACTGTTGGAAAACAAATATTACATACAGTACATTAAACGATATGGATTAGCGGGGTTTCTGTTTACAAGGACCAATGCACGTTGTAATGTTGTAATTACTTCAGAAACAATACGAAGCTTGCATCGATGTAAACTGACGTACAAAGGAAAGTACACACCTGGTGCTTTTGGATTACTTTCCAAATAACGACGTAAATGTTTTGAAAGTGATACAGTGATTATACTGGTTTTACAGGGATATATAAGTCACAGACTTTCCTAATATGTTGCCAAAACACCGGAAATATCGGGCCCAATTGCGAAGTTGCCAGTCAAAATCACAACACTTTTCAAATAATCCCAAAACACCAGGTGTGTACTTTCTTTGTACGTCAGTTTATTTTGTAGAGAATAAATTACTCTGAATACCATGCTCAATATTTGTGAAGTGCAAATATTGATGAGTGAATGGATACCTGTTGAATAAGCAATCCAGTCGTTGACAGTATGTGCATCGCTTGACTCAGTCGGGATACGATGATTTGTGTCAAC